ACCAAGAGCTATAAGGTTATATGGCCATCATAAAATCATTGCATTGTGTCGAAGTTAAGTTGTTTACAATAGAAAAGGTTTTAGGGTCGTAAATAACGTGTCCACTGCAGCTCGACCGGCTCTTGTGGTTTCGTTCAGGGGCGGCTTTCACTAAATATCAAAATCCACCACTCCATTATTTCTTTACTACCTGCAGCCGCTGAGGGTTCCGAAATAACCACTCGCTTTGAAAGCCGGCCCTGTTAAATATGAGCAAGAAATGTTTAGAAGATGATTTATTGCCAACCGGTAAGCTTAGTGCGAACCACACAAAGGGGGTATTTATTTGTGGTCAACTACTTTTATGATGGCCATATAACCTTATAGCTCTTGGTTCACTATATAAGGAAATATCGATTTTGTAATTAGGTTCCACCTCATAATTGCAAACTCCATATTTCCTTGCAAAAACGTACCATTTCACCCATGTTTTCAGTTTCTTGTAGTGAAAAGACGGCTACGTATATTTAGGAAAAGGGGAAAATATAAACCCCGCCCACCCGCCCTATCTAAATTGTGATGATTTTTTTTTATTCGTAGTGAGCCAATGGGGCCGAGCTTAACTGCAAAATCCTTATTTCTCTAGGAGAAATTAAAAACATGTTTTTGAGTATCGTGGTATTAATAATAATAATAATAATAATAATTTATTGTACTCAACAGAGATTAATCTCCAATTACAGAATACAAAACAAAAGTAAATAGTAGTCTATCTTACAAATAAATAATTAAATACAACGTATGCCTGCAAAATATATCTAAACATCAAGAAAAAAAATAGAACAGTAAGGATAGCTCATTATAAAAAAGAGTAGAACAAAATTCTGACGCTCTGTAATTATGTGTTATGCTGTAAATGTATGGATTTCGATTGAAAAAACTTCCTTACCGCTACACCCTTGGGCCAAAAAGATGCAGCCAGAATATCATTTTGATATACAAAATCGATACTAAGTTTGAAAGAACTATATAACTCAGGAAATTTAGAGTCCAATTTAATAAGCTTAAAGTCAGGAAGACGTTTATTTTTCAGCACTTCTTCATGGGATTTTAACTTAAATTTAATATAATCAGTAATCTTGTTCACATCAACATTAGGGTTTACTCTTGTAATATGTATATGACTGCTTTTTTTTCTGGTGACAGCTACGAAATCATGATCACTCGATGACAAATCTGACGAACCTGAACTAGAAGCTATATCTGCTGAGCCAATAATTAACTTACTTACTTTCGGCCGACGTTTTAAAGTATCAGCTGTTACCTCCTTCTCAGAAGGATTTTTACCATTGTCTGAAGAATTATTTAGATCAACTTCATTACATAAATTCGTATTAGGATAAATAATAGTGTTCCGTATTTCAGGTTCACTTTTGTTTACCACTTTTCTTGCTTCCACACCATTCACGTTTTTATTCATAATCTTACTCGAAAAAGCGTCCATTGATGATAAACTACAATCAGTGGAGCCTCCCAAGTTGTTCGAACTTTTTATCAAAATGTCTATCATCTCACTTTGCGTTTTTACACGATCCCTTAGCTCCTTTATAATTTCGTCTTTTTGTTTAATAATATAATTGAAAACAGCAATATCAACCTTTTTCTCAGGACCACTCATTTGTTCCATTGCTTCAAAAAACTCAGAATCTTCGCACATAACAGGAGGCATTTTCACTTTATCACAGCAAACTAAAGACTTACTGTCCAAAATTTTTACATAAGATACACCCTTGGCACAACTAAGGTGGTACACATTATCACACGATATACATTTTAATGCACTGACAACTTTTGATTTACATTTTCTGCAGATTTGTGCAGACGTACCGGACTGACTACTACTATTGGCATCCATCTTCTATTAGTATTAAAAAAATACCATGCATATTTAGAAAAAAGTTAAAGCTAAAGATTAAGCCCCACCCATAGCAGCCCTGATCTACGTAGTAATGAAGTTTTCATTGGTTGACAGACCTAGGGGCGGAGCCTAATTGAAAAATCCATGTTTTTTACAATTTTTTAATTTTTCGGTTTCCAATTTTTCCGATATTTCATCAGTTCTACGATTTCTCAATTATTCAATTTTGCGATTTTTCAATTTTTGGCCTTTTTAAATTTTCGATTTTTAGAATTCTCGATTTTCTCAATTAATTGACTAATCGACTTTTCGGTTTCTCAATTTTTCAATTTAAGTTCTCGATTTTCAAATTTTCGATTTTTCAGTTTTTGATTTTTTGGTTTTTCAATTTTCCAAATTTCAGTTTTACGATTTTTGTTTTTTTCAATTCCTCAATTTTTTAATTATTCGATTTTCACGTTTTTGTTTTTCAATTTTTCGATTTTTAAAATTTTAGTTTTTTCCACTTTTGCACTTTTCTATTTCTAGATTTTACAATTTTTCGATTTCTCAGTTCCTCGAAGTGTCCGTTCTGGGATTTTCAGTTTTTTTCGATTTTTCAATTTTTAAGTAATTAAGGTTTTCCAAGTTTTCAATTTTTCGATGTCTCGATTTTTTACTTTCGCCAAGTTTCAATTTTTCGATTTTTTAAATTTTAGATTTTTAATTTTTCGATTTTTCAGTTGTTCAATTTTTCAATACTGCAATTTTTCGATGTTTCGATTTATTAAATCTGCGCTATTTTGGTTTCTCTATTTTTAAATTTTTTGACTTCTCGCATTTTATTTTACACTTCGAGATTTTTGAAAAAAAAAATTACAATTCTTGGATTTTTCAATTTTTCGAATTTTCAGCTGTTCGATTGTTCGTTTTTCAACTTTCGGTTTCTCAATTTTTCGATATTTAAGTTTTGGAATTTACATATTCAGTTTTATTATTGTTCAATTTTTCCATTTTTCAATTTCTCGATTTTTCAATTTGACAATTTTTTAATATTTTGGGTTTTTGATTGTCAATTTTTCGATTTTTCAATTTTTAAGCAATTAAGGTTTTCCAAGATTTCAATTTTTCGATTTCTCGATTTTTTACTTTCGCCAAGTTTCAATTTTTCGATTTTTTAAATTTTAGATTTTTAATTTTTCGATTTTTCAGTTGTTCAATTTTTCAATACTGCAATTTTTCGATGTTTCGATTTATTAAATCTGCGCTATTTTGGTTTCTCTATTTTTAAATTTTTTGACTTCTCGCATTTTATTTTACACTTCGAGATTTTTGAAAAAAAAAATTACAATTCTTGGATTTTTCAATTTTTCGAATTTTCAGCTGTTCGATTGTTCGTTTTTCAACTTTCGGTTTCTCAATTTTTCGATATTTAAGTTTTGGAATTTACATATTCAGTTTTATTATTGTTCAATTTTTCCATTTTTCTATTTCTCGATTTTTCAATTTGTCAATTTTTCAATATTTGGGTTTTTGATTGTCAATTTTTCGATTTTTCAATTTTTAAGTAAAGTTTTCCAAGTTTCAATTTTTCGATTTTTTAAATTTTGGATTTTTCGTTTTTTCAAATTTTCGATGTTCTAAATGTTCGGTTTTTCAATTTTTTGGCGTTTAGATCTCTGTATTTTTCACTTTTCGATTTTTTAATTTTTGGATTTTTTAAATTTTAGATTTTTGATTTTTCGATTTTTCAGTTGTTCAATTTTTCGATGTTTCGATTTATCAAATTTGCGCTATTTTGGTTTCTCTATTTTTAAATTTTTTGACTTCTCCCATTTTATTATACACTTCGAGATTTTTGAAAAAAAAAAATGTATCACAATTCTTGGATTTTTCAATTTTTCGAATTTTCAGCTGTTCGATTGTTCGCTTTTTCAACTTCAGGTTTCTCAATTTTTCGATATTTAAGTTTTGGAATTTACATATTCAGTTTTGTTATTGTTCAATTTTTCCAATTTTCAATTTCTCGATTTTTCAATTTGTCAATTTTTCAATATTGTGGGTTTTTGATTGTCAATTTTTCGATTCTTCAATAAATATTTCGAATTTTCGTGAGTCAAGAGGGCAGAGCTTAACTGCAAAATCCGTATTTCCTTACAAAAAATTGCCATTTTAAAGGTGTTTTAAGATTCTAAGAATAAAAGAGTCCATCACAATTGAGATGGGGTGGGTGGGCGGGGTTTATATTTTGCCTCTTTTCTTAATATACACAATTTTCTTTGAACAACACGATACTCAAAAACATATTTTTAATTTCTTGTAAAGAAATAAGTGTTTTGCAGTTAAGCTCGGCCCTCTTGGTTCTCGGCGAATAAAAAGAATCATCACAATCGAGATAGGGTGGGTGGGCGGGCTTACATTTTGCCTTTTTGTTTCGATATATGTAGACTTCCTTTCACAACAAGAAATTTAAAACATGTTGAAATGAAAATTTGTATAAGGAAACATCGATTTTGCAATTAGGCTCCACCCCATTATTGCAAAATCTTATTTCTTTGCAAAAATGTACCATTTCAAGCATGTTTTAAGATTCTTGTTGTGAAAAGAATTCTACACATGTTAAAACAAAAAGGCAAAATGTTTGCCCGCCCACCCGCCCTGTCTCAATTGTGATGATTTTTTTTATTCGCCGAGAACCTAGAGGGCGGAGCTTAAGTACAAAAAACTTATTTCTTTACAAGAAATTAAAATCATGTTTTTGAATGTCCTGTTGTTTAAAGAATACTATGTATATTACGAAAAAATGGCAAAAATGTTAACCCCGCCCACCCACCCCATCTCTATTGTGATGATTTTTTTATTCTTAGAATCTTAAAACAGAAGAAAAGATGGCTATGTATATTAAGAAAAAAGAAGGCAAAAAATAAGTAGTACTTAAATGTCTAATAAAAATCCGGATGGCAGACAGACAGACAGACGGACAGACGGACAGACAGACAGACAGACGAAAACGGGATACTTATTTCTTCGTAGTCCTTTTGACAGAACTGTCCTCGCTCTTGAAGTGCGGCCTAATGAATCCGACTTCGAGAAATTATAAAAATTTTTCGTTAACCTCTATAAAAATTAATTAATTCGTCTTTATTTTCTGTGGCTTACTTTTTAAAACTAGTCTACAAAAAAGTTTCCTTATTATTAAAATCGTTATCGTGATTGACACCAACATGAAAATTACAATATCGAGCAAAAAATATTGGTACCAAGGCATATCCACCCCTGCCACTCTTAAATGAGGCGCCCCTTTATGCCTGATGACGTATTCCACCCAATATATAGCTGTTTCCTTCGGACCAACATGACGATCATGAAATATCTTCGATCTTCGTTTAGCGTTAGTTTTATATCTGCAAAAATTATATCAAACAACTCAGCTATAAATCAGAGAAATACCCACCTCGGATTTTTCAAAATTTCTTGAATCTTATTCTGTAAAGACTGTTCCGAAATTTCCTCATACGGTAACACGAGTCCATAAACATTATTTTCAGCCAATTTGGCGTTTATGGTTTGATCCCCAAAAATCGGAATCGCTAAGACCGGAACACCATGATAAACAGCTTCCGTCGTGCTTAGAAGACCACCATGTGTTATAAATAATTTGACATTGGGGTGTGCTAGGATATCTTGTTGTGGCAACCACTTTCCAGTTTTTACATTTGTCGGCAACTCCGGAAGTATATCGTCTTCCCACTTCCATAAAACCGTTTCTTCCAATTTCGAAAACGCTTTCAAAAAAGCTTCAAGTTTCTCTTTAGGAAACTGCGAGCTTTTGGCGTTGGAACCCATACTGAAATAAATAACCCCTTTTTTGGCGTCGTCCAAAATAGTTTGCAGATGTTGCGGGAGTGCTTTTGGTGTTTGGACGTGAATCCCGCCTATTTCAATCATATTAGGTACGTGCGGTACCGCCTGACTGGTACTAGGGTGCGAATTTAAAAAAATTATAGACGCGTTGTAGATAACATCGTCGATGTGTGGACCACCTGGTAAATATTTTTTTACTATGTCGCTTTGTCTGGGATAAACGTACAACTTGTACACCAATTCGTTCAAAATATACGTACACGTGTTCACCAATCTTTCAACGAACGTCATTTTTTCCGAAAATTTCAAAAGAGTGTCAGGTACATATGCTGTCGGAGCCGGGTTTCCCGTTAACGTATTAACCCAGAAATTCGCTCCAAGAGAACTAAATATGATTAAAGGTGCCTTAAAATGTGTGGCTAGAGCATGTAATGCATCATTCAGAAACTGTTCCACTATTACAACATCAAAAGTTTCCTTCGACTTGATCAATTTTTGAAAATTTGGGTGTTTGAAGACGGATTCGACTTCGTCGGATGTCATAGCTAGACGAACGGCATTCAGAAAAGGGTTTGGTCCCTCGATAGTAAAAAAGTTGAGTTCGTTTTTGCTCTGTTTTTCTAAAAATGGAAATGAGGATTTCGTGCTTTGGAGTCATTGGGTACTACCTTGTATGTCTTCGAAAGCTCCAGTGAGTTGTACTTCTCTATACGAGCTTGTGGGTGGGTTTGCTTCCACGAAAGGGCTTACCATGGTTATGTCATGTCCTTTCTCTGCTAAAGCTTTTGCTAGGGAGCTTGCAAGGATGTAGTGGCTGCGTTCGGGTAAAGGAAAAACTATCAAAATTCGGGCACTTTGAACGGTACTTAGACCGAGTAAAAACAACAACGTGAAAAGTACTTCCATTTTGTCACACAGTTTAAGTGATAATGGAGTAGAGGAACGGGTCAGATTACACTGGTCAACAAAATTCAATTTTTTCTGTCTAACTTTGACATAATTGTAATGTTTTCGTTTAATTAGTCTCTGTGTTTGCAATAAATGGCATAAACCTTATAACTTAGCTCAATTAAAAAGAAAAATGCATATTTGATGTTAAAAACAAAAAATCAGGTAAAACAATTTAATTTTTGTATCTTTAACGGCAAAATGTGATGTATTAACAAAAGAACAACCATAATTAAGAACAAACAACGATTGTAGTTTAAAAAACGAAAAAAAACAAAAGAAACAGACGTTTTTTCGGTTGCCTCCTATCGATTTTATTGGAGATCTCTCGCTTGATGGTTCCGCAGTATTCTGCGAGCATTTAGGTGTTCCATCGATCTTGGTAACGTTTTTCTATCGACAAAATGCCCAGATGGAAGCGTTCTCTATGTCCGTCACTCACGTCGTCATAATTTTTGGGGAAAAAATCGAGATGCGAATACATAAAATTCACTTTTAAGAATATGTTAATTTTAAATTTTTTATATGATGATAACATGTTTTCTACTTACTAAACGTAGTTTTCTTATTGTTTCCCAAGAAGTTTGTAGCAATTTGATCACAAAAAATTACACCTTATAGAAAGTTTCCTATTACTTAATAGTACGATTTTTGTATTTTTCAAAGGATAATATTTTAAGATTACTTTTAAATGAGAGCTAAGTTTTGGTTTAGCTGTTTATAATATCATTTAAAATTGTTAATTAAATAATAATTGGCTGCTATAATAAAAGTTAGAGCTTAGCTGTTGACCAGTGTTATGTAATAAAGTTTATCAGTCATGTTTATTAATTTATTATCTGTGCTACAATTATGCGGTTTTCTTTTTTTTGTTATTGCGTTTTGAACACACTTTTTGGCAAATCTTCTTCGTTATGAAACACGTAACAACCAATCCCAAAGATGCGATTGTAATAATAGCTGCAATAACATCTAGTAGAAGATACTGGTACCAGGGAAGATCAACCCCTGCCACTCTCAAGTGTGGTGCTCCTCTATGTTTAATCACGTATTCCACCCAGTAGACAGCCGTGTCCAAAGGGCTAACCGGTCGATCGTGGAAAAGGTCAGATCTTCGTTTGGCGTTTTCTTTGTACCTAAAACCAACTGTCAAAACAAAGTGTCTAAATAAACTAGACGTACTTTGGATTATCCAATATCGCGTTGATATTTTCCAAAAGGTTTTCCTCTGAAATTTCGCCATAAGTCAGGAAGCGCCCGTAACCATTTTTGACACTAAAATGCGCGTTTTGCATCTGGTCACCATAGATGGGTATCGTCAGAAGGGGTACTCCATGGTACGCACTCTCAATCGAACTGACAAAACCGCCGTGCGTGATAAAGAGTTTTAAATTAGGATGGGCTGAAAACCACAAGTACTACAAAAACACCATATTGATCCCAAATTTACCAAAAATGTCAGACTGCGGTGCCCATTTTATTATTTTTACGTTTGAAGGTTGGTCCGGAAGCTCATCGCCTTCCCATTTCCACAAAACCTTCTGTTTCAGCTTGGAAAAAGCCTTAATAAACTCTTGTCTCTTCTCTGGTGGAAACTGAACCCCCTTGAGGTTCGAACCCATGCTGAAATAAACCACCCCTTGTTTAGCGTCGTCGAAAAACTCTTGTAAGTCTTTGGGTAGCTTGTTTGGGGGTTTCATATGAAGACCTCCTACTTCGATCATGTTGGGGACGAAAGGTAACGGTTGGTTTAGACTCGGGTGGCCATTAATCAGAAACAAAGAAGTGTTATACAAGATATCGTTCAAATCACCCCCTCTTGGAACGTACTGTTTAACGAAAGCGTTGTGTTGCGGAAACACATAGAAGTAATAAAGAAGATAATTGAAGACATCGAGAAGACTATTGGTCAATCGGTCGCAGAAAGACATGGGGTGGTAGTACGTAGCAAGGACATTTGGGACATAGGACGACGGTGAAGGATTTCCCGCTAGAGCATTGATCCACATATTTTGCCACACAGGACTCACTGCAATCAAAGGGGCATCGAAATGTGTAGCGAAAGCTTTGAAAGGGTCGCTCAGGAAATTGTCTACAATGACGACGTCGAACTTCTCGTCGGAATGTAGAAGGTTTTGGACATTGGTGTGGTTCAGAATGTGTCCAATGAATTTGGTGGCCATGGTTGCTACGACGTAGGCGCCCACGAAAGGGTTCAAACCTTCCCGTTTGAACATGTTCCATTCCCTCTTTGGGTCTTCTATAAATGAAAAGAAACAATGCAAGGGAAGGTAGATGGTTTGGTACTTACTTGGTTCTTGATCGAAGAGCCCGGGTAACAATATGTCTCTATATTTTCCAATTTTGGGTGGGTCTTTTTCACCAAAGGCGTTGATGACGGTTACGTCGTGTCCTCTTTCTGCTAGTTCTCTGAATAGAGCTCTGGCTAGATGATAGTGGCTGTGGCCGGGTAAGGGGTAAATACCCAAAATTCGCGCACTATTGGTGGTACATATTAGAGTTAATAATAATAAAAGACCGGCTAAGGTTGGATTCGCCATGTTTGTGGCCAAACACGTACATATCACTAATCTGTTATTTCATGGTCTGTTGATATAAATAGATTCTCGTATTGTCTGATAGTAAGTACTTGAGATAAAAAATCACCACGTAAGTTTTAAAAGGTTAGGATTAGTTTTTAAGGTTTTTGATATTGTGTAATTTTTAGTCCTAAGTATTTGTCGTTGCATTCATCGTTATCTCCGCTATCTATGCATTTACTAAACATTTACTTTATATTAGAATTTATTGGCACAGTCATATCCTGACAAACATCGGTACTTCAAAAACAAGTTTAGTGTTTTTTTACCTTATTGGTTTTTGGCTTGGAATATAATTTTTTGCAAACTACTTTAACTACATAATACGAAACCACCACAAAACTCAAACTAACTAAAACCAGAAAACCCATGACATCCAGTAAGTGATATTGGTACCAGGGTAGATCCACAGCTGCGACTCTCAAGTGTGGTGCTCCTTTATGACGAATGGCATACTCGATCCAGTAGATTGCGGTATCCATTGGACCCACCAGACGATCATGGAAAAGCTCGGACCTCTTTTTCGCATTAGTTCGATATCTGCAAATCACAATTTTACCAGTAAAACATAGTTATAATCACTCAGTTGTAACATACTTGGAGTTGGTCAAAATTTCGTGAACACTTTGAGCAAACTTTTCTTCAGTCAGCTCGTCGTAGGACAACGCAAGCCCAAAACCGTTATCCACAGCGGTTTTGGCGTTCAGTTTTTGATCACCAACTATCGGAATGGCCAGGACTGGCACCCCGTGGTAGATAGTCTCAGAAGTACTCAGAAACCCGCCATGTGTGATAAAAAGTTTGACGTTTGGGTGCGCGAGAATGTCCTGTTGGGGCAACCATTTCGATAGCTTGACGTTCTTAGGTTGTCCCGGTAGAACATCGTCTTCCCACTTCCACAGAACTTTTTCTTTCAATTTCGAAAACGTTTTTAGTACTGCGTCTCGTTGCTCTGGTAGGAAATCGGCACTTTTTAGATTTGAACCCATGCTGAAATAAATGACTCCGTCTTTCGCGCTGTCTAAAAATTCCTGCAAGTCTTGCGGTAGTTTCTTGGGTGCTTTTATGTGAAAGCCGGCAATGTCGATCATGTTGGGGACGTACGGCACCGGTTGGTTGGTACTCGGGTGAGAATTCATCAACACAATCGAGACGTTGTAAAGTACGTCGGAAATATCTGGACCGTTTGGTATGTATTTTTTAATCCGGGCATTCTCGCTAGGGTACACATGCACGTGATAGTACACTTCGTAGAGTGCTGTTAAAAGAGTATTTACAAGTCGTTCCCGAAACGTCATCGGTACTGTATAGCCTAGGTTCATCGCAGGAACGTATGCCGGAGGCGCAGGATTTCCCACTAGAGTGTTGACCCAAAAGTTCCCTCCTATAGTACTCAGTACTATCAAAGGCGCTCCGAAATGTGTAGCTAACGCTTTTTGTCCATCATTCAAAAATTGTTCCACTATAACAGCGTCAAATTTTTCCTCGGAATGAATAAGTTGTTGGACTTGTTCATTGCTCAAAACCTTTTCCATAATTTTCGGCAACATGTGCCCAGCGAAAACGACCGAAAAAAAGGGATTCAAGTTTTGTCGATCCTGCATACCCATTTTTTGTTCCTTGAACATTTCTACACTTTCGTTGTATTAAAACAAGTTTGAGTTAAGGTACCTACCTTGTATGCTGTTTTGGAGTTCCGTGACGACTATGTCTCGGTACGCTCCTTTAGTTTTTGGTGGTTGCTTCTCACCATAGGCGCTGATTACGGTAACATCGTGGCCCTTTTCTGCTAAACCTTTCATAAGAGCGCTTCCAAGGATGTAGTGGCTGCGTGACGGGGCCGGAAAAATACCCAAAATTTTTGAACTGTACCCATAGTGGATTATCGCCAAAAGTAGTAGTACGTTCTTCATTGTATCACCTAGTAATCGGATCCGGTGGGTCTATGTTTGTGGAAACTAGAGAGAGGTATTTTGTTATCAGGTAAATAATAAAAGTAGTTTTTATAAAACTCAAATTGCACTTACGTACTGCATTATTTGCACTTTTAGACATGAGTACCACTTCGATCACTGATAATCGTGTTTTCTGTACCCAAGCGGTGTAAACTCTATCTAGATGACTCAACGAGTGCGTTGTGCAAATAAATTAAAACTATATTTATCTTGTTTGTTATTCCAGTGCATCTACGCCACATCTATTAACACCTTTTTATTTGTTTCTTGACGTACTCTTTTGTGACTGAATGTTTGAAAAACACAGCTAACTAGTCACTTTGAATTACTCGACACATTTTTATCACTTTATAAGCGAACTATCATCGCCCTTCTCAGTAGTAGAGATAAATTTGAACCAAGGTTACAGTAATTTATAGGCGCCTGATAATTTACGTCTGCTTTAATTTTTTACCCTTCTGTTTGTTACATATTTTTCTACAAACCGCTCTGACTGAATAGTACGAAATACATCCAATAACCAAACTAACTAAAAATAGAAAACCAATTACGTCTAACAGGTAATATTTGTACCACGGTAGATCAAGAGCTGCGACTCTCAGGTGTGGCGCTCCTTTATGCCGAATCACGTACTCGATCCAGTATATTGCAGTCTCCATTGGACTCACCTGCCTGTCATGGAAAATTTCCGACCTCTTTTTCACGTTATTTCTATACCTACGATAATTGTTTCCAGACAATATTCATAAAAACGTTATACTTACTTAGGATTATTTAAAACTTCTTGAATAGTCTGCGTAAGCCTGTCCTGAGTAATTTCACTATACGGTAACATAAGACCAAAACCGTTGTTCATAGCAGTTTTGGCGTTTAATTTTTGGTCACCGAATATCGGAATCGCCAAAATGGGTACCCCGTGGTAAACGGTCTCAGTGGTACTCAAAAAACCCCCATGCGTAATAAAAAGTTTCACATTTGGATGCGCTAGGATATCTTGTTGGGGCAGCCACTTAGACAATTTAACATTCTTCGGCTGCCCAGGCAGAACATCCTCCTCCCATTTCCACAAAACTTGTTCCTTCAACTTCGACAACGTCCTCAAAATCGCGTCCCGTTTCTCTGGTGGAAAATCAGCACTTTTCAAATTAGAACCCATGCTGAAATAGACGACACCGTCTTTCGCGTTGTCTAAAAACTCTTGCAAGTCTTGAGGGAGTTTCTTTGGTGGTTGTACGTGAAACCCTCCAATATCGATCATGTTGGGTACGTACGGCACAGGTTGGTTTAGACTCGGGTGAGAGTTCATCAAAACGAGTGAAACATTGTAAAGTACGTCAGAAATATCAACTCCATTCGGTATGTACTTTTTAATTCTGTGATTCTCGTTAGGGTATACATAAAAATGGTAAAATAATTCCGTCATTACGGACAAAATCCCATTCAAAAGTCGCTCACTAAACGTCATGGGGACCGAATAGTCTGTCAGTAACATCGGGATATAGGACGCAGGGGCAGGATTCCCGACTAACGTGTTCACCCAAGAGTTCGCCCTCACGGTACTCATCACTATTAACGGGGCCCCGAAATGAATCGCTAGTGCTTTTTGTGCGTCATTCAAAAATTGTTCTACTATCACGACATCAAATTTCTCGTTTGAGTAAATCAGGTTTTGGATTTTGTCGTCCCATAACAACGGTTCCATTATTTTGGACATCGTGTGTCCCATGAACACGGTTGCAATGAACAGGTTCATATTTTCCCAATCGGACATCTTCGGTCTTTGTTGCTTCTCCACTTCTGCAACCTTCAATTATCACTTGCATTAAAAAATAAGTGTTTAGACGTACCTTCCACTTTTTTCATGATTTCTGTGACGACTATGTCGCGGTACGTTCCTTTGGTTTTTGGTGGTTCTTTCTCACCCAAGGAACTAACCATGGTGACGTCGTGACCTTTCTCGGCTAAAGCTTTCAGGAGGGTACTGCCAAGGATGTAGTGGCTACGTCCTGGAGCGCCAAAGATGCCCAAAATTTTTGCACAACTTCCATAGCGGCTTGTTGTTAAAAAAATTAACATCACTATAACTATGTTCTTCATTTTTTTCTAATTTGACGTTAAAATGCTTGACTTAAAAGTGTTTAAGTTTAATTGACACGATTTGCGCTGGTTTATTTTGTGACATAGTCTGATCTACTTTCATTATATTGAAAGGATGAGTACGAATAAGTAACTCCAGCTGCCGCGCATATATCAACAGTCAGATATTGTTTGGCTCCCTAAAACGTGCTCTGAATTGTTATGTAATGAATAAACACACTTATATCAAAATTAGTATTACGACGCAAAAATACATGACCTTAAGCTTAAAATATTTTAGAATTGAAAAACCTGATGTTATCTATTTTATCTGTAAAGTTAGAGACATTTTAAAGGTACTCGTGAGGTTCCAGCATAAGTCAAAACTATTTTTAAATAACAAACACACATGAAGAGGATACTTGAGACTGAATATCTTCCAATATTGTGTAATATTCGTTGTCACAATGATAGTGCTAAATATATTTATTAAAGTCATGCCAAATCATTACATCTACAAACTTTGGTACTTTGGTTATTTTCTCAAATTTGTAGAAAAAAACAACGATATATTGTAATTTTTATTGATGTAGATTTACTTTTGTTTTAATTTTTTACTTTTACGTTTGTTGCATATTTTTTTACAAATCGCTTTAACTGAATAGTAGGAAATACATACAACAACCGTACTAACTAAAACTAGAAAACCAAGTACATCTAACAGGTAATATTGGTACCACGGTAGATCAAGACCTGCAACTCTCAAGTGTGGCGCTCCTTTATGACGAATCACATACTCGACCCAGTATATCGCTGTCTCCATTGGACCCACCTGTCTATCGTGAAACGTCTCAGAAATCTTTTTGGCGTTATTTCTATATCTGCAAACGACAATTATTTTCAGACCACTTTCATAAAACCACATACTTAGGATTATTTAAAATTTCTTGAATACTTTGCGTAAACCTATCCTCAGTAATCTCTTGGTACGGTAGCACAAGACCAAAACCGTTGTCCTTAGCAGTTCTGGCGTTTAATTTTTGGTCACCAAATATAGGAATCGCCAAAATGGGTACCCCGTGGTAAACGGTCTCGGTAGTACTTAAGAAACCCCCATGAGTGATAAAAAGTTTGACATTTGGGTGCGCTAGAATGTCTTGTTGGGGTAACCACTTAGACAATTTAACATTCTTCGGTTGCCCAGGCAAAACATCCTCCTCCCATTTCCACAAAACTTGTTCCTTCAACTTCGAGAACGTCCTCAAAATCGCGTCCCTTTTCTCTGGAGGAAAATCAGCACTTTTCAAATTAGAACCCATGCTGAAATAGATGACACCGTCTTTCGCGTTGTCTAAAAACCCTTGTAAGTCTTGAGGGAGTTTCTTTGGTGGTTGTACGTGAAACCCTCCTATATCGATCATATTGGGTACGTACGGCACAGGTTGGTTTAGACTCGGGTGAGAGTTCATCAAAACAATGGAAGCATTATAAAGTACGTCAGAAATATCAGGTCCGTTCGGGATGGATTTTTGAATCTTCGCGTTTTCGTTAGGGTATACAACCAAAGCGAAAAATATTTGCCCGAATACATACAAAAGACTGGTGACAAGTCGCTCACAAAACGTCATGGGGACCGAATAAGCGGTCTGTATCATTGGAATATACGACGTAGGGCTAGGATTTCCAACTATCGTGTTCACCCAAGAGTTTGCCCCCACGGGACACAGAACTATCAAAGGTGCCCCGAAATGTGTTGCTAGTGCTTTGTCTGCATCGTTCATAAATTGTTCTACAATGACTGCATCAAATTTTTCGTTGGAATGAATCAATTTTTGGACTTTTTCGTTTCGTAGCGATGGTTCCAACATCTTGGGCATGAACAGCCCTATGAAAATGGTTGAAAGGAACGGGTTCACGTCTTCCCGGTCGAACATGTTCATATTTTGCTTCTCCATCATTTCTACAACTTTCGTGTACTACATAGATTAAAAGTAGCTTGAGACTTACCTTTTCTGTTTTCTAAAATTTCTGTGACCACAATGTCTCTGTAAGTCCCTTTGGTTTTCGGTGGCTCTTTTTCACCGAAGGCACTAATCACGGTAACGTCGTGTCCCTTGTCGGCTAAGGCTTTCATTAACGTACTGTCAAGGATGTAGTGGCTACGTCCTGGTGCACTAAACACACCCAAGATTTTTGCACAACTTCCATAGTGACTTGTTAATAAAATTAGTATCACTGTAACTGTGTTCTTCATTTTGCTATTCCAAACCGAAATCACTCCTGGAGGCCGAACAGTGATAAAGATTTATCGAATAGTGACAACATTTCTAATTGTCACTACTTTATGATACTTTATCTCATAAGTGCTCTGTTTGCTTACTTTCGACATATTGAAAAAGATATCCAACGAACGCGCATGTACGAAATCGCTGGAGGAAATAGAGGTGTTAATGAAACACTATATTGTTACGAAAGAAACGCATACGCCGCCTATGACTCTTCTAGTTTTTATGTGTTTATTCTGGTATGACTCATCGACCGGGCGGCGCGGCGTTCGCTGACGAAAAACCTGGAAGCGCAACTCGTGATGGGCAACCCAGAAAACCCTCGAAGCGACGACATTAGTGATGAACATCTGTCAAGAGACTGCATACTCCGACGTACCACAAACTTTTCAAGAGAGGCTTGCTACATAAACCTTGGCAAATGGCATTCGCGACGTTGAAGTTAAGAGGGTCCTACAACTATCAAGTTATCAGATTCGTGCGCTGGAAGTGGAAGCAGCGTACAATTGTTCAAGAACCTGTCACAAAGAAAAAGCAGCTTAGAAATTCCGGCACTAGAGCTCGTTCATCTAATCGATTATCAACGGAATTTAGCAAGAGAGTTTCTGCAGAAACACAGTGGAATGTTTGCATCTGGAGAGTCCTCTGGACGCACAAACATACTCCGACATCAGATAAACACTGGAGATGCGCAACCGTCAAGCTCCACGAAGACTACTAAGGAGGACACTGATATCGGGCCGTTATGTTATTTGCCAATATTAGTCTTATCTTAGCAGGGAATGGCCCCGCCCACCCACCCTTACTTTTCTTAGAGGATGCCATTTGCGAAAATCAGTTTTATCTTAGCAGATGCTAATCCCGCCCACCCGCCCTCTATTTTCTTAGAAGGATGTCATTAGCCCAAATCAGTCTTATCTTAGCAGGTATTAGCTCTCTAAGAAAATAAAAGACGAGTGCGTGGAGCTAGTACTAGCCAAGATAAGACTGATTTTGGCAGATGACATACATTTTAAGAAAATAAAGGGCGGGCGGGTGGGGCTAATACTTACTAAAATAAGACTGATTTTGGCAGATGCCATACATTCGAAAAAAATAAAGGGTGGGTGCGCGGGGCCAATATTTGCCAACATAAGACTGATTTTGCCAAAAGAGATACCTTCTACCCTTCATTTTCTTGGAGAGTAGATTATTTGGCAATATCAGTCTTATCTTAGCAGGACTAGCCCCGCCCACCCACCCTCACTTTTCTTAGAGGTTATGTAATTTGCCAATATTAGTCTTATCTTAACAGGGAGTAGCCCCGCCCACCCACCCTCTCCTTTTTTCTTGGTTTTGTTTTTGTTTATAATTTATGTCTTATAATTTTTGTTTTGAAAAATTTGTAGGTTAAAGATTTTTAAGTCAAGGATTACTGGATTTATAAGTTGTAATGAAATAATATACATTTCCGGTTTACTGTACTAATGCGAAGAGCAAGAGACAGTATTTACTCATATTGTGATTGATATAATCTAAAAGACGACTTAACTAGAATTATAGTAGTAGACTATACTAAGGAAGTATTGTAAGGGGGTCAATCTGGCGTTTCATGATTCCTAGTGTACTAAAAAATAGATCCTCCGTTTCCGTCTGTTTGTCTGTCGTGTGTATCCCATTTTATTATTAAATTTTATAGGTATTTAAGGAAGGGGGGGGGGGGGTTGTTAGCTAAGCAAAATTTGTCTGACCATCCCCACCAACAATGTGATAACGTTCCCTTAAAATCTTGCATTTTTAATGTAATTCAAATTTCATAGTTTATACATGGTTCATGGATTTGCTTTAATTTTTACCCTAGACACCCATATTTTTCCTTTCGCTATGTAACGTAAAAAAGCTTTTTTTTTACATTTTTATCATCGTCCTTTTAGCATTTTGGTGAAATTTTTCATCACGTGTATTTAAAAATCAATATCTTTATTATTGATGGAAATTTCGTAGCAGGACAGCCAGCTTGGTCGGAAATATCAGACGAGTCACCCTCTGTCATGCAGTTGGTGGTTCCGACCACTAGAACCCAGGAAGTACTTCGAAAGGTGCACGACGGTGGTTCTGGCCCTCATTTCGGAATCAACAAGACTTATTCTAAAGTTAGGGAGAGATTTTACTGACGATCAGAATGATGACTCATCGCCGATGACGCGGCCGGCCGGCGCTCGCTACAGAAAAGCCTGGAAGCGGAACTCGCGATTGGGATTCGAGAAAGACCTCGATGGCCGCACATCTATAAGGACGTGTATGGCTCTGTAATTAGTCGCATAAATCCGAGTTACTAAGAAATAGATTGTTGAGTTTAACCCACACCTATTTTAATCATTCGTTCAATGTCAAATTCGTTGTCGCAATAATAGTGCTAATTGCGTTTATTAAATTCATGCCAAATCATCATAGCTAGAACTTTGATACTTTCGTTATTTTTTTAATTTGTAGAAAAAAACAACGGTAGATTATGTTGTAATCTTTATTGGAGTAGTTACTTTTGTTTCAATTTTTTAGTTTTACGTTTGTTGCATATTTTTTTACAAACCGCTTTAATTGAATAGTAGGAAATACATACAACAACCGTACTAACTAAAACTAGAAAACCAAGTACATCTAACAAGTAATATTGGTACCACGGTAGATCAAGACCTGCAACTCTCAAGTGTGGCGCTCCTTTATGACGAATCACATACTCGACCCAGTATATCGCTGTCTCCATTGGACCCACCTGCCTATCGTGAAACGTCTCAGAAATCTTTTTCGCGTTATTTCTATATCTGCAAAAGACAATTATTTTCAGGCGACTTTTATAAAAACCTCATACTTAGGATTAGTTAAAATTTCTTGAATACTTTGCGTAAACTTATCCTCAGTAATCTCCTGGTACGGTAATACAAGACCAAAACCGTTGTCCATAGCAGTTCTAGCGTTTAATTTTTGGTCACCAAATATAGGAATCGCCAAAATGGGTACCCCGTGGTAAACCGTCTCGGTAGTACTTAAAAAACCTCCATGAGTGATAAAAAGTTTGACATTTGGGTGCGCTAGAATATCTTGTTGGGGTAACCACTTAGACAATTTAACATTCTTGGGTTGCCCAGGCAAAACATCCTCCTCCCATTTCCACAAAACTTGTTCCTTCAATTTCGACAACGTCCTCAAAATCGCGTCCCGTTTCTCTGGTGGAAAATCAGCGCTTTTCAAATTAGAACCCATGCTGAAATAGACGACACCGTCTTTCGCGTTGTCTAAAAACTCTTGCAAGTCTTGAGGGAGTTTCTTTGGTGGTTGTACGTGAAACCCTCCAATATCGATCATGTTGGGTACGTACGGCACAGGTTGGTTTAGACTCGGGTGAGAGTTCATCAAAACAATCGAAGCATTGTAAAGTACGTCAGAAATATCAGGTCCGTTCGGGATGGATTTTTGAATCTTCGCGTTTTCGTTAGGGTATACAACCAAATCGAAAAATATTTGCCCGAATACATACAAAAGACTGTTGACAAGTCGCTCACAAAACGTCATGGGGACCGAATAATCGGTCTGTAGCATTGGAATATACGACGTAGGGCTAGGATTTCCAACTATCGTGTTTACCCAAGAATTTGCCCCTACAGCACTCAGAACTATCAACGGCGCCCCAAAATGAGTCGCTAATGCTTTATCTGCATCGCTGAAAAATTGTTCCGCGATCACTGCATCAAACTTTTCGTTAGAGTGAATCAATTTTTGGACTTCCTCGTTTTGTAACGTTGCTTCTAGCATCTTGGGCATGAAAAGCCCCATGAAAACGGTTGAAAGGAACGGGTTCACGTCTTCCCGATCGAACATATTAGTATTATACTGCTTCATCATTTCTACAACTTTCGGGTACTACATAGATTAAAAATAGCTTGGGACTTACGTTTTCTGCTTTCTAGAATTTCTGTGACCACAATGTTTGTGTAAGTTCCTTTCGTCTTCGGTGGTTCTTTTTCGCCATGGGCACTGATCACGGTGACGTCGTGCCCTTTTTCGGCTAAGGCTTTCATTAGCGCACTGTCAAGGATGTAGTGGCTGCGTCCTGAAGCGCTAAAAACGCCCAAAATTTTTGCACAACTTCCATGGTGGATTGTTGTTAACACAATTAGTATCACTGTAACTGCATTCTTCATTTTGCTATCCCAAACTGAAATCAGTCGCCTAAAAACAACGTTTCTACTTGTCACGATTTTGCGATAGTTTATCTCGTAAGTGCTCTGTTTGCTTAGTTTCGACATATTGAAAAGGATATGCAACGAAATAGAGGTTTTAATGAAAGACAATATCAAAACAAAACTTTTCTATAAACCTTCTGGCATACGAAACACGTAACAATCAAGCCCAAAGATGCGATTGTAATAATCGCTGCAATAACATCTAGTAGAAGATACTGGTACCAGGGAAGATCAACCCCTGCCACTCTCAAGTGTGGTGCTCCTCTATGTTTAATCACGTATTCCACCCAGTAGACAGCCGTGTCCAAAGGGCTAACCGGTCGATCGTGGAAAAGGTCAGACCTTCGTTTGGCGTTTTCTTTGTACCTAAAACCGACTGTCAAAATAGAGTGTCTAAATAAACTAGACGTACTTTGGATTATCCAATATCGCGTTGATATTTTCCAAAAGATTTTCCTCTGAAATTTCGCCATAAGTCAGAAAACGCCCATAACCATTTTTGACACTAAAATGCGCATTTTGCATCTGGTCACCATAGATGGGTATCGTCAGAAGGGGTACTCCATGGTACGCACTCTCAATCGAACTGACAAAACCGCCGTGCGTGATGAAGAGTTTTAAATTAGGATGGGCTGGAAAATAAACGTAGTACATAGATGACTATATTGATCCTCAAATTTACCAAAAATGTCAGGTTGTGGTGCCCATTTTATTATTTTTACGTTTGAAGGTTGGTCCGGAAGTTCATCGCCTTCCCACTTTCACAAAACCTTCTGTTTTAGCTTGGAAAAAGCCTTGATAAACTCTTGTCTCTTCTCTGGTGGAAACTGAACACCCTTGAGGTTCGAACCCATGCTGAAATAAACCACCCCTTGTTTAGCGTCGTCGAAAAAATCTTGTAAGTCTTTGGGTAGTTTGTTCGGGGGTTTCATATGAAAACCTCCCACTTCGATCATGTTGGGGACGAAAGGTAGGGGTTGATTTAGACTCGGGTGGCCATTAACCAGAAACAAAGACGTGTTATACAAGATATCGTTCAAATCACCCCCTCTTGGAATATACTGTTTGACGAAAGCATTGTGTTGGGGAAACACATAGAAGTGATAAACAAGATAATTAAAAAGATCGAGAAGACTGTTAACTAATCTATCACAGAAAGACATGGGGTGGTTATACGTGTACAAAATATTGGGAACATAAGAAGGGGGTGAAGGATTTCCCACTAGAGGGTTAATCCAGAAGTTTTGCCACACAGGACTCACAGCAATCAAAGGGGCGTCGAAATGGGTAGCGAAAGCTTTGAAAGCATCACTTAGGAAATTGTCGACAATGACAATATCAAACTTTTCGTCGGAATATAGAAGCTTTTGGATATTTGTGTGATTCAAGATGTGACCCATGAAGGTGGTGGCCATGGTTACAACGACGTAGGCTCCGACAAAAGGGTTCAACCCTTCGCGTCTAAACATGTTCCTTTCTTTGCCTTTCTCTTCTATAAATTAAAGACAGTTATAATGAATTGAAAAAACACGGTTTTGGCTTACTTGGTAAATTATCGAAGAGTCCTGGTAACAATATATCCCGATATTTTCCATTTTTGGGTGGATCTTTTTCGCCAAAAGTGTTAATAACGGTGACGTCGTGCCCTCTTTCCGCTAGTTCTCTGAATAAAGCTCTACCAAGATGATAATGGCTGTGACCTGGTAAGGGATAAATACCCAAAATCCGGGCACCATTGGCAGTATATACTTTAATATGTATTAAAGTCAACAGAAAGAGACAGTTTAAGGTTAGAATCGCCATGTTTATCAGTCGGTCATGTACACTTACTGATACATTATGTCATAGGCTTGTTTATTTACATTTTTTATCGTCGCTTTTACGGTAGTTGCTGGAGATAAAAACACGCAATTGCATCACAATTTATTATCAGAATGACTTTTCATTTCAAATTCTAGATACACATAGGTGTACAAGTTTAGTGTTTTTTGACCTTTTTGATTTTTTGCTTTGAACATAATTTTCTGCAGACTATTTTAACCACATAATACGACACCAGCACCAAACCCAAACTAACTAAAACCAAAAACCCTATCACATCTAGCAAGTGATATTTGTACCATGGTAGATCAACAGCTGCGACTCTCAAGTGTGGTGCTCCTTTATGACGAATCACATACTCGATCCAGTACATTGCGGTATCCATTGGACCCACCAGACGATCATGGAAAAGCTCAGACCTCTTTTTCGCATTAGTTTTATATCTACAAATCAAAATTTTATTACAGTCGATCTATATTTTCACGTACTTCGGGTTAGTCAAAATTTCGTGAACACTCTTAGCAAAGGTTTCTTCAGTCAGCTCGCTGTACGGCAACGCAATCCCGAAACCGTTCCTCACTGCGCTTTTGGCATTCAGCTTTTGGTCACCAAAGATAGGTATTGCCAAAACTGGCACCCCGTGGTAGATAGTCTCGGCAGTACTCAGAAAACCCCCATGAGTGATAAAAAGTTTGACGTTTAGGTGCGCAAGAATGTCCTGTTGGGGCAACCATTTCGAAAGCTTGACGTTCTTCGGTTGTCCCGGTAAAACATCGTCTTCCCATTTCCACAAAATTTTTTCCTTCAAAGTCGAGAACGTTTTCAGTACTGCGTCTCGCTTCTCTGGAAGGAAGTCCGCACTTTTTAGATTTGAACCCATGCTGAAGTAAATGACCCCGTCTTTCGCGCTGTCTAAAAATTCCTGCAAGTCTTGCGGTAGTTTCTTGGGTGGTTTGATATGAAAGCCGGCAATGTCGATCATGTTAGGGACGTACGGCACCGGTTGGTTGGTACTTGGGTGAGAATTCATCAAGACAAGCGAGACGTTGTAAAGTACGTCGGAAATATCTGGCCCGTTCGGAATGTATTTTTTGATTTTGGCGTTCTCGTTGGGGTGTACATACAAAGGATAATACACTTCGTTGAGTAGTGTTAAAAGGGTGTTTGAAAGTCGTTGCCGAAACGTCATGGGTACCGTATAACCTAGACTCAAAGCAGGAATGTATGACGTCGGTCCTGGATTACCCACTAGAGAATTGATCCAAAAGTTGGCCCCGACGGTACTTAGTAGTACTAAAGGTGCGCCGAAATGGGTAGCTAACGCTTTTTGTGCATCATTCAAAAACTGTTCGATTATTACAACGTCAAACTTTTCCTTAGAGTGAATAAGTTGTTGAACACCTTCATTGCTCAGAACCGGTTCCATTAATTTCGGTACTACGTGTCCGACGAAAAGGGCGGCAAAGAAAGGGTTCAGGTTTTCACGGTCCACCATGCTCATTTTTTCGTTCTTTAACATTTCTACAATTTTAAAGCATTATTGGTACTATTTATTTTAGTGGAGTCTAACGTACCTTGTATGCTATTTTGAATTTCCGTAACCACTATATCGCGGTACGTTCCTTTACCCTTTGGTGGTTGTTTCTCACCATAGGCACTGATCACGGTCACATCGTGTCCCTTTTCCGCCAAACCTTTCATAAGAGCACTTCCAAGGATGTAGTGACTGCGTGCCGGGGCCGTAAACAGGCCCAGAATTTTTGCACTGTTCCCAATGTGAGTTATCGCTAAAATTAGTAGTACCACCGGAACTAATATAGTCTTCATCGTTTTACCTTGTAATCCGAACTGGTGTTTTTAATTTTGTAACATTTCTGGAAACTAGAGAGACACGTAAGTACCGCGATATTCGGTTCACCTTTACATCGTAGATACATGAGTACCAGTTCAATCGCTGATAATAGTTTTTCTTGACATAAGCGGAGTAAACTCACTCCCGTAAGATTCGACGAATGCGCAGTGGAATTAAATTAAAGTTATTTATATATTACTTGTTATCACAGCATTAGAGTAACCTTGATGATATTTGTTGTCAATAAAACTACGTTCATAAAGTTCTTGCCAGATCATTGTGTTGCGAATCTCAACGTTGCAATATTATTACAAGACTCCAGGGAAACAACTGATGAAGCAAATGTGAGAGCGGAATTGAATTAAATATTGAATTGACCTTCGTGTTCTACTCTTGTGTTAATTGTTGTAGTACCGTTGAAGGTTGATTCGGTTTTTATTAAGTATACGGAATTTTCTTTTCATAGTAAGAAACTGAAAACAAAGTCAAATTGGTAAAATTTTGTAGGGAAATACGGATTTTGCAATTAAACTCCGCCCCCTGGCTAACGGCGAATAAATGCATTTTGTCTTTTTGTTTTAATATGTGTAGACTTCTTTTCACAAGAAGAAACTTATAACATGGAAAATTTGTATAAGGAAATGTCTATTTTGCAATTAGGCTCCGGCCAATAATTGGAAAATCCATATTTCCTTGTAAAAATGTACCATTTTAACCATGTTTTAAGTTTCTTGTTGTCAAAAGATGGCTGTGTAAATTAAGAAAAAAAGGCAAAATACATATAAGCCCCGCCCACCCGCCCTGTCTCATTTCTGATGATTTTTTTTATTCGTCGTGAGCCGAGGGGCCGAGCTTAATTGTAAAATCCTTATTTTTCTACGAAAGATTACCATGTGAAATATGTTCTTAAGTAATTGTGTTATACAAAGAAAACTAAATGTATTAATTGTAAAATCCTTATTTTTCTACGAAAGATTACCATGTGAAATATGTTCTTAAGTAATTGTGTTATACAAAGAAAACTAAATGTATTAATTCAAAAAGAAAACCAAAAGAGAAGTGAGTTGTAGAGCTCTAAATCTATAAGAAAATGTATTTAGTTAAGTTTCGAAAATGTCAAAAATTGAACGAAATTTGAAGAAGGGGGGACCATTGGAAAAATTTCACTTTTAAAAAAGTTGTCTAAAAATTGTGAAAAAATTCAGGGACCTAGGTCTCGTAATGCTGATTCCAAAAAAATAGAATACTTATGGTCACGGAGAAACATTTTCGATAGAATCGGTTTGAAATACGAATTTTTGAGAATTTCTAAAAATTTCGATATTTCCACGGACGATTCTGGAAAAACGGTTGCAATTATCAAAGAATCGAGGCCGAAAGTGAGTTCTAGAGAACGAAATCTACAAGAAAATGTATTTAGTTGAGTTTCGATTATGTGAAATTTTGGTCGAAATTTGAAGAAGGGGGGACCATTGGAAAAATTTCACATTTAAAAAAGTTGTCTAAAATTGTGAAAAAATTCAGGGACGTAGATCTCGACATGCTGATTACAAAAAAATAGAATACTTATGGTCACGGAGGTACATTTTCGATAGAATCGGTGCGAAATGCGAATTTTTGAGAATTTCTAAAAATTTCGATATTTCCACAGACGATTCTGGAAAAACGGTTGCAGTTATCAAAGAATCGAGGCCGAAAGTGAGTTCTAGAGCTCGAAGTCTACAAGAAAATATATTTAGTTGAGTTTCGAAAATGTGAAATTTTGGCCGAAATTTGAAGAAGGGGGGACCATTGGAAAAATTTCACCTTTAAAAAATTTGTCTAAAAATTGTGAAAAAATTCAGGGACGTAGATCTCGACATGCTGATTCCAAAAAAATAGAATACTTATGGTCACGAAGATACATTTTCGATAGAATCGGTTTGAAATGCGAATTTTTGAAAATTTCTAAAAATTTCGGTATTTCCACGGACGATTCCGGAAAAACGATTGCAGTTATCAAAGAAACGAGGCCGAAAGTGAGTTCTAGAGCTCGAAGTCTACAAGAAAATGTATTTAGTTAAGTTTCGAAAATGTGAAATTTTGGGCGAAATTTGAAGAAGTGGGGACCATTGGAAAAATTTCACCTTTAAAAAAGTTGTCTAAAAATTGTGAAAAAATTCAGGGACGTAGATCTCGACATGCTGATTCCAAAAAGATAGAATACTTATGGTCACGGAGGTACATTTTCGATAGAATCGGTGCGAAATGCGAATTTTTGACAATTTTTAAAAATTTCGATATTTCCACAGACGATTCTGGAAAAACGGTTGCAGTTATCAAAGAATCGAGGCCGAAAGTGAGTTCTAGAGCTCGAATTCTACAAGAAAATGTATTTAGTTAAGTTTCGAAAATGTGAAATTTTGGGCGAAATTTGAAGAAGGGGGGACCATTGGAAAAATTTCACCTTTAAAAAAGTAGTCTAAAAATTGTGAAAAAATTCAGGGACGTAGATCTCGACATGCTGATTCCAAAAATATTGTGTGTTGATGGTCACGGAGCAACATTTCTGAAAGAATCGCTATGAAACGCGAATTTTTGAAAATTTCTAAAAATTTCGATAATTCAACGGTCGATTCCCGAAAAACGGTTGCAGTTATCAAAGAAACGAGGCCCGAAGTGAGTTCTAGAGCTCGACATCTACAAGAAAATGTGTTTAGTTAAGTTTCAAAAATGTCAAAAATTGGCCGAAATTTGAAGAAGGGAGGACCATTGGAAAAGTTTTACCTTTAAAAAAGTTGTCTAAAAATTGTGAAAAAATTCAGGGGCATAGATCTCAACGTGCTGATTCCAAAAATATTGTGTGTTGATGGTCACGGAGCAACATTTTCGAAAGAATCGGAGCGAAATGCGAATTTTTGAAAATTTCTAAAAATGTTGGTATTTCAACGGTCGATTCCGGAAAAACGGTTGCAGTTATCAAAGAAACGAGGCCCGAAGTGAGTTCTACAGCTCGAAATCTACAAGAAAATGTATTTAGTGAAGTTTCGAAAATGTCAAAAATTGGTCGAAATTTGAAATGGAGACCATTGAAAAAATTTGTTGTAGAGAATTAATAATAATTTTGCAAAGAAGTTTGGCCCCTCGGCTTACGGCGAATAAAACAATCATCAAAATTGAAATGGGCGGGTGGGTGGGGCTTATAGTTTGCCTTTTTTGCTCAAAACACATTGCCATCTTTTCATAACAAGAAACTTAAAACATAGTTAAAATGGTTTTTCCAAAGAAATATGGATTTTGCAATCATGGGGCGGAGCCTATTTGCAAAATCGATATTTCCTTATTCAAATTTTCCATTTTAAATATGTATTAAGTCTCATGTTGTAAAATGAAGTGTACACATATTAAAACAAACGGGCAAAATGTAAGCCCGCCCACCCGCCCTATCTCAATTGTGATGATTTTTTTTTATTCGCCGTAAATCAAGGGGGCAGAGCTTAACTGCAAAATACTTATTTCTTTACAAGAAGTTAAAATGATAGGTTTGAGTATCGTGTTGTTGAAAGAATACTATATATAGAAAGAAAATAGAGAACATATAAACTAAGAATAAGATGAATTTTCTATTCCTTATCATACCCAGGGGCGGGGCGTAATTGAAAAATCCATATTTGATAACGTTGTAAGTCTTTGGTTGTGAAGAGAGGACTACATACAGTAAGAAGAACAAAGCAACATGCAAGCCCCGCCCACCCGCAGAAATTTACCATTTTGAACATGTTTTCTTTCATGTTGTGAAAACATAAGCCCCACCCACCCACCCTATCTCTATTGTGATGATTTTTTTTATTCGTCGAGAGTTATCAAAAATTTGCCATTTTAAGCATGTTTTAAGTTTCTTGTTACGAGGAGAAGACCACATATAAAAAGAGGCAAATTATAATCTACCACATGTTCAGACCAACAGCTTTACTGTCAAATTTTGCTAATAATAAATTAGGAATTAATATTGATAAGTGTAAAGTAACATTAATATATTTTATGATAATTTCAGATCTGTTAAGATAAAAACTAAATTGCTACATTTGTGTAAGAATTTTTGATGTATTCCTCGTGTTTATTTTCATTTTATTCTTTCTATTTCCTCATCACATTTACTATTGTTGATGTTATTGTTAATTAGAATAAGACTTAGTTATTGGTGTAGTTTTACTTCTTTTTTAATTTTTTACTTTTGCGTTTGTTACATATTTTTTTACAAACTGTTCTGACTAAATAGTAGGAAATATAGCTAATGACCGCACTAACTAAAACCAGGAAACCAATTACATCCACCAAGTAATATTGGTACCAGGGTAGATCAAGAGCTGCGACTCTCAGGTGTGGCGCTCCTTTATGACGAATCACGTACTCGACCCAGTATATCGCTGTCTCCATTGGACTTACCTGTCTATCATGAAAGTTTTCAGAAATCTTTTTCGCGTTTTCTTTATATCTACAAGATAAATGACAATTATTTAGAGACGACACAATAAAAACATCATACTTAGAATTATTTAAAATTTCTTTAATACTTTGCGTAAGTTTTTCCTCAGTAATTTCACTATATGGTAACACAAGACCAAAACCGTTGTTCATAGCAGTTCTAGCGTTTAATTTTTGGTCACCGAATATAGGAATCGCCAAAATGGGTACCCCGTAGTAAACGGTCTCGGTAGTACTTAAAAAACCCCCATGCGTGATAAAAAGTTTGACATTTGGGTGCGCAAGAATATCTTGTTGGGGTAACCACTTAGACAATTTAACATTCTTCGGCTGCCCAGGCAAAACATCCTCCTCCCATTTCCACAAAACTTGTTCCTTCAACTTCGAGAACGCCCTTAAAATCGAATCCCTTTTTTCGGGTGGAAAATCAGCACTTTTCAAGTTAGAACCCATGCTGAAATAGATGACACCGTCTTTCGCGTTGTCTAAAAATTCCTGCAAGTCCTGAGGGAGTTTCTTTGATGGTTTTACGTGAAACCCTCCAATATCTATCATGTTGGGTACGTACGGCACAGGCTGGTTTAAACTCGGGTGAGAGTTCATCAAAACCAGTGAAGCATTGTAAAGTACGTCAGAAAGATCAGGTCCGTTGGGTATGTTTTTTTTAATATTGGCGTTCTGGTTAGGGTGTACAACCAGACTGAAAAACGTTTGAGCAAATACGTATAAAAGAGTATTTGTAAGTCGTTCACAAAACGTCATGGGGACCGAATATTCTGCCATTACCATCGGAATATATGATAGAGGGCCAGGGTTTCCAACTATCGTGTTTATCCAAAAGTTCGTCCCCACAGTACTCATAACAATTAAAGGCGCCTTAAAGTGAGTCGCTAGTGCTTTCTCTCCATCATTCATGAATTGTTCCACTATCACAACGTCAAAAGTTTCGTTCGAATGAATCAACTGTTGGACTTCCTTGTTCTGTAACGTTGGTTCCAAAATTTTGGGCATCATATATCCCAGGAAAACGGTTGAAATGAACGGGTTCATGTTTTCCCGATCGAACATATTCATTTTTTGTTGCTTCTGCATTTCTGGAACATACATTTATTTTGTAAAAAAGACTAAAAATTTCTGACATACCTTGTATGTTTTCTAGAACCTCTGTAACCACTATGTCTCGGTAAGTCCCTTTCGTTTTCGGTGGTTTCTTTTCACCAAAAGAACTGATCATGGTGACATCGTGTCCATTTTCGGCTAATGCTTTCATTAAAGCACTACCAAGGAAGTAGTGACTTCGTCCTGGTGCACTAAACACACCCAAAATTTTTGCACAACTTCCACAATGAGTTGTTGTTAGCAAAATTAATATCACTGTAACTACGTTCTTCATTTTGTAAGGTTATTTCAGTCGATTAATATCACTGTAGACCCAACCGGGACAAAGTTTTATTTAAAAATGTGTAAGTTTCTGATTATCACAATTTCGTTTATCTTGTGAAGTATTCTGTTTACTTTTTTTTATCATTTCTAAAGCTGAAAACAACTCTATCTTTGTCCTTATTTTTCTACGAGAGATTACCATGGGAAATATGTTCTTAAGTAATTGCGCTATACAAAAAAACTAAATGTATTAATTTAAAAAGAAAACCAAAAGAGAAGCTCCATTCATCCGTCTCGATCTTTCAATTCCTTGTCAGACTCAGGGGCGGAGCGTAATTGTAAAACACACATTTGTTAAAGTTTTAAGTCTTTGGTTGTAAAGAAAGGACTACATACAGTAAGATGGACAAAGCAACATGCAAGCCCCGTCCACCCGCCCTATCTCAACTGTGATGATTTTTTTATTCATCGTAAGCCGGGGGCGGAGCTTAACTGCAAATTCCTTATTTTTTTTGCAAGAAATTACCATGCGAAACAAGTTCTTAAGTATATAATTATAGTGTTTCAAGAAAACTACATGTATTAAGTAAATAAAAAAGAAAGACAAATATTAAGCCCCACCTATACCCGCCCTGATCTAAAGTATGATGAATTTTTCATTCGTTGCCAGACCGACGAGTGGGGCATAATTGCAAAATCCTTATTTCTCTAGAAAAATGTACCATTTTGAACATGTTTTCTTTCATGTCGCGAAAATATAAGCCCCACCCACCCACCCTATCTCAATTGTGACGATTTTTTTTATTCGTTGTAAGCCAATGGGGCGGAGCTTAACTGCAATACTTAAGTTTCTTATTACGAGGAGAAGACCACATATAAAAAGAGACAAATTATAATCTACCATATGTTCAGACCAACAGCTTTACTGCCCAATTTTGCTAATAATAAATTAGGAACTAATATTGATAAATGTGAAGTAATGTTTACTTACCTTAAATTAATTAATTCCATCACAGCTCACAACATTGATATATTTTAAGATAATTCCACTTTTGCTAAGAAGAATTTTTCAACAGTCTTGGATTTCTTGGATTGTTTGTAATTCTTAAATTTCTTTAGTTTCTTGGATTTCACAGAATTCTTTGATTTATCGAATTTCTTGAATTTCTTTGCAACTCGGAATTCTTGGAATTTTTGAGATTCTTGGAATTGTTGAGATTCTTGGAATTTTCAACTTTTTTTAATTTGTTGTATTTCTTGGAATTCTTGGATTTCTTGGATTTTATGGATTTCTTAAAATTCTTGGATATCTTGGATTTATGGAATTTCTTGGAGTTCTTAGACTCTTCGATTTCTTGAAATTTTTGTAATTCTTGGAATTTGTTGTGTTTCTTGGGATCCTTGTAATTTTCGACATTCTTGAATGTCTTGGATTCCTAGGATTTCTTGGATTTCTTGGAATTCTTGGTTTTGCTGGAATGCTCGAATTTCTTAGTTTTCTTTGGATTTTAGGATTTTTGGAATTTTTGAGATTTTTGGAATTGTCGGGTTTCTTGGATTCCTTGGAGTTATCGAATTTCCTAGATTCCTCTGAATCTTGAAATTCTTCTAATTATTGAGTTTCTTGAATTCCTTGGATTTATTGAATTGCTTGGATTTCCTTGATTTAAAGGATGTTGGAATTCTTGGGATTCTTGGAACTGTTGGAGTTCTTGGAATTTTTGAATTTTTCAACAGTCTTGGATTTCTTGGATTGTTTGTAATTCTTAAATTTCTTTAGTTTCTTTGATTTATCGAATTTCATGAATTTCTTACATTTCGGAATTCATGGAATTTTTGGGAATGTTGAAATTGTTGGGTTTCTTGGGATTCTTGGAATTCTCAACATTTTTGAGTTTGTAGAATTCTCGAATTTCTTAGTTTTCTTTGGATTTTAGGATTTTTGGAATATTTGAGATTTTTGGAATTGTCGGGTTTCTTGGATTCCTTGGAGTTATCGAATTTCCTAGATTCCTCTGAATCTTGAAATTCTTGTAATTATTGGGTTTCTTGAGTTCCTTAGATTTATTGAATTGCTTGGATTTCCTTGATTTCGGGATTGTTGGAATTCTTGGGATCCTTGGAACTGTTGGAGTTCTTGGAATTTTTGAATTTTTCAACAGTCTTGGATTTCTTAGATTGTTTGTAATTCTTAAATTTCTTTAGTTTCTTTGATTTATCGAATTTCATGAATTTCTTGCATTTCGGGATTCTTGGAATTTTTGGGATTGTTGGAATTGTTGGGTTTCTTGGGATTTTTGGAATTCTCAACATTTTTGAATTTGTTGAATTTCTAGGACTTCTTGGAACTATTAAATTTCTTGTATTTCTTGGATTTATGGAATTTCTTGGAGTTCTTAGACTCTTGGGATTCTTGGAATTTTTGTGATTTTTGGAAGTGTTGCGTTTCTTGGGATCCTTGAAATTCTCGACATTCTTGAATGTCTTGAATTCCCACGATTTGTTGGATTTTTTAAAATTCTTAAATTTCTTGGATTTCTTTTGTCTTGTCTTGAGAAAAATGTTAAGACGTTGATAATAACTTTCATATTTCGAAAAACAATTCTCAGAGTTTTGAAATTTATTTGTCAACTTCTTTGCAAATTTTTTTTACAAATTTATAAAGTTTCTTTTTAAGCATCAATTTTTTTCTTGAGAAACTTGATGGTTTTGTGTTTTTATCTTAATTCTGAAAATTTTTATTTTGAAATTTCCTGTGTATTTTTCTCTTGGATCTTTAAATAAGAGTAAAAAAATTAAGGAGGGTTGAAAATTTTAAATAAATAATTTTTGAGATTGTACGTGTCAAAATATGAAGTTTTTTAATAATCTCATAATCAAACTGTTGAAACATTCCTGCAAACCGTAAGCTTTGTCTCAGTCGAAAAAGGTTTTGTCCTTGTCTTAAGAAAACAATTAACATTTTGATAATAATTTCCATAATTCGAGAAAAAATTCCGAAAAATTTGGAATTTGTCAACTTATTTGAACATTTTCTGGAAGTTTTTAAATTTCCTTTTATTATTTTGATAAAATTTCCAAAATTTTAAAGTTTTTCTTTAAACAAATAATTTCAAAATGTCTATTTTTCCTTTATTTTGAAACTTCTGTCAAATTTTCTCTTGTATCTTGAAATGAAAAAAACTAAACTGGTGTAGTTTTACTTCTGTTTTAATTTTTTGCTTTTCCGTTTGTTACATATTTTTTTACAAATTGCTCTGATTGAATAGTAGGAAATATAGCTAATGACCGCACTAACTAAAACCAGGAAACCAATTACATCCACCAAGTAATATTGGTACCAGGGTAGATCAAGAGCTGCGACCCTCAGGTGTGGCGCTCCTTTATGACGAATCACGTACTCGACCCAGTATATCGCTGTCTCCATTGGACTCACCTGTCTATCGTGAAAGTTTTCAGAAATCTTTTTCGCGTTTTCTTTATATCTACAAGATAAATGACAATTATTTAGAGACGACAGAATAAAAACATCATACTTAGAATTATTTAAAATTTCTTGAATACTTTGCGTAAGTTTTTCCTCAGTAATTTCACTATAGGGTAACACAAGACCAAAACCGTTTTTCATAGCAGTTCTAGCGTTTAATTTTTGGTCACCGAATATAGGAATCGCCAAAATGGGTACTCCGTGGTAGACGGTCTCGGTAGTACTTAAAAAACCTCCATGCGTGATAAAAAGTTTGACATTTGGATGCGCTAGAATATCTTGTTGGGGTAACCACTTAGACAATTTAACATTCTTCGGCTGCCCAGGCAAAACATCGTCCTCCCATTTCCACAAAACTTGTTCCTTCAACTTTGAGAACGCCCTTAAAATCGAATCCCTTTTCTCGGGTGGAAAATCAGCACTTTTCAAATTAGAACCCATGCTGAAATAGATGACACCGTCTTTCGCGTTGTCTAAAAATTCCTGCAAGTCCTGAGGGAGTTTCTTTGATGGTTTTACATGAAAACCTCCAATATCTATCATGTTGGGTACGTACGGCACAGGTTGGTTTAAACTCGGGTGAGAGTTCATCAAAACAATCGAAGCATTGTAAAGTACGTCAGAAAGATCAGGTCCGTTGGGTATGTTTTTTTTAATATTGGCGTTCTGGTTAGGGTGTACAACCAGACTGAAAAACGTTTGAGCAAATACGTATAAAAGAGTATTTGTAAGTCGTTCACAAAACGTCATGGGGACCGAATATTCTGTCATTACCATCGGAATATACGATAGAGGGCCAGGGTTTCCGACTATCGTGTTTATCCAAAAGTTCGCACCCACGGTACTCATAACAATTAAAGGCGCCTTAAAGTGAGTCGCTAGTGCTTGCTCTCCATCATTCATGAATTGTTCTACTATCACAACGTCAAAAGTTTCGTTTGAATGAATCAATTGTTGGACTTCCTTGTTCTGTAACGTTGGTTCCAAAATTTTGGGCATCATATATCCCAGGAAAATGGTTGTAAGGAACGGGTTCATGTTTTCACGATCGAACATATTCATCTTTTGTTGCTTCTGCATTTCTAGAACATAATTTGTAACAAAGATTAAAAATGTGTGTGTGGACTTACCTTGTATGTTCTCTAGAACTTCAGTGACCACTATATCTCTGTAAGTACCTTTCGCTTTTGGTGGCTCCTTTTCACCAAAAGCACTGATCATGGTAACATCGTGTCCCTTTTCGGCTAATGCTTTCATTAGAGCACTGCCAAGGAAGTAGTGACTTCGTCCTGGTGCACTAAACACACCCAAAATTTTTGCACAACTTCCACAATGACTTGTTGCTACCAAAATTAACATCACTATAACTGCGTTCTTCATTTTGTAAGTTTATTTCAGTCGACTAATATCACTGTGGACCCGACAGTAACAAGGTTGTATTTAAAAATGTTTAAGTCTCTCGTTATCACAATTACGTGATAGTTTATCTTGTGAAGTACTCTGTTTACTTTTTTTATCATTTTTAAAGACTATTTTTGTCACCGATTTTTTATCTTGTGATTGTTTCCCTATCTACAATACATATTACCTTGGAAACTTGCAGAATAAAACAACTTTCTATTACATTCCAATTTTTATTGTTCAATAAATTTTACTTCTGCTTTAATTTTTTACTTTTCCCTTTCTTGCACAATTTTTTGCAAACCGCTCTTATCGAATAGTAAGAAATACATGCAATCACCGAGCTAACTAAAACTAGAAAACCAATTACATCTAGTAAATAATATTGGTACCACGGTAGATCAAGAGCTGCAACTCTCAAATGTGGTGCTCCTTTATGACGAATCACATACTCGATCCAGTATATCGCAGTCTCCATTGGACTCACCTGTCTTTCGTGGAAGTTTTCCGAAATCTGTTTGGCGTTATCTTTATATCTACAACATAAATCACAATTATTATTTCCAGACGACAGAAAAAAACATCATACTTAGGATTATTTAAAATTTCTTGAATACTTTGTGTCAGTTTATCTTCCGTAAGCTCACTGTACGGTAACACAAGCCCAAAACCCTTGCTCATGGCACTTTTGGCGTTCAATTTTTGATCACCAAGTATAGGAATCGCCAAAATGGGTACCCCGTGGTAAACGGTCTCAGTAGTACTTAAAAAACCCCCATGCGTAATAAAAAGTTTCACATTTGGATGCGCTAGAATATCTTGCTGTGGGAACCACTTAGACAATTTAACATTCTTCGGCTGCCCAGGCAAAACATCCTCCTCCCATTTCCACAAAACTTGCTCCTTCAACTTCGCGAACGTCCTCAAAATCGCGTCCCTTTTCTCTGGTGGAAATTCAGCACTTTTCAAATTAGAACCCATGCTGAAATAAATAACCCCGTCCTTCGCGTTGTCTAAAAACTCTTGCAAGTCTTGCGGGAGCTTCTTTGGGGGTTTGACGTGAAACCCTCCTACGTCAATCATGTTGGGTACGTACGGCACTGGTTGGTTCAGACTCGGGTGAGAGTTCATCAAAACTATTGAAGCATTGTAAAGTACGTCAGAAATATCAGGTCCGTTCGGGATGTATTTTTTGATTTTTGCGTTTTCGGTAGGGTACACGTACAGATGGTAAATAATTTGGCCGATTACGTGCAAAACACTGTTCATAAGACGCTCACAGAACGTCATAGGGACCAAATAGTCTGTCAGAACCGTCGGAATGTATGACGTAGGGCCAGGGTTACCAACGATCGTGTTTACCCAAGAGTTCGCTCCTACAGGACTCACAACTATCAACGGTGCCCCAAAATGCGTCGCTAGTGCTTTTTCTGCATCATTTACAAACTGTTCGATGATGACAACATCGAATTTTTCGTCAGAGTGAATCAGTTTTTGCACTTCTTTGTTTCCTAACACTGGTTCCATCATTTTTGGCATCATATACCCGATTATAATGGTTTCCAAGAATGGGTTTCCCTTTTCCCGATCGAACATGTTCATTTTTTGCTCTTTGATCATTTCTGAAACATTCGTGTACTACATAGCTAAATTAAAAATGGTTTTGAATGTACCGTTCATGTTTTCTATAACTTCTGTGACCACTATGTCTCGGTACGTTCCTTTCGTTTTTGGTGGTTCCTTCTCGCCGAAGGAACTGATCATGGTGACATCATGTCCTTTCTCGGCTAAGGCTTTCATTAAGGTGGCGCCAAGGAGGTAGTGGCTGCGTCCCGGTATACTAAAAACTCCCAGGATTTTGGCACAACTTCCACATTGAGTCGTTGCTAATAAAATTAGGATCACTGGAACTAAGCTCTTCATTTTTTCCTTCCACGCCGGGTTCAATCATTTAACTAATTAAATCACTATAAAATTTAGCAGTGATAACTTTTTATCAGAATGTGGTTAAGTTTCTGATTAACACGAATTTGTGATAGGTTATCTCTGGCAGTACTCTGTCTGTTGTACTTTCATCATATTAAAAGATGAGTACCATTACGTAACGAACGCGCTTGTATGTAAAGTCAGATGTCAAGACTAATCTATTTTCGTCATTTTATCTTGTAATACGTAAAACGTGGTTTTCAGTTTGTTACGTAAAGAATAATTAAACATATCATTATTATTGTTTTAATTATAATGCATTTCTTTTATTTGTTCCGAGTAGTACTTGTAAGATAAGACTGTTGGCAAATGACCTACTATTTAAGGAAATAAAAGTTGGGTTAGCGGAGCGAATATTTGCTGAGATAAACTGAGATTGCCAAATGGCGAAGAAAATAAGGGCGCCTGGGCGGGGGCAGTACTTGCCAAGATAGGACTGATTTTCCCTAAGGACGTATCCGCTAAGACAACAAAGGGCGAGTGGGTGGGGCTAGTATTTGCCCATGATAAGACTAATTTTGGCAAATAACCTACTCACTAAGAAAATGAAGGGTGAGTAGCGGGGCTGGTATTTACGAAAGTAAGACAGATTTTGCCAAATGACATACCCTCTAAGAAAATAATGGCTAGAGGGTATGCCATTTGGCAAAGTCAGTCTTATCTTAGCAAGTACTAACCCCGCCCACCCACCCTTTATTTTTTTCGAGGATATGCCATTTGCCAACATCAGTTTTTTCTTAGCAAGTACTAGCCCCGCCCACCCGCCCATTATTTACTTGGAGATTAGGTGATTTGCAAAAATTAGACTTATTACGACAAGTTTTAGCCCCGCCAGCCCACCCTTTATTTTATCTTTATTTTATTTATTTACATTGTAATTGGTAATAAAAATAACTCTGTTTATTCCCCCCAAAAAATTGATGAGGTTATCTCAACATTTTAAATAAATTCTACCCAAAATGTGCAGAATAATCTGCTAAGATAAGACTGATTTTCCCAAATAATATCCTCTAAGAAAAGTGAGGGTGGGTGGGTGGGGCTAGTTCCTGCTAGAGTGATTTTGGTAGATGACATACCTTCTAAGAAAATAGAGAGTGGGTGGGCGGGGTTTGTATTTGATAGGATAAGACTGATTTTGGCAAATAACATACCCTATAAGAAAATAAAGGGTGGGTGGGAGGGGTTAGTACTTGATAAGAAAAGAGTGATTTTGGCAGATGACATACTCTGTAAGAAAATTAGGGTGGGTGGGCGGGGCAAGTATTTCATAAGATAAGACTGACTTTGGCAAATGACATATCATCTAAGAAAATAGAGGGTGGGTGGGCGGGGCTAGTACTTGATAAGAAAAGAGTGATTTTGGCAGAGATATACCTTCTAAAAAAATAGAGAGTGGGTGGGCGGGGTTTGTATTTGATAGGATAAGACTGATTTTAGCAAATAACATAAGAAAATAGAGGGTGGCGGGGTGGGGCTAGTACTTGATAAGAAAAGACTGATTTTGGCAGATGACATACCCTGTAAGAAAATTAGGATGGGTGGGCGGGGCAAGTATTTCATAACATAAGACTGACTTTGGCAAATGACATACCATCTAAGAAAATAGAGGGTGGGTGGGCGGGACTAGTAGTTGATAAGAAAATAGTGATTTTGGCACATGACATACCTTCTAAGAAAATAGAGAGTGGGTGGGTGGGGTTTGTCTTTGATATGGTAAGACTGATTTTGGCAAATAACATAAGAAAATAGAGAGTGGGTGGGCGGGGCTAGTACTTGATAAGAAAAGACTGATTTTGGCAGATGACATACCCTGTAGGAAAATTAGGGTGGGTGGGCGGGGCAGGTATTTCATTAGATAAGACTGACTTTGCCAAATGACATACCCTCTAAGAAAATAATGGCTAGAGGGTATGTCATTTGGCAAAGTCAGTCTTAACTTAGCAAGTACTAACCCCGCCCACCCACCCTTTATTTTCTTAGAGGGTACGTCATTTGGCAAAATCAGTATTATCTTGGCAAGCACTAGCCCCGCCCAACCGCCCTTTATTTTTTTCGAGGATATGCCATTTGGCAATATCAGTTTTTTCTTAGCCCGCCCACCCGCCCATTATTTAGTTGGAAATTATGTGATTTGCCAAAATTAGCCTTATTACGGTAAGTTTTAGCCCCACCCGCCCACCCTTTATTTTATTTATTTATTAATTGGTAATCAAAATAACTCTGTTTATTCCTCCCAAAAAATTGATGAGGTTATCTCAAAATTTTAAATAAATTCTACCCAAAATGTGCAAAATAATCTGCTAAGATAAGACTGATTTTTCCAATAAGAAAAGCGAGGGTGGGTGGGCGGGCTAGTTCCTGCTAGGATAAGACTGATATTGGCAAAAGACCCATTCTCTAAGAAAATGAAGGGCGAGTGGATGGGGCTGGTATTTACTAAGATAACAATTTATTTGTTTTTCTATTCCAAAACTTTGTGATAACTCCATATTTTTATGTGAACAAGAAAAACGACGACATAAAAACAAAAAGAAAGTAGAAACAAAATACAAAAAAGGTGACAAAAAAGCGAAAACTAAGTGAAAGGGCTACAAAAAGGTTACGAAGAAAGGACAATAAAAAAGGAAACAACAACGCGACAACAAATGCAAAAAGAAACTAAAAATGCGACAAAAAAGGGACAATAAAAAAAGAACGATACAAAAAAGGAGACAAAAAGGGAGTTAAAAAGACGCGAAAAATTAGCCCCAAAAATGCAGTAAAGAACAAACCAAAAGAAAAAGCAGAAAGAACCCACAAAAAGGGTACAAAAAACAGGAAAAAGGGCTATCAAATGGAAAATTTTAAGCAAGGATAAAGAAAACCAACAAAAGTGGGACAAAAGAAAGGTGACAATAAAGACCAAAAGACGATAAAGAACGACTAAAGAAGACGACGAAAACGCTCCTAGAAAAGGTTACAAAAAACAACAAAGGATGCTACAATAAAATGCAAAAAAAAGGGGGCAAGGAACAAAAAAGAACGGCAAAAAAGGCAAAACAGAGTGACAAAAAGCCATAAAAAGCGACGAAAAAGTAATAAAATAATTGGAACGTCGAGATGTAGAAATTAATCTTTTTTTTTCAAATTTTTCAATCTTTTCTGAAAGCTCTATTTTTTAACACTCTCCTTTTATGAAAATTCCTACCTAATTTCGATCATTTTCGAAAATGACTAATAGATTTTACTGTAGATTACGACCTCCAGAAAATACTGTCGGCCTCTAGTACATGCTAAGATAAAACTAATTTTGGCAAATCACACACCCTGTAAGAAAAATAGGGTGGGTGGGCGGGGCTAGTACTTGCTAAGACAAGATTGAATAATATTAAGAGTAGTAACTGGAATAAAGAGGGGGTCGCTGGACGGGACCACTCCTTGTTTACAAGACTCTTAGCTTAAACTCAGCTCCGCCCTCGATTTTTTGTTTGAATTTTTCAATTCTTCAATCTTTCATTTTTTTTCTTCGGTTTTCGATTTGCAATTTTTCGAGTTTTCAAGTTCAAAATTTTCGATTTTCCAACTTTTGGTTTGAAATTTTAAAATCTTTCGGTTATTTATTTTCATTGTTTTTTCACTTATTCGTTTTTTCAGTGTTTCGGTTTTATTTTATTTTTCAATTTTAATTTTTTCTGTTTCAGTTTTTCATTTTTTTGTTTTTTCATTTTTTAGATATGTGACTCTTCGAGTTCTCATTTTTCCATTTGCAATTTTTCGAGTCCTCAATTTTCAATTTCTCACTTTTTGGATTTTGCAATTTTTCGTTTCTTCAATTTTTCGATTTGTAATTTTTCAATTTTTTATTTTTTTGTTAGTATTTGCCTGAGAAGACTGATTTTGGCAAATCACATTCGTTCCAAAAATATAAAGAGCGGGTGGGCGGGCCTAATACATGCTAAGTTAAATCTAATTTTGGTAAATCACATTCCTTCCTAAAAGATAGAGAGAGGGTGGGTGGGCGGGGCTAGTGCTTGACACAACAAAGTAAAAAGGGGTCCGCCCCACCCATCGTTATTTCGTTTTCATCATTCGTTGTTATTGGCTCTGAAGAAAGAATTTCACCAGTTTTCAATTGTTAATCATTCAATTTTTCAATTTTAAAATTATAAAATCGACAGAACTATTGAAAAGATAAAGGAATTATAAAAAGAAAAAATTGTGATCTGAAATCGAGAATATGAAAATAAAAAAATCGTGAAAAAATTTAGCGAAGGTAAATAGAAGATCCAGATGTTTCAAAGAATTATAAGATGTGATTTTGCGAATTTCATTACTTCCCGAGGTTAAGCTAAAGAAAGAAAAGAAAAGAAGACTTCGTATATTAAGAAAAAAATGGACAAAATATAAGCCCCGCCCACCCACCCCTTATTCATCGTAAGCTGAAGGGCGGAATTTAGTTTGCAAAATCGTCATTTCTTTACAAGAAATTTCCATATGAAATATGTTTTTAAAAGGGTAGAATTTTTTAGAGAAATTTTTATGTAAAAACATATTTCATATGATAATTTCTTGTAGAGACATGAGGATTTTGCAATTAAGTAAACTCTGCTCTTTGGTCTGATTAGGAATGAAAAACTCATCACAATTGAGACCAGGGCGGGCGGGTGGGGCTTAATTTTTGATTTTTTTTTTGATACATAGAGTTTTCGTTCAATTACAGAATAGTTAAACATGTTGTCAGTTTTTTGTTGGGAAAAGAAGACTCCGTATATTAAGATAAAGTGGACAAAATATATAAGCTATAAACTAGGCAAGGCTGTAGTTAGGGGGAGGTTAGGGGATGCTGACATTCTAAAACAGTTGAAAAATTGCCTGTTGCATTTAAACATTTTATCTATATTGCTGCAATTTTACGACGCTTTAAGAAAATCATTAGTAATTGCATAATATTTACCAAGTAAATAACATTAATACATATTGGATTAAAAGGTGTGTTTATTTGAAGAGGATAGATAAAATTGAAACTTTTCAATGTTGTGTAACCTTGTGTAATATTCTTTGTCAGAATGATGATGCGACTTACATTTCTAAAATTATTGCCAAGTCATTGTAGATTCTCAGATTACGTCTGCTTTAATTTTTTACTTTTGCAAATTTTTTTCAAAACTGCTCTAATTGAATAGTAAAAAATACATCCGCTGACCAAACTAATTAAAACTAGAAAACCAAATACGTCAAGCAAGTAATATTGGTACCAAGGTAGATCAAGAGCTGCAACTCTCAGGTGTGGTGCTCCTTTATGACGAATCACATACTCGATCCAGAATATCGCTGTTTCCATTGGAGTATTCTGCCGGTCGTGAAAAGCTTCAGACTTCTTTTTCGCGTTATTTCTATATCTGGAAGACAAATGGTAATTATTTACGAAGGATGTTCATCAACGCATCATACTTAGGATCGTTCAAAATTTCTTGAATATTTTGGGTCAAACTTTCTTCGGTAATATCATTGTAGGGTAACATACGACCAAAACCATTGTTCACAGCCGCTTTAGCGTTTAGTTTTTGATCACCAAAGACGGGAATCGCCAAAATAGGCACCCCGTGGTAGATAGTCTCGGTAGTACTTAATAAACCTCCATGGGTAATAAAGAGTTTGACATTTGGATGTGCCAGAATGCTTTGTTGTGGCAACCATTTCGATAGCTTGACATTCTTTGGTTGTCCAGGTAGAACATCCTCCTCCCATTTCCACAAAACTTGTTCCTTCAATTTCGAGAACGTCCCCAAAATCGCGTCCCTTTTCTCTGGTGGCAACTCAGCACTTTTCAAATTAGAACCCATGCTGAAATAAATAACACCGTCTTTCGCGTCATCTAAAAATTCTTGCAAGTCTTGAGGGAGTTTCTTTGGTGGTTGTACGTGAAACCCTCCAATATCTATCATGTTGGGTACGTACGGTACTGCCTGGTTTATGCTCGGGTGAGAGTTCATTAAAAAAATTGAAGCATTGTAAAGTACGTCATTAATGTCAGGTCCGTTCGGGATGTACTTTTTAATCCTCGCGTTCTGGCCAGGGTACACAAACCATTTGAAAAGTACTTCCGTCATTACAAACAAAAGACTGTTTTCAACTCGTTGAAGAAACGTCATGGGGATTGAATACTCCGTCGACATCATCGGAATATACGAAATAGGTGAAGGGTTTCCGACTAACGTGTTTACCCAATAGTTAGCCCCCATGGAACTCAAAACTATTAAAGGTGCCCCGAAATGATTAGCTAACGCTTTCTCTGCATCATTCATAAACTGTTCTACAATCACAGCATCGAATTTTTCGTTGGAGTGAATCAATTTTTGGATTTCTTTGTCCCGTAACGATGGTTCCATCATTATAGGCAACATTCGTATCAGAAATGCGTTTGCAGTGAACGGGTTCATGTCCCCATGATCGAACATACTCATTTCACCCCTCTTTGCCATTTCTGCAATAGTTGTGAGCTGGATATTTCAATTAAAACTGGCTGTTTGAGTGTACCTACCTTTCATGTTTTCGGCAACCGCTGTAATGACAATGTCTCTGTAAGTTCCTTTCGTTTTTGGGGGTTCCTTCTCGCCGACGGAACTAATCAGGGTGACATCGTGTCCTTTCTCGGCTAAAGCTTTCATTAAGGTTCTACCAAGGCTGTAGTGGCTGCGGCCTGGTGACGTAAAAACCCCCAAAATTTTTGCACAACTTCCATAGTGAGTTGTTAACAAAATTAGTAATGCTGTAATTATGGTCTTCATTTTAGTTGCGCTAAATCGAAGTCAGTCGACTAGCAGGACTAATGGTAATGTTTTATCGCATAGTTATTAAATCTCTATGTACACAAATTGCGATAGTTTATCATGAAATATTCTGTTTGTTCTACTATCATGATGTTAAAAATATGAGTTCTAATAAGTAACTCTTTTCGCTATCTAAATTATTATGTAATGATTAAACCGAGACTCATCCCAAAATTATTGTGTTTGATTTTAATTTTTCTTTGTATAGTAGTAAGGGTTTCTGCGAAAGGAAACAGAATGACAGCCCATGAGTACCAAGCACAAAAAAAAGCATTGAAGACGGCACTTTCAATCCAATAAATACTGCTTCTCTGAACAATTATAAAAATTTTCGGGATAAGCTCTATGGAGTAAAAACAATATATGTATATATGTATATGTCTAATATCCTTGGTCGGAAATGATAGTGACAGGTGACAAACACAGAAAAACGCAACTTCAGTAGATTTTTTTCTGCATTCAAAACGAATTGCTACACCACATAGTTTGGTTTTTGTAAAAGGTTCAGGCAAAATTAAAGAAAATTTCTATTCCAGTGTCAAAATTCTGTAAACCGGGTAGTTAAGCAAAGAACAATTTGATCTAACTTTTTGGACGAAAATTTAATCGAGTTTAATAGAGTTTGTAATTTTTTAATCTTTCCAACTGAAGAGTTTAGGATTTTGTAAGTAATAAAAATTTTTCAAAAACTGCACACCATTTGCATTTTTTATTTTATTAATTTCTCAGAATTTTGATAAATTTTAAACAATTTTTAAGGATCTCTGAAGGACTCGATTTTGGTTGGCCTAAAAAAATTAAGTTGAAGAATTAGTTTAAAAATGATGTTTTGTTAGATTTTTGATAGTTAAATTCATTTTTTGGCCCGTTTCCGTCTGTCTGTCGTCTGTCTGTCTGTCTAGCTGTCTGTGTTGGTTTTTATAAGCAGATAATCTTCGAAATTAACAGATACGACAGATTAACAAATTTTAGATGTGTTTTTGAAATATCATATACCGGATGTCTGGAAAATGGCCTGGTGTTTTGTTGCTGGATGAACTATTTAAAATTTTTTGAGCTTTTACTGTTTTATTTTTTACATATTTGAAAAAGTCTTGAGTGCCGCAGTATTTGAGTACTCACGGTAATTATTTAAAACAATTTTGGGGGACTCTGGCGTTCTAACCTGACCTGTTTTTGAGTTAATTCTGGGCTCCAGTTTTTTTTTTTTTTGAAAAATTTAATTTAAAGATTTTAATTAAATTTCTTACACGATACGTAATTTGCTAAAATCAATTTTATTCCAGCCGGCTAATGCCCCGCCCACCGGCCCTCTCTTTTCTTAGAGGGTGTCTCATTTGCCAAAATCAGTTTCATCTTAGCAGGTACTAGTCCCGCCCACCCACCCTCTCTTTTCTTAGAATGTATGTCATTTGCCACAATCAGTGTTTTTTTTAATTCGGGAGATTCTTGGGTACCCACGGTGTATTATTTTGGGAGTCCATAGAGATTTCTTTTGTAAATTATTTAAAACAATTTTGGTATTCTATTTTTGGAAAATTCTGACCTGACCTGTTTTTGATTTAATTTTGGAACCCCGTTTTTTTTTTGAAAAATTTAAAACAATCTTCAGCTTCTAGGTATTCCTGTTTGGAAAGAATTTGAAAGTGGTTTAGAGCCTCTAGTGTCGTTCCTTATAATAATTTAATTAAATGTCTTAGAGGATACGTCATTTGCTAAAATCAGTTTTATCTTGAAGGTACTAGTCCGCCCTCTCTTTTCTTGGAAGGTATCTCATTTGCCAAAATTACTCTTATCTTAGCAAGTCCTAGCCCCGCCCACCTACCCTCTCTTTTCTTAGAAGATATGTCATTTGCCAAAATCGATCTTATTTTAACAGGTACCAAACCCACCCACCCGCCCTCTATTTTCTTAGAGACATTTCATTTGCCAAAATCTCTCTTATCTTATTAGCTACGAGTACTTTAGTTGACAAATTTTGGTTAGCATTTTGTACATGATATTCCTAATATAAACACAACTATCTTCCTAGTACTTTCGGAGATTATCTGTCTAATAAAAATCCGGAACGGCAGACAGACGGACAGACGGACGGAAATGGGAGACCTATTTCTTCGTCTTCTAGGGGTCATGAAAGATCGAGAAAAGGTAAAAGTAGAGAGTCGGCCCACGGACTCGATTACAATACTTCCTTTGCTTACGCTCGGGAAGTGAAAATGATGTTTTTTTAGATTTTTGACATTCTCACTTCCTAAACATAAGCTATATTATGTATTTAACCAATAGTTAAATTCATTTTTTGGTCCGTTTCCGTCTGTCTGTCGTCTGTCTGTCTGTCTAGCTGTCTGTTTTGGTTTTTATAAGCAGATAATCTTCGAAATTAATAGGCAGTTTGCCAAATTTTACATGTATTTTTGAAATATCCAATACTGAGTGTCTGGAAAATGGCCTAGTGTTTTGTTGCTGGATGAACTATTTAAAATTTTTTGAGCTTTTATTGTTTTATTGTTTACATATTTGAAAAAGTCTTGAGTGCCGCAGTGTTTGAGTACTCATGGTAATTATTTAAAACAATTTTGGGGGACTCTGGTGTTCTAACCTGATCTGTTTTTGAGTTAATTCTGGGCTCCAGTTTTTTTTTTTTTGAAAAATTTAATTTTCTTTGGAAAGAACTTGAAAGTGCTTTGGAGACTCTAGTGTCGTTTCTGAAAATAAACAGATTTTAATTAAATTTCTTACACGATACGTAATTTGCTAAAATCAATTTTATTCCAGCCGGCTCGTGCCCCGCCCACCCGCCCTCTCTTTTCTTAGAGGGTGTCTCATTTGCCAAAATCAGTTTTATCTTAGCAGGTACTAGTCCCGCCCACCCACCCTCTCTTTTCTTAGAATGTATGTCATCTGCCAAATCAGTGTTTTTTTTTATTCGGGAGATTCTTGGGTACCCATGGCGTATTATTTTGGGAGTGCATAGAGATTTCTTTTGTAAATTATTTAAAACAATTTTGGTATTCTATTTTTGGAAAATTCTGACCTAACCTGTTTTTGAGTTAATTTTGGAACCCCGTTTTTTTTTGAAAAATTTAAAGCAATCTTCAGGTTCTAGGTATTCCTCAATGGAAAGAATTTGAAAGTGGTTTAGAGCCTTTAGTGTCGTTCCATATAATAATTTAATTAAATTTCTTACACGATGCGTAATTTACTAAAATCAATTTTATCTTAGCAGGTATTAACCCCATCAACCCGCCTTCTATTTTTTATAGAATATGTCATTTGTCAAAATCAGTCTGAACAGGCTCTAGCTCCACCCACCCTCTCTGGTCTTATTCCAGCCGGTATTAGCCCCGCCCACCCGCCCTCTCTTTTCTTAGAGGGTGTCTCATTTGCCAAAATCAGTTTTATCTTAGCAGGTACTAGTCCCGCCCACCCACGCTCTCTTTTTTTAGAATGTATGTCATTTGCCAAAATCAGTGTTTTTTCTTTTAATTCGGGAGATTCTTGGATAGCCATGGTGTATTATTTTGGGTGTCCATAGAGATTTCTTTCGTAAATTATTTAAAACAATTTTGGTATTCTATTTTTGGAAAATTCTGATCTAACCTGTTTTTGAGTTAATTTTGGAACCCCGTTTTTTTTTGAAAAATTTAAAGCAATCTTCAGGTTCTAGGTATTCCTCAATGGAAAGAATTTGAAAGTGGTTTAGAGCCTTTAGTGTCGTTCCTTATAATAATTTAATTAAATTTCTTACACGATGCGTAATTTAATAAAATCAATTTTATCTTAGCAGGTATTAACCCCACCAACCCGCCTTCTATTTTTTATAGAATATGTCATTTGTCAAAATCAGTCTTAACAGGCTCTAGCTCCACCCACCCTCTCTGGTCTTATTCCAGCCGGTATTAGCCCCGCCCACCCGTCCTCTCTTTTCTTAGAGGGTATCTCATTTGCCAAAATCACTCTTATCTTAGCAGGTGCTAGTCCCGCCCACCCACCCTCTCTTTTCTTAGAATGTATGTCATTTGCCAAAATCAGTGTTTTTTTTTTTAATTCGGGAGATTCTTGGGTACCCATGGTGTATTATATTAGGAGTCCATAGAGATTTCTTTTGTAAATTATTTAAAACAATTTTGGTATTCTATTTTTGGAAAATTCTGACCTAACCTGTTTTTGAGTTAATTTTGGAACCTGTTTTTTTTTTTTGAAAAATTTAAAACAATCTTCAGGTTCTAGGTATTCCTCAATGGAAAGAATTTGAAAGTGGTTTAGAACCTCTAGTGTGGTTCCTTATAATAATATAATTAAATTTCTTACACGATGCGTAATTTACTAAAATCAATTTTATCTTAGCAGGTACTAACCCCACCCACCCGCCCTCTATTTTTTATAGAATATGTCATTTGTCAAAATCAGTCTTAACAGGCTCTAGCTCCACCCATCCTCTCTGGTCTTATTCCAGCCGGTATTAGCCCCGCCCACCCGCCCTCTCTTTTCTTAGAGGTTGTGTCTCATTTGCCAAAATCAGTTTTATCTTAGCAGGTACTAGTCCCGCCCACCCACCCTCTGTTTTCTTAGAATGTATGTCATTTGCCAAAATCAGTGTTTTTTTTTATTCGGGAGATTGTTGGGTACCCATGGTGTATTATTTTGGGAGTCCATAGAGATTTCTTTTGTAAATTATTTTGATATTCTATTTTTGGAAAATTCTGACCTGACCAGTTTTGAGTTAATTTTGGGACCCTGTTTTTTTTTAAATTTAAAACAATCTTCAGGTTCGAAGTATTCTTGTTTGGAAATAATTTGAAAATGGTTTGGAGCCTCTAGTGCCTTTCCTTACAATAATTTAATTAAGTTTATTAGAGGATACGTCATTTGCTAAAATCAGTTTTATCTTGCAGGTACTTGCCCCACACGCCCACCCTCTATTTTCTGGGAGAAGATGTCATTGCCAAAATCGGTCTTATTTTAGCCTCTCTTTTCTTAGAGAGTATCTCATTTGCCAAAATCACTCTTATCTTAGCAAGTACTAGCCCCGCCCACTGACCCTCTCTTTTCTTAGAAGGTATGTCATTTGCCAAAATCTCTCTAATTTTAGCAGTTATGAGTACTTTAGTTGACAAATTTTGGTTATCGTTTTATCACGTACATGATATTCCTAATATAATCACAACAATCGTCCCAGTACTTTCGGAGATTATCTGTCTAATGAAAATCGGGACGGAAGAGCGACAGACAGACAGACAAATGGACAGACAAACAGAAACATGAGACTAATTTCTTCGTACTCGTAATTTCATTTTAAGAGTTGGCCAAACTTGAAGAAAATTGAATAAAACAAGAGTGTATTGTATCACAAGTTTTTTATTTTGTTATATTAACTAATTTTTCTTCTGTTTTAACTTTTTACTCTTCCGTTTGTTGCATATTTTTTTACAAACGGCTCTAATTGAGTAGTACGAAATACATCCAATAACCGAGGTAACTAAAACTAGGAAACCAATTACGTCTAGCAAGAAATATTTGTACCATGGTAGATCAAGAGCTGCGACTCTCAGGTGTGGTGCTCCTTTATGACGAATTACGTACTCGATCCAGTAAATGGCAGTCTCCATTGGACTCACCTGCCTATCGTGGAAAGCGTCAGACTTCTTTTTCGCGTTATTTCTATATCTACAAGATAACGGCAATTATTTCCAAACTATGTTAATAAAACCATCATACTTAGGATTATTCAAAATTTCTCGAATATTTTGCGTAAAGCTTTCTTCGGTAATTTCAGGGTAGGGGAGCATAAGACCATAACCATTTTTCACAGCTGCTTTAGCGTTTAGGTGTTGATCACCAAATACGGGAATCGCCAGAATAGGTACTCCGTGGTAGATAGTCTCGGTAGTACTTAATAGCCCTCCATGGGTGATAAAAAGTTTGACATTTGGATGTGCCAGAATGCTTTGTTGTGGCAGCCACTTAGACAACTTAACATTCTCCGGTTGTCCAGGAAGAACATCGTCTTCCCATTTCCACAAGACTTTTTGTTTTAATTTCGAGAACGTCCTCAGAATTGCCTCCCTTTTCTCCGCTGGCAACTCAGCACTTTTCAAATTAGACCCCATGCTGAAATAAACAACACCCTCCTTCGCGCTATCTAAAAATTCTTGCAAGTCTTGAGGGAGTTTCTTTGGTGGTTGTACGTGAAACCCTCCAATATCGATCATGTTGGGTACGTACGGCACAGGTTGGTTTAGACTCGGGTGAGAGTTCATCAAAATAATTGAAGCATTGTAAAGTACGTCATTAATGTCAGGTCCGTTCGGTATGTACTTTTTAATTTTCGCGTTCTCGTAAGGGTACACGTACCATTTGAAAAGTACTTCTGTTAGTAGAAACAAGAGACTGTTTTCAAGTCGTTCACAAAACGTCATGGGGATTGAATAGTCGGTAGAGATCATTGGAATGTACGACGGGGGAGAAGGATTCCCGACTAACGTGTTCACCCAGTAGTTTGCCCCCATAGAACTCACAACGATTAAAGGTGCTCCGAAATGAGTGGATAGTGCTTTCTCTGCATCATTCATAAATTGTTCTACAATCACAACATCGAATTTTTCGTTCGAGTGCATCAATTTTTGGATTTCTTTGTCTCCTAACCCTGGTTCCATCATTTGAGGCATCATAAACGCTAGGAAACCGGCTGCAAGGAACGGACTCATGTCTCCCTGATCGAACATACTCCCTTGTCCCCCGGCCATCATTTCTACAACAAGCGTGAGTCACCTAATTTACAAATACTTAACTGTTAAGACGTACCATTCATGTTTTTCATTATTTCTGTGACGACGATGTCTCTGTACGTTCCTTTGGTTTTTGGTGGTTCCTTTTCGCCGTAGGAACTGAGCACGGTGACATCGTGACCTTTCTCGGCTAAGGCTTTCATTAAGGTACTACCAAGGATGTAGTGGCTGCGTTCCGGTGAGGTAAAAACACCCAAAATTTTTGCACAACTTCCATGGTGACTTACTAACAAAATTAGTAATAACGTCACTATGCTTTTCATTTTGCGGTTCTAAATCGAATGCCGGTGATAATGATTAATCGACAAGTTAGAGTTCGTTGTGATAGTTTATCGCGTGAAGTACGCTGTTTGATCTATCTCATCATATTGCGAAAGATGAATACCAGCACGTAACTTGTTAATTATCTCTAGTTGTTACGTAATGAATAAATCAACACATTGATCTCACAGGAACTAATAAGTACCAAGTACAAAGATGAAATACATCAGTTTGAAGAGGACGTAAATAATTTTTTTAATACGGTGTAATCTTGTGTAATAGTCGTTATCACAATGAAAATGATAATGACAATCCTAGCCAGATGTTAAGTCTTCAAGGCTATTTCGTCAACTTGTATAAAAAACAACAGTGTACTTATTTGATTACAATTTGTATTATTCTGTTACATTAGTTTTGTTTTAACTTTTTACTTTTCCGTTTGTTGCAAACTTTTCTACAAACCGCTCTGATTGAATAGTAGGAAATACATGCAGTAACCGAAATAACTAAAACTAGAAAACTAATCACATCCAACAAGTGATATTTGTACCACGGTAGATCAAGAGCTGCAACTCTCAGGTGTGGTGCTCCTTTATGACGAATCACATACTCGACCCAGTATATCGCTGTCTCCATTGGACTCACCTGCCTGTCGTGGAAAGCTTCAGACCTCTTTTTCGCACTACTTCTATATCTAGAAGATAAATCTCAATTATTTCCAAACTATGTTAATAAAACCATCATACTTAGGATTATTCAAAATTTCTTGAATATTTTGCGTAAACCTGTCTTCGGTAATTTCACTGTACGGTATCATACGACCAAAGCCATTGTCAACAGCAGCTTTCGCGTTTTGTTTTTGATCCCCAAATATGGGAATAGCTAAAATAGGCACCCCATGGTAGACAGTCTCGGTGGTACTTAATAGCCCTCCATGGGTGATAAAAAGCTTGACATTTGGATGTGCCAGGATGCTTTGTTGTGGCAGCCATTTAGACAACTTGATATTCTGCGGTTGCCCAGGCAGAACGTCCTCCTCCCATTTCCACAAAACTTTTTCTTTCAATTTCGAGAACGCTCTCAGAATTGCGTCCCTTTTCTCCGGTGGCAACTCAGCACTTTTCAAATTAGACCCCATGCTGAAATAGATGGCACCGTCTTTCGCGTTGTCTAAAAATTCCTGCAAGTCTTGAGGGAGTTTCTTTGGGGGTTTGACGTGAAACCCTCCTACGTCTATCATGTTGGGTACGTACGGGACGGGTTGGTTTATACTCGGGTGAGAGTTCATCAAAATAATTGAAGCATTGTAAAGTACGTCGGAAATATCAGGTCCGTTCGGGATGTACTTTTTAATCTTCTGGTTTTCGGCCGGGTACACATACAATTTGAAAAGTACTTCCGTAATTAGAAACAAAAGGCTGTTTTGAACTCGCTGACAAAACGTCAAGGGGATTGAATAGTCCGTCGACATCATCGGAATATACGACACAGGAGCAGGATTCCCGACTATCGAGTTTACCCAATAATTTGCCCCCATGGAACTCACAACTATCAAAGGTGCTCCAAAATGAGTCGCTAATGCTTTTTCTGCATCATTCATAAATTGTTCTACAATCACAACATCGAATTTTTCGTTCGAGTGAATCAAATTTTGGACACTCTTGTCCCGTAACGCTGGTTCCATCATTTTAGGCATCATGTACGCCATGAAAGCGGTTGCAATGAACGGACTCATGTCGTCCTGGTCGAACATATTCATTTTTTGCCCTTTGAGCATTTCTACAACATTCGTGACCGACTAGTTAAATTAAAAATAGTTGGGTGAACTTACCTTTCATGTTTTCTAGAAGCTCCGTGACCACTATGTCTCTGTAAGTACCTTTGGTTTTTGGTGGTTCCTTCTCACCGAAAGAACTGATGACGGTGACATCGTGTCCTTTCTCAGCTAAGGCTTTCATTAAAGTACTACCAAGGATGTAGTGGCTGCGTCCTGGTGCTGTAAAAACTCCCAAAATTTTTGCACAACTTCCACATTGGCTTGTTAACAAAAGTAGTACTACTGTTACTATGGTCTTCATTTTATTGTTGTAAATCGAATTCAACGAAAGCCAACCTGCCAATGATAACAATTTTTTATCGAACAGTTAAGTGTCTGATTTACCGAATTTTTATCGCGTGAAGCAAATGTTTGCTGTAGTTTAATCATAGTGGAAAGACGAGTACCACCACATTGCTCTCTGGTGAGATGCAACAATTGCGCATGACGAGGAAAATCATATCAAGAGCAAGTTATTTATGTTTGTCGTGTTATCTCGTAATTGTCTCGTTATATAATTAGGCGTAATCTGTAGTTATTACGCAATGATTAATCAACATATTTTCATTAAATTGTTGTGTTTTTATTATTAACTTAATGATTACCGATATTGTATTTCTGTCCCGATTTTATACCGGTGTCTGGAAAAAAAACGAAAAAAATTGGTCTAAAGAGTTTAGACAGTACTTCCCTCGCTGTCGGAAACTTGACGACTGCATGCCTATTGTGTTTTTTTTCTCATTACATTTTTGTAGTGGGAATTTAAAAAAAAATTGCGATGACGTCATCAACATTTTTGCAAGGACACGTATATCAGTTGGGATAGATGTAGTGTAATACTAAGAATAAAATTATTATATTCTCAAATTTTCGGGAAAATGAATTGGGTCGTTTGAATATTGATTTGTAATAATCAATAAAATAACGAAACAATTTACTCACGTATACCTACGTATCAGAGGCAACTGAAAATCGTGTATGTATAAACATTCTTAATTTAAGATGACAGGCGTAACAGCATACGTGAGAGTCAAACAGAGAAACTGTAAACAAAACGACCATCGGTTTTATTGCTTCGACTTCCGCTTATTATATAAAACATTGGGTTTTATTTTAATTCTTGACGGTGAAATTCACAATTGGTTGATTATAAACATGTCTATTTCAGATTCGCGGAACCAAGTGAACGCATAAAACAAATGCAGGTCTGTAATGTTAAAGTCGATGTAAATAAGCGTGCTACCCTTATGTTTCAACCGAGTTTTTACTTTAACAAATTTTGTGTCTACCAAATTGGGTTGGTTGGGGTGTAATACTAATAATAAGTGTTGCCTTTAATTTAATCAATAAAATAAATTGACTTCATTAATTTTTTTGAACCACCTCTTAAGAAAATCTAAAAAATATGAATGGAATGATAAATCACAAGTACAAACTCATCATATTTTTTGCATTTTAGATAAGATTTATTCAGCAAAATTTAAGGGTGACGTCATCAATTTTTTTAGGACGGATGAACAAATACATTTTGAACAAAAGTTTACCATGCTTATAATAGCTTTAAAATATTCCCAAGATTTCAAAGCATTCGGTTTTGTAATTCCTGATTAAATCGATAAAATAAATTCACGCCTTCATTAATTTTTTTGAGTCACCCTGCATATGCAAATCCAAAAATATGAATGGAATGATAAATTACAAGTACAGACTCATCATATTTTGTACATTTTAGATACGATTTATTCGGCAAACTTTTGAGCTGACGTCATCAGTTTTTTGTAGAAGATAACCAAATATATTTTGACTAAAAATTTATTATGCTCTTTATAACCTTAAAACATCTGCAAGATTTCAAAGCATTTGGTTTTGTAGTTCCTGATTAAATCAATAAAATAAATTTACGCATTCTTTAATTTTTTTGAGTCACCCTGTATATGCAAATCGAAAAAATTTGAATGGAATGATAAATCACAAGAAGAGACTCACCATATTTTGTACATTTTAGATAGGATTTATTCAGCAAAATTTTGTGGTGACGTCATAATTTTTTTAGGGAGGACGACCAAATACGTTTTGATCAAAAATTTACCATGCTTATGATAATTTTAAAATATCTTCAAGATTTCGAAGCATTCGGTTTTGTAGTTCCTGAGTAAATCAGTAAAATAAATTTACGCTTTCATTTATTTTCTTGAATCACCCTGTATATGCAAATCCAAAAAATATGAATGGAGTGATAGATCACAAGTACAGACTGACCATATTTTGTACATTTTAGATATGATTTATTCGGCAAATTTTCGAGCTGACGTCATCAAGTTTTTGGAGGGGATAATCAAATATATTTTGACTAAACATTTATTATGCTCTTTATAACCTTAAAACATGTGCAAGATGTTAGAGCATTCCGTTTTGTAGTTCCTGATTAAATCAATAAAATATATTTACGCATTCATTAATTTTTTTGAGTCACTCTGTATATGCAAATCCAAAAAATATGAATGGAGTGATAGATCACAAGTACAGATTCATCATATTTTGTACATTTTAGATATGATTTATTCGGCAAACTTTCGAGCTGACGTCATCAAGTTTTTGGAGGGGATAAGCAAATATATTTTGACTAAACATTTATTATGCTCTTTATGACCTTAAAACATCTGCAAGATTTCAGAGCATTCCGTTTTGTAGTTCCTGATTAAATCAATAAAATATATTTACGCATTCATTAATTTTTTTGAGTCACTCTGTATATGCAAATCCAAAAAATATGAATGGAGTGATAAATGACAAGTACAGGCTCATCATATTTTGTACATTTTAGATATGATTTAATCGGCAAACTTTCGAGCTGACGTCATCAAGTTTTTGGAGGGGACAAGCAAATATATTTTGACTAAACATTTATTATGCTCTTTATGGCCTTAAAACATCTGCAAGATTTCAGAGCATTCGGTTTTGTAGTTCCTGATTAAATCAATAAAATATATTTACGCATTCATTAATTTTTTTGAGTCACCCTGTATATGCAAATCCAAAAAATATGAATGGAGTGATAGATCACAAGTACAGACTCATCATATTTTGTACATTTTAGATATGATTTATTCCACAAACTTTTGAGCTGACGTCATCAAGTTTTTGGAGGGGATAAGCAAATATTTTTTGACTAAAGATTTATGATGCTCTTTATAGCCTTAAAACATCTGCAACATTTCAAAGCATTCTGGTTAGCAGATTAAAAGTTAAATTTCAAAATGTTGTTTTATAATTTTGATTTTTTTTCCAAAAATCTGGACGTTTCGGGTGAAAAGTCGATTCAGAGTTGTAAACTACATGTGTAGGACTATGTTATTTTATACAATTGAAAACCCATTTACTATGTACAATTTTGAAGTGACGTCATCGCATTAGTGGTGGGGATGATTAGACAAATTTTGGTTAGCGTTTTACCATCTACATGATATTCTTAATATAAATACAAAATTTCACAACAATCGGTCGAGTACTTTCGGAGATTATTTGTCTAATAAAAATCCGGGACGGCAGACGGACAGACAGTCGGACGGACAGACGGACGGACAGACGGACAGACGGACAGACAGACGGAAATGGGAGACCTATTTCTTCGTCTTCTAGGAGTCATGAAAGATCGAGAAAACGTAAAAGTAGAGAGTCGGCCGACGGACTCGATTACAATACTTCCTTTGCTTACGCTCGGGAAGTAAAAACGTAATTTTCTAAAAGCAAAATTGGACCTAGTCACGCATTAGGTGCGTGAATACGTCCGGATTACTTTCTGAATTTTTTTTTTTTTTTTAGTAAGGATGGTGAGTGAATTCCACCTTTTTTTTTTTTTTAGGACCATAACAATAATAACCAGGAGTCATTAATCGTTTTGCATTATTATTATTAAAATAAAACAAGCTATTATTTTTCATTAATAAATAAACCAAAAAAAAACATTTAATAACACATTTTTTATAAATTATATACCAAAACAAAAACAAACAACAAAAAATCCATTCAAGCACAACCAACTAAACACAAGACGTGTTCAAAATTCCTCCCTTGTGCACATAAATAAGCTCGTAATGTTTCCAAATTTTGATTATTTTTTGTAAAAGTTAGTCATCAAAACTTGCTAAGATAAAACTGATTTAGGCAAATGACATACCTTCTAAGTAAAGAGAGGGTGGGTGGGTGGGCGGGACTAGTACCTGGTAAGATAAGACTGATTTTGGCAAATAAGATACCCTCTAAGACAAGAGAGGGCGGGTGGGTGAGGCTAATACCTGCTAAAATAAGACCGTTTTTGCCAAAGGACATTTCCTCTAAGAAAAGAGAGGGTGGGTGGGTGGGCGGGCGGGGCTAGTACCTGCTAAGATAAAACTGATTTTGGCAAATAACACTATCTAAGAAACGAGAGGGTGGGTGGGCGGGGATAGTACCTTATAAGATAAAACTGATGTTGGCAAATAACATACTATCTAAGAAACAAGAGGGTGGGTGGGCGGGGAAAGTACCTGGTAAGATAAGACTGATTTTGGCAAATGAGATACCCTCTAAGACAAGAGAGGGCGGGTGGGTGAGGCTAATACCTGCTAAAATAAGACCGTTTTTGCCAAATAACATTTCCTCTAAGAAAAGAGAGGGTGGGTGGGTGGGCGGGGCTAGTACCTGCTAAGATAAAACTGATTTTGGCAAATAACACTATCTAAGAAACGAGAGGGTGGGTGGGCGGGGATAGTACCTTATAAGATAAAACTGATTTTGGCAAATAACATACTATCTAAGAAACGAGAGGGTGGGTGGGCGGGGATAGTACCTTATAAGATAAAACTGATTTTGGCCAATAACATACTATCTAAGAAACGAGAAGGTGGGTGGGCGGGGAAAGTACCTGGTAAGATAAGACTGATTGGCAAATGAGATACCCTCTAAGACAAGAGAGGGCGGGTGAGTGAGGCTAATACCTGCTAAAATAAGACCGATTTTGCCAAATGACATGTCCTCTAAGAAAAGAGACGGTTGGTGGGTGGGGCCAGTACCTACTAAGACGAAATTGATTTTAGCAAATTATATATCGTGTAGGAAATTTAAATAAATTATTTTTAATTTAAGAAAAGACACTAGAGTCTCAAAGCACTTTCAAATTCTTTTCAAACAGGAATACCAAAATCGTTTTAAATTTTTCAAAAAAAAAACTGGAGCCCAAAATGAACTCAAAAACAGGTCAGGTTAGAATTTTCTAAAAATATAATAACAGAGTCCCCCAAAATTGTTTTAATTATTAAAAAAAAAGTCTTCATGGGCTTCCAAAATAATACATCATGAGTACTCAAACACTGCGGTACTCAAGACTTTTTCAGATTCGTAAAATGTAAAACATCAAAAGCTCAAAAGATTTTTTTCAAGTTTATCCAGTGACAAAACACCAGAGAATATAAGGCTCGGATAATTTTTATATATTCTGCATATTTAACTAAAGTGCAGATAAATAAGTACCGACCTTTTCTATTAATGTGGATGGGTTTTTCCAAGACTTCATTTATGGGCATCCCCAGTTAGGCGTATTAGTGGAATTCTTTACTTAACGGCCTCTAAGCCTAATGTTGTAAATATGGATAGTTGTTCCGCAAATGTGTTTTTTCTTCGATTTCCAAATTCATTCATCATTCGTCTACGAACTTGGCGACAGAGCAGTGATGTTACGAATAATTAAGAAAATGTTTTCCACACTATCATCGTCGATTCGGCCCTCACAACGCCTCTTTACAAAAGAAATTGTGAAAAAAAAACTCAACCAGAGTAACTCAAATATCAATACGAGGAACTTTATCTGCTAATACAGCCAAAAATGAAGAGGAAACATTCAAATTCGATTTATACCAGGCCATGCTTGCCTTGAATAATCCATTGAATAAGTTAAGTAATCCTACTTTAATTCATTTTTGGAAAAATACTGTTGTGGCGGCACAATAACACGTCGGTAAGCAAAGAAAGATGAGTCGCCTCGTGTTCTAGTGGTCTGGGTGCAATGCCCGGAAAGTGAGAGGCGTGGGTTCGATTCCCACCGAGGTAACAACATGTTTCTTCGCTTACTTACACTGTAAAACGACCATTCCAGACGAACGCACTCTCAAGAAAACACCTGTAAATAAATGTTATATCGAAACTGTTGCTAAAATTAAGACGCGTTTACAAAATAACTTTATTTACATTCTGGTTGACGAAACATTCTTTACATGTTTTTATCTGCATATAATTGCAAGTTTTACTAATAAATAATATTGTAGCAAAAGTTTCTACACGAGGACATAACAATTGATAGTCCTAGGGAAAGTGATATGCAACAATTGTACCAAGATAAAATAAGTATATCCGATTTGATTTGAAGAGGATCTTGAAGACTGAAAATCTTTCAATATTCTCTAATCTGTGGAATAGTCGTTATCAGCTTTGCCTTCACATACCTTCATTAAATTTCAAGGCTATTTCGTCAAACTTTTATAATAAAAAACGTTGTATTGTATTAATTTTTTATTTTTCTGTTACAGAACATGGATTTTAAAAATTTTACTTTTGTTTTAACTTTTTAGTCTTCCGTTTGTTGCATATTTTTCTACAAACTGCTCTGATTGAATAGTAGGAAATAAATGCAATAACCGAACTAACTGAAACTAGAAAACCAATTACATCCAACAAGTAATATTTGTACCACGGTAGATCAAGAGCTGCAACCCTCAGGTGTGGCGCCCCTTTATGACGAATCACATACTCGATCCAATATATCGCTGTCTCCATTGGACTCACCTGTCTATCGTGGAAAGTTTCAGACCTCTTCTTCGCGTTATTTCTATATCTGTAACAAAAATAACACTTATTTCCAGACACTGGTTATAAAAGCAACATACTTAGGATTATTTAGAATTTCTTGAATACGTTCTGTAAAACTTTCTTCAGTAATTTCATTGTACGACAACATAAGACCAAAACCATTGTTTACAGCACCTTTAGCATTTAGTTTTTGGTCACCAAATATGGGAATCGTCAAAATTGGTACCCCGTGGTACACAGTTTCGGTCGTACTCAACAAACCCCCATGGGTAATAAAAAGTTTGACATTGGGATGTGCAAGAATACTTTGTTGTGGCAGCCACTTAGACAACTTAACATTCTTCGGTTGCCCAGGCAAAACATCCTCCTCCCATTTCCACAAAACTTGTTCCTTCAACTTCGAGAACGTCCTCAAAATCGCGTCCCGTTTCTCTGGAGGAAAATCAGCACTTTTCAAATTAGAACCCATGCTGAAATAGATGACTCCGTCTTTCGCGTTGTCTAAAAATTCCTGCAAGTCTTGAGGGAGTTTCTTTGGGGGTGTGACATGAAACCCTCCTACTTCTATCATGTTAGGAACGTACGGCACTGGTTGGTTTAAGCTCGGGTGGGAGTTCACCAACACAATTGAAGCGTTGTACAGAACGTCAAAAAGATCAGGCCCGTTGGGGATGTTTTTTTTAATTATTTCATTTTCGGCGGGGTACACAACCAAATTGAAGTATACGTCGGTGACCACAAACAAAAGACTATTTAAAAGTCTCTCGCAAAACGTCATGGGGGCAGAATAATCCGTCACTACCATCGGAATATACGATGGGGGGGCAGAATTTCCAACTAAAGTGTTTAACCAAAAGTTTGCCCCTAGAGCACTCACCACCACCAACGGGGCCCCAAAGTGAGTGGCCAGTGCTTTCTCTGCGTTATTCATAAATTGTTCTACAATCACAACATCAAATTTTTCGTCAGAGTGAAGCAATTTTTGGACTTCAGCATTCCGTAACGCCGGTTCCATCATTTTAGGCATCATATATCCAAAGAAGAAGGTTGAAATGAAGGGGTTCGCGTCTGCCTGGTCGAACATGTTCATTTCGCGCTGCTTCATCATTTCTACAATATATTTCTATTAAATTAGTTTAAAAATAACCGTTTAAACGTACCTTTCCGGTTTTCTAGCACCTCTGTGGCCACTATGTCTCGATAAGTACCCTTCGTTTTTGGTGGTTCTTTCTCACCGAAGGCACTGATCACGGTGACATCGTGGCCTTTCTCGGCTAACGCTTTCATCAAAGTACTACCAAGAAGGTAGTGACTGGGTCCTGGTGCGGTAAAAACCCCCAAAATTTTTGCACAATTTCCATTGTAACTTAGTAACAAAATTAGTACTAACGTAACTGTGTTCTTCATTTTGCAGTTTTAAATCGAATTCGTGCGTCTGGCATAAATGAAAGTCAGTCTGCTAGTGTTTAACACAATTTTTTGAGAGTTTATCGTGTGACGTAGGTACTCTGTTGGTGTGCTTTCATCGTATTGAAACAATGAGTACCACAACGTAATTCTCTTAGTCTGACTTAAATATCGCGCATGACAGAAAAGTCGTGTCAAGATCAAGCTATTTATGTTCGTCGTTTTATCGCGTAATAGTTTCGCTATCTGAGACGTGATCTGCAATTATTACGCGATGAATAAATCACGACTTTTATTTAAAAATTATTGTGTTTTTATTTTTATTTTTTTAGTATTATTGCACCAAATATTTTCACACAAGGAATTAAAAACTAATCTAGGGCAAGTGGAAAGTACCATCACAAAACTCGCTTGCGCTCGGTGGCGGTACTTCATGGTACTTGCAGTTGCAGCTTATTGATCCATTGCCCACTAAGATTTCCAAGTACCAGTACAAAATTCAACACAAATCATCATTATAACTAGATAGTAAAGAAAAAGACAATTCAAGGGCATTTCCTCAAATGGTGTTTATTACAATTTTAGGTTTGTTTCAACTTTTTAGTCTTCCGTTTTTTGCAAATTTTTCTGCAAACCGCTCTGATCGAATAGTAAAAAATACATCCAATTACAGAATTAACTAAAATTAGAAAACCAAGTACATCCAGCAAATAATATTGGTACCACGGTAGATCAAGAGCGGCGACTCTCAGGTGTGGCGCTCCTTTATAACGAATAACGTACTCGATCCAATATATCGCTGTCTCCATTGGACTCACCTGCCTATCGTGGAAAATTTCAGACCTCTTTTTCGCGTTATTTCTATATCTATAAGAAAAATGACACTCATTTCCAGACCGTACTCATAAAAACAACATACTTCGAATTATTTAAAATTTCTTGAATAAGTTGTGTAAAACTTTCTTCAGTAATCTCATTGTACGGCAAAACAAGACCAAAACCGTTGTTCATGGCACTTTTGGCGTTTAATTTTTGATCACCAAATACAGGAATCGCCAAAATGGGTACCCCGTGGTAGATAGTCTCGGTAGTACTTAACAAACCTCCATGGGTGATAAAAAGTTTGACATTAGGATGTGCAAGGATGCTTTGTTGTGGCAACCATTTAGACAACTTAACATTGTCGGGTTGTCCAGGAAGAACATCCTCCTCCCATTTCCACAAAACTTGTTCCTTCAATTTCGAGAACGTCCTCAAAATCGCGTCCCGTTTCTCTGGAGGAAAATCAGCACTTTTCAAATTAGAACCCATGCTGAAATAGATGACACCGTCTTTCGCGTTGTCTAAAAATTCTTGCAAGTCTTGAGGGAGTTTCTTCGGGGGAGATACATGAAACCCGCCAACTTCTATCATGTTGGGTACGTATGGTACCGGCTGGTGGATGCTAGGGTGAGAGTTCATCAACACCAGTGACGCATTGTAAAGTACGTCAGAAAGTTCAGGTCCGTTCGGTATGTTCTTCTTAATGATGTCGTTCTCGACGGAGTACACAAACAAATTAAAAAATACTTCGGTGACTACATACAAAAGGCTATTCAAAAGTCGCTCACAAAACGTCATGGGAACCGAATAGTCTGTCGTTACCATCGGAATATAACTTGGTGGGGCAGGATTTCCGACGATCTTATTTAACCAAAAGTTTGCCCCCAGAGCACTTACAACTATCAAAGGTGCCCCAAAATGAGTCGCTAGTGCTTTCTCTGCATTGTTCATAAATTGTTCTACTAGAACAACATCAAATTTCTCGTCGGAGTGAATCAACTTTTCTCCTTTTCTCCTAATACCGGTGCCATCATCTTGCGCACCATCTGTCCCATGAAAACGCTTGTAATGAACGGGTTTGAGTCTGCCTGGTCGAACATGTTCATTTTCTGGTCTTTAATCATGTCTGTAATATTCGTGTCCTATAACAATGAAAAGCAACTGTTTAAACGTACCTTTCATGCTGTCTAAAACCCCTGTGACAACTACGTCTCTGTAAGTTCCTTTCGTTTTTGGTGGTTCCTTCTCGCCGAAGGAACTGATCACTGTGACATCGTGTCCTTTGTCGGCTAAGGTTTTCATTAAAGTACTACCGAGGAGGTAGTGGCTGCGGCCTGGTGCCGTAAAAACTCCCAAAATTTTTGCACAATGACCATTATGGCTTGTTAACAAAATTAGTATCACAGCAACTAGGCACTGCATTTTGTTTTGCAGTGAAATGAGTCGTCTAAAATTAATCTATAGGAGTGTTTTATCTAAAAGTGGTTAAGTTTCTGACTAACACGATTGTATGACAGTTTATCTTATGGAGTACTTTGTTTTCACTATTTTCATCATAAACTAAAGTGGGGTACGCGAACCCCTAGTAGTTCGCCAGTGACCGTAAGAGGGTTCGCCAAAAAATAATATCGATACTGATAGAATGTTGTATAATAGTAATAACAGTATATTCACGCGTGGAGGTGGCGTGCCTCAGTGCCAAGCCTTGGGCCGACTAGTACCGCTGAAAGAGAAACCCGTCTGGCCGACCTAGGCTTATGCGGACACATTCACGCCACCATGGGATGGCGCCTTCGATCGGGAGCGGCGGTGCTCGGGCGCCACCAGGAGAGGGAGCACCGGGGTTGCTCCAAAGCTGGGGACACGGATCTCGTGCTAGTCTGGTGAGCGCCCGCGGAAACAAGAAATCAAACGGAAGAAAATTGTTAACAGTAATCGGGTTTTTATTCCCTGCCACTAGTTACACGATTAAGATAATCTTACGGCTAAATATATACAAAAGAAACTTTAGAAAATAAAAAAAGAAAAAAACGCCCGGCACGGTCCTTCCTAGCAGAATCATTATAATCATAATTAAAAAAAAAAATCATTTTAAGTGTATTTCGTCTTTTTATTCTTGTGCCACATTAACTTTGATTTTGAAAAATTTATTGATTTTACAAAATCAATCTAATTTTGTTTTAGCTTTTTACTCTTACGTTTGTTGCATATTTTTCTACAAACCGCTCTAAACGAATTATACGAAACATATCCAGTTACCACACTAATTAAAACTAGAAAACCAATTACATCCAGCAGGTGATATTTGTACCATGGTAGATCAAGAGCTGCGACTCTCAGGTGTGGTGCTCCTCTATGCCGAATCACATACTCGATCCAGTAAATTGCAGTGTCCATCGGACTCACCTGCCTATCGTGGAAAGCTTCAGACCTCTGTTTCGCGCTATTTCTATATCTGCAACATAAATAAAAAAGACAATCATTTCCAAACGGTACTCATCAAGTGTCGTACTTCGGATTGTTTAAAATTTCTTGAATACTTTTCGTAAACCTATCCTCAGTAACCTCATTGTACGGTATCATAAGACCAAAGCCGTTGTTCATGGCACTTCTGGCGTTTAGTTTTTGATCACCAAATACGGGAATCGCCAAAATAGGCACCCCGTGGTAGACAGTCTCGGTAGTACTTGACAAACCTCCATGCGTGATAAAAAGTTTGACATTTGGATGTGCCAGAATGCTTTGTTGTGGCAACCATTTCGATAGCTTGACGTTCTTCGGTTGTCCAGGTAGAACATCCTCTTCCCATTTCCACAGAACTTTTTCTTTCAACTTCGAGAACGCCCTCAAAATCGCGTCCCTTTTCTCTGGTGGAAAATCGGCACTTTTCAAGTGAGAACCCATGCTAAAATAAATGACACCGTCTTTCGCGTTGTCTAAAAATTCTTGCAAGTCTTGAGGGAGTTTCTTTGGTGGTTGTACGTGAAACCCTCCAATATCGATCATGTTGGGTACGTACGGCACAGGTTGGTTTAAACTCGGGTGAGAGTTCATCAAAACAATTGAAGCATTGTAAAGTACGTCATTAATATCAGGTCCGTTCGGTATGTACTTTTTAATCGTCGCGTTCTCGTAAGGGTACACGTACCATTTGAAAAGTATTTCTGTTAGTAGAAACAAGAGACTGTTTTCAAGTCGCTCACAAAACGTCATGGGGATTGAATAGTCGGTAGAGATCATTGGAATGTACGACGCGGGAGAAGGATTCCCGACTAACGTGTTCACCCAATAGTTTGCCCACATAGAACTTACAACGATTAAAGGTGCTCCGAAATGAGTGGATAGTGCTTTCTCTGCATCATTCATAAATTGTTCTACAATCACAACATCGAATTTTTCGTTAGAGTGAATCAATTTTTGAACTTCCTTGTTCCCTAACCCGGGTTCCATTATTCGAGGCATCATACGCGCAAGGAACGCGGCTGCAGGCAGCGGGCTCATTTTCGCGTGTTCAAACATATTCACTTGTCCTCCAGCGATCAATTCTACAACAAACATGACTCACCCTAATTACAAGTACTTAAGTGTTAAGACGTACCGTTCATCTTTTTCATTATTTCTGTGACGACGATATCTCTGTACGTTCCTTTCGTTTTTGGTGGTTTCTTTTCTCCAAAGGAACTAATCAGGGTGACATCGTGTCCTTTCTCGGCTAATGCTTTCATTAAAGTACTACCAAGGATGTAGTGACTAGGTCCCGGTGAGGTAAAAACCCCCAAAATTTTTGCACAACTTCCATGGTGACTTATTAATAAAATTAGGAACACTGTGACAATGTTCTTCATTTTGCGGTTATAAATCGAATGCCGGTGATAATGGTCAATTGAACAATTAAGGTTCTGATTAACACGATTTTGTTATCATTTATCTCGTGAAGTACGCTGTTTGCTCTGTCTCATCATACTGTGAAAGATGAATACCAAAACGGAACTTTTTAGTGGGATCGAACAATCGCGCATGACGAGAAAATTCATATCGTTTCTTTTCGTAATTATTTCGTTGTCTAGGACGTGATCTCCAGTCATTACGTAATGACTAAATCAACACATTCACAGATTGAAGAGGACGTTTTCGGTGGTTCCTTCTCACCGAAGGAACTGCTGATCACGGTGACATCGTGTTCTTTCTAATTTTTTATCGAACAATTAAGTTTCTGTTAACAGAATTTTTATGACGTGAAGGAAATATTTGCCGTACTTCAGTCATAGTGGAAAGACAAGTACAACGCGTTACCGTTTCGCTGAAAATCAACAGTTGCGTCGTGTTATCTCGTAATTGATTTGTTATCTAATTAGACGTAATTTGTAGTTATTACGCAATGATTAATCAACACATTTTTTATAAAATTGTGTTTTTATTATCTCAGTACGTTCTGTACGGGGGTTTCAGGAGTTCCAAAACAAACACATTCGCGCCACCAGGGGTGGCGCCTTCAATCGGGAGCGACGGAGCTCGGGTGCCACCAGGGGAGGAAGCTCCGGAGTTGCAAAAAAAACTTTACAAAACAAAAAAAGAATAAAACGCCCGGCACGGTCCTTGCGTCCTGGACAGGCAGAGAGCCCAAAACGGTGTTTACGGTGGTTCCGATTAACACAATTTTTTGATAAATTATTTTTACTCTGTTTGGCGTGTTTTCATCATATTGAAACGATGAGTACTAATACGTAATTCTCGTAGTCAGACTCAACTATGGCGCATGACGAGAAAAGTCGTACTAAGAGCAGGCTATTTATCGTAGTAGTTTCGTTATCTAAGACGCGATCTGCATTATTACGCAATGAGTAAATCAAGACTTTATTAAATAATGATTGTGTTTTTATATTTATGTTTCTATTATTATTTATAATACGATTCTTATCGGTGTTCGGCTTATCATACGGGTACAAAATAGAAGTACAGGTTAAGCTAGAAAGTGGATATAATGATTTGGCATGAATTTCATAAAAGTAATTAACATTATCATTGTGACAATGAGTTTTATATAAGGTTACACAACATTGACTCACGGTGGCACCTTTACGCTCACAGATTGTTTTTTTTTGAAAATCAGTTTTATGGACAATCTTTCAATATTGCTTAATCTTGTGAAATATACCTTGTCACAATGATAGTGCTAATTACACTTGTAAAATTCGTGCAGAATCATTAAAAAAAATCATTTCAAGTGTATTTCGTCATTTTATTCTTGTGCCATATTAACACTGATTTTACAAGTCATGATCTTCACCTAATTTTAATTTTGTTTAACCTTTTTACTCTTACGTTTGTTGCATATTTTTCTACAGACCGCTCTGAATAAATAATAAGTAATATATCCAGTTGCCACACTAACTAAAACTAGGAAACTAACTACATCCAGCAAGTAATATTTGTACCAGGGTAGATCAAGAGCTGCGACTCTCAGGTGTGGTGCTCCTCTATGACGAATCACATACTCGATCCAGTAAATTGCAGTGTCCATTGGACTCACCTGCCTATCGTGGAAACTTTCAGACCTCTGTTTCGCGTTATTTCTATATCTGCAATAAAAACGACAGTCATTTCCAAAATGGTACTCATAAATTGTCGTACTTAGGATTGTTTAAAATTTCTTGAATACTTTGCGTAAACCTATCCTCAGTAACCTCATTGTACGGTAACATAAGACCAAACCCGTTGTTCATGGCACTTCTGGCGTTTAGTTTTTGATCACCAAAAACGGTAATCGCCAAAATGGGTACCCCGTGGTAGACAGTCTCGGTAGTACTTAACAAACCTCCATGCGTGATAAAAAGTTTGACATTAGGGTGTGCAAGGATGCTTTGTTGTGGCAACCATTTAGACAACTTAACATTGTCGGGTTGTCCAGGCAGAACATCCTCTTCCCATTTCCATAGAACTTTTTCTTTCAACTTCGAGAACGTCCTCAAAATTGCGTCCCTTTTCTCCGGCGGAAAATCAGCACTTTTCAAATTAGAACCCATGCTGAAATAGATAACACCGTCTTTCGCACCATCTAAAAATTCCTGCAAGTCTTCCGGGAGTTTCTTTGGGGGTGTTACATGAAACCCTCCTACTTCTATCATGTTGGGTACGTATGGTACCGGCTGGTGTATGCTCGGGTGGGAGTTCATCAACACTATTGAAGCATTGTAAAGCACGTCAGAAAGATCAGGCCCGTTCGGTATGTACTTTTTAATCACCTCGTTCTCGACAGGGTGCACAAACAAATTGAAAAACACCTCGGTGACTACATACAAAAGACTATTCAAAACACGCTGACAGAAGGTCATGGGAAACGAATAATCTGTCGTTACCAACGGAATATACGACAAGGGGGCAGGATTACCGACTAACGCATTTGACCAAACGTTTGCCCCCAGAGCACTCACAACCACCAAAGGCGCTCCAAAGTGAGTCGCCAGTGCTTTCTCTGCATTGTTCATAAATTGTTCCACTAGTACTACATCAAATTTTTCGTCAGAGTGAATCAATTTTTGGACTTTCTCGTCCCGTAGTGCTGCTCCCATCGCCTTGGACATCATATATCCCATGAAAACGGTTGTAATGAACGGGTTTGCGTCTGCTTGGTCGAACATATTCCTTTTCTGACCTTTCATCATTTCTGCAAAATTCGTGTTCTATTTAATTAAAAACTAGTTGTTTAAACGTACCTTTCATGTTGTCTAGAACCTCTGTGGTGACTATGTCTCGGTAAGTCCCTTTCGTTTTTGGTGGTTCTTTCTCGCCGAAGGAACTAATCACTGTGACATCGTGTCCTTTGTCGGCTAAAGCTTTCATCAGGGTACTACCAAGGAGGTAGTGGCTGCGTCCTGGGGCGGTGAAAACGCCCAAAATTTTCGCACAATCACCATTGTGGTTTGTTAATAAAATTAGTATCACTGCAATTAAGCACCTCATTTTGATCTACAATGAAATCATAGATAGGTATGATATATATAGGAGAGTGTTATCTGAAATTGGTTAAGTGATTATGCGATCCTTTATCTCGTGGAGTACTTTTATCTCTTTATTTTCATCTTATTGAAACGAAAGTCAGTTGTTCATCGTGTTGTAAATCTTTATTGGGCTTTTATTTTTACACGTTGCGAATTTCTACAACACAATTTTTTACAAACGAAAGCCACAATACAACACGTTAATAAAATTCCTAAGACGAGAACAGCAACAATGTCGAGAAGAATGTATTGGTACCACGGTAAATCAATCCCTGCTACCCTCAAATGTGCAGCACCTCTATGCCGAATCACGTATTCTATCCAATAAATGGCCGTTTCCATCGGTTTTCGAACCCGATCGTGAAAGTACTTCGATCGTGCTTTGGCAATCTCCTTGTACCTGAAACAACTTATTACCATTTGGGTGTCAAACCGTTTTGATTTACTTAGGGTTGTTCAAAAGTTCCACAATCGTCCGAGTTAGCGCCTCCTCGTTGACATCTTCAAACGACAAAGACAACCCAAACCCGAGATTAACAGCAATTTGTGCGTTCTGTTTCTGGTCTCCAAAGATAGGAATCGCTAGAACTGGTACTCCATGGTAGACAGTTTCCGTGGTACTTAGAAGACCGCCGTGGGTGATAAACAGTCGGATGTTGGGATGGGCTAAAACTTGACAATCGAGTGGTGGAAAAATGAATTGACACGTACCTAGAATGCTCGACTGAGGTAACCACTTTCCCAGTTTGACGTTGTCTGGTTTCCCCGGAAGCACGTCTTCCTCCCACTTCCAAATAACCTTTTGCTTCAATTTTGCAAAAGTTTTGAGAAAAGCGTCACGTTTTTCCAGTGGTAGTTCCGCGCTTTTTAGGTTTGAACCCATGCTGAAATAGATTACCCCGTTTGGAGCGTTGTCTAAGTACTCTTGTAAATCTTGAGGTAGTTGTTTGGGGGGTTTTATGTGAAAGCCACCGATTTCGATCATGTTGGGTACGAGTGGCACCGGCTGGTTGATACTGGGGTGAGAGTTGAGCAAAACTATCGATATGTTGTGTATAACTTGATCAAAGTCGTACTCCCCGGGTATATACTTCTTCATTAACTTGCTGTGTTTGGGGTACACGTACCAATTGAAACACACTTGTGTGTAAAGATGGGTGAAACTATTCGTCAATCGTTCCAAGAACGTCATTTGGCTACTATAGTCTGAAAAAATATCGGGTACATACGACGGCGGTGACGGATTCCCGACCAAAAGGTTTGACAAAGAGCAAGCTCCAACCGTACTAAACGAAACTAACGGAGCTTTAAAATGCGGCGCTAGAGCTTTAAGTGCGTGATTGAGTACTTCCGTTATTATCACCACGTCGAAGGTTTCTTTGGAATGGATCAGTTTTTGCACCTCTTTATGTTCCAGAGTCATTTCAGTCATTTTTTCCAAAAATGCTATCGAAGTTTGAAGCTTCTGAAAAACATTTGTGTCTGTTTGCTCGAACGTCCTCATGTTTTTCATTCCATCTAAAATTGGAAATGTACTTTGTGGTACCGCGGTACTGAATTACCTCTCATCCATTCAACGAATCCCGTGAGCACGATTGATCTAAGTGAACCATTTTTTGAGTCGGTTTTTTCTTCGTATGGACTGACAACGGTGACGTCGTGGCCTCTTTGAACTAGTTCTTGCACCAGAGGGACGTAGAGGTTGCGGTGACTGTTGACAGGGGGAGGAAACAGACCGAGAATTTTCGCACTGAGTACCACATTTAGCGAGATTGTGAGTATAGAAAGTGTTACGATAGTTGGCATGGTGTGCGGCGTCGACTCAACTATACTGACCAATTTATCAATTGTAGTTGTATAAGTAGAAGCTTGTTATGTTAAAATTAAATAATGTTATCGTAAACTATAAATTATAAAGATAAATTTATCTAGAAAATTGTAATTATTATAAAAACAATTATGTGATTACGTACCATATGAAACGAGTTTCATCGTCTAAGACGTCCTTGGACAGTAATAGCTGAAGGTTCGAGGTCAGATCAATTGGAGACCACTGATTATATTTGTGTATGCGTAGAATGCGTTGTGTGTCATCCATCCACGATCAAACACACGGAAACTAATAAATCGAACGTGATCAGATTTATATAGTTCTTTGAAAGAAAAAATTCGTAAAAACGACGCTATCTGTGGAAATCGTGATAGTGCGAATAATTTATTTTAGCAAATCATGGTAGTGAAACTATTTGAAAATTGATACACATTGATAAAAATGTTTGATAAGTAATAATAATAATAATAATAATCAACACGTTTAATTAGTTTTTACTTTATTCTTCAGTCTTTTAAACAATAGTGGACACATTCTTGTCAAAAGCACGTAAAACACTGTTCCACCTATCGCGGCGACTAAAACCACGAAACCAATAACATCCAACACGTGATATTTGTACCAGGGTAAATCAAGTGCCGCTACTCTCAAATGAGGGGCTCCTTTATGTCGAATAACGTAGTCAATCCAGTATAAAGCAGTCTCCATAGGCGTCTTCAACCGATCATGGAACAGCTTTGACTTAGCTTTAGCGTTATTCGAGTACCTACAACGCCCATTTAAACAAACATAAACAACCAATATTGACTTACTTCGGGTTATTCAACACTTCGTCCAAATTCTGGGCAAACGTTTCTTTATTGACCTCCTTGTAAGGCAAAGATAGACCATAACCGTCGTTCACCGCCAACTGGGCGTTCATTTTTTGATCACCATAGATGGGTATTGCCAAAACTGGCACCCCGAAATATATAGTTTCCGTGGTACTTAGCAGACCACCATGGGTAACAAAAAGCTTGACGTTCGGGTGTGCTAGAACATCTTGTTGTGGCAACCACTTTCCCACTTCTACATTTTTCGGCTTATTTGGTAGTTCTTCGTCCTCCCATTTCCACAACACTTTTTGTTTCAGTTTGGCGAAAGCGTTCAAAATCGCGTCGCGTTTGTCGGTGGGTAGATCCACGCTGCGCAAGTTTGAACCCATGCTGAAATAAATGGCACCTTCTGTGGCTCCATCTAGGAATGTCTGCAAGTCTTGTGGTAGTTTTTTGGGGGGTTTGATATGGAAACCACCTATTTCGACCATATTTGGGACGTGAGGAACGGGTTGGCTGAAGCTGTGGTGCGAGTTTAATAGTACTAGAGACGCGTTGTAAAGAAAGTCTTCTATGTGGGGGGCTCCGGGGATGTATTTTTGAACGGTTTGTTCGTTGTTTGGGTACACATAAGCGTGCATCATCACCACATTCAACAAATAGACTAAAGTATTGGTTACTCTTTGCAAGAACGTCATTTGAGACGAATAACTTAGACCGGCTGACGGGACGTAGGATGGTGGAGATGGGTTACCAACTAGGGAGTCAATCCAAAGGTTGCTGCCCGTGGAACTGAACACAATTTGGACTGCGTTGAAGTGCGACGCGAGAGCTTTTAAATCGTCAATGAGAAACTGTTCAACAATAACAGCGTCGAATTTCTCGTCGGAATGGATAAGTTCTTGCACGGGTGGTTCCTGTAGGGTTAAAGTACCGAGTTCCGATAACATAATCATCAGGAAAGGTAGGGAAATGAGGGGGTTTAGTTCACCGACGTCGAACATATTAACCTTCAGTTTTCCTGGAAAGATAGTGTGAATATATTGATTGTTGGTACCGGTTTGTCAAAGTACTCTCGAAAGTTTCACGAGTTTTTACTAGTACGATGTCTCTGTAGGACCCATTGGGGGGAGTTCTCTCACCGAAAGGACTGATGACCGTGACATCGTGGCCTTGTTCAGCTAAAGCACGCATTAAAGCACTACCAAGAAAGTAGTGACTTTTGCCGATGAATGGGAAAACACCTAGAATGCGCGCACTATGGGTTAGATAAGTGAACGAGGTTAGCACGATCAAGGTTATTATATTCATTGTATGTGAAAGCTGATACAATACTGACGCGTTTGATAGTCGCCACGTGTAATCTGAAGCCGATTTGGTGCGAAAAAAAACGAACTGATCACAGGTGTGAAATTGTATTTATCAACTACGTTTCAGTTTTGGGCTTTTTGATGGTACACACAATGAAATTAAAATTTTTGTAAGTTTACAAAACACGTACAAACTAAGTACTAGTGATAATACAATAAACAGTCCGACGTCTAGCAGCATGTATTTATACCACGGTAAGTCAACCCCGGCTACTTTTAAATGAGGGGCACCTTTATGACGAATTACGTACTCCACCCAGTAAACCGCGGTTTCCATTGGTCCGGTGAGTCGATCCTGGAAGATTTTTGAACATTCTTTGGCGTTTTTGGCGTATCTACAAAAAACACGGATTTCGAAATCTTCAATTTTACCTTATACTTACTTAGGGTTATTTAAAAGTTCGTCTAACTTCTGGGTTAAAGTAGTTTCCGAAATTTCGTGGTATTCTAGCAACAGGCCAAAACCTTCTTTAGTTATACGTTGCGCGTTCAATTTTTGGTCAGCCGCTACGGGTATAGCTAGAACGGGCACTCCATGGTAGATGGTTTCCGTGGTACTTAGAAGTCCGCCGTGAGTAATAAAAAGTCGGGTGTTCGGATGGGCTAAAATACCCGATTGGGGTAACCACTTGTCCACTTTGACGTTTTCGGGTTGCCCCGGCAGCACGTCCTCTTCCCACTTCCAAATAACCTTTTGCTTCAATTTCGCGAAAGTTTTAACGAAAGTGTCACGTTTTGCCATTGGTAGTTCCGCGCTTTTTAGGTTTGAACCCATGCTGAAATAGATTACCCCGTTTGGAGCGTTGTCTAAGTACTCTTGTAGATCTTGAGGTAGTTGTTTGGGGGGTTTTATATGAAAGCCACCGATTTCGATCACGTTCGGTACGATTGGCACCGGTTGGTTGATACTGGGGTGGGAGTTGAGCAAAACTAGCGATATGTTGTGTATAACTTGATCAAAGTCGTACTCCCCGGGTACATATTTTTTCATTAACTCCTTCTGTTGAGGGTACACGTACCAATTGAAACACACTTGTGTGTAAAGATGCATTAAGCTATTCGTTAATCGTTCCGGGAACGTCATTTTGCTACTATAGTCTGAAAATAGATCGGGTACATAGGACGGTGGTGCGGGGTTTCCGACTAGAAGGTTCGTGAAAGACGACAAACCAATGGTACTAAAAGAAACTAACGGAGCTTTGAAATGTGGCGCCAGGGCTTTATGTGCGTGCGTCAGCAGTTCTGTTATTATCACCACGTCGAACGTTTCTTTGGAATGGATCAATCTCTGCACGTTTCGATGTCCCAAAGTCATTTCAGACATTGTTTCCAAAAAAGTGAGCACAGTTTGAAGCTTCTGAAAAATATTGGTATCTGCTAAGTCAAACGTCCTCACGTGTTTCATTCCATCTAAAATTAGAAGATAGAATTTGTGGTACCGTGGTACTAATTACCTGTCATCCAATCGACGAACCCCGTGAGCACTATTGATCTAAGGGAGCCATTTTTTGAGTCGATTGTTTCTTCGTATGGACTGATCACGGTGACGTGGTGTCCTCTTTGCACTAGTTCTTGCACCAGAGGGGTGTACAGGTTCCGGTGACTGTTGATAGGGAGTGGAAACAGACCGAGGATTTTCGCACCGAGTACCACGTTTAGCGAGATTGCGACTATTGAGATTCCTAAAATAGTTTTTGGCATGGTGTGCGGCGTCTACTAGACTACACTGACAAATTTATCAGTTGCAGCTGCATAAGTACATAGAAACCAAACCTGTTGCGTTAAAAATATCTATATTTGATGCAGGCGCATAAATAAGTCCAAAGTTTAAGTAGTTCGTAATTGAAAAAGATTATGTTATCGTAAATTAAACTATGAAGGTACTTGTGGAGTTTCATTGTGTGTAAAGCTTGTATTTTAATAATTTTATCTAGAAAATTGCGGTTATGGAATAAATAATAAATTTCCTAGGATGTAGTGACCAGGAGCGTTCATCGGAAAGACGTCCAAAATTTTGGCAAACGACGACTAGTAGCAGAAGAGCTAAAAAGGTCTTCTTCTTGATAAGTGTATCATTATTATAAACTCATTTTGCATTAACACCTTTTATTCAAAATATAGTCAAATTACAAAAAATCTTTCAATATCACAAAAAATGGTTCACGAGCGTTTCACCTTCTTCTTTGATTTCGTACACAACGAAAATATTTTTTTGGTAATTTTGCAAAATACGTACGAACTAAATACTAGTGCTATCAAGATGAAGGCCCCGACGTCTAGTAGGAAGTATTTGTACCACGGTAAGTCCACTCCGGCTACTTTTAAATGAGGGGCACCTCCGTGACGAATTACGTACTCCACCCAGTAAACGGCGGTTTCCATGGGTCCGACGAGTCGATCATGGAAGAGTTCTGACCGTTTTTTGGCGTTCTGAGTGTACCTTTGAAAAAAATACGTAGGTAATTTAAAAATAGCCACGATTCTAATGTATACTTACTTAGGGTTGTTTAGAAGTTCATCTAACTTCTCTGTTAAAGTTTTTTCCGTAATTTCGTTGTATGCTTGGTAGAGACCAAAACCTTCGTTAACAATCCGTTGGGCGTTCAATTTTTGATCAGCTGCGATCGGTATCGCTAGGACGGGAACACCATGGTAAATAGTTTCCGTGGTACTTAGCAGACCACCATGGGTGATAAAAAGTTTGACATTAGGGTGTGCTAGAATCTCTTGTTGTGGCAACCACTTCCCCAATTTCACGTTCTTCGGCTGACCAGGAAGAACATCCTCTTCCCATTTCCACAAAATCTTCATCTTCATCTTCGCAAACGTGCTCAAAAACGCGTCACGTTTTTCTTGGGGTAGTTGCGAGCTTTGCAAATTTGACCCCATACTGAAATAAACGACGCCTTCTTTGGAATCGTCTAGAAACTTTTGCAAATCGTCTGGGAGTTTCTTGGTTGGTTGAACGTGAAACCCGCCAATGTCAATCATGTTGGGTACGTACGGTACGGGTTGATTAATACTCGAATGAGAGTTGAGTAAAACTATAGACGCGTTGTACAGAGTGTCGTAAAAAGGTGGACTTTTAGGAAAATACTTATTGTAGAATTTGGCCTGAATTGGAAAAGAACCCAGATGATATACAAGGGTGCTAAAAATGTTGAAAGCAGTGTTGGTCAATCTTTCACAGAACGTCATCTGACTAGAATAACTTAGAAAGACATCTGGGATGTAGGACGTCGGTGATGGGTTGGCCACCAACATGTTAACCCAAGTGTTGGCTCCAATCGTACTTAACAGAATCAAAGGAGCGTTAAAATGTGGAGCGAAACCCTTGTGGGCGTCGTTCATAAACTGTTCTACTATCACCACGTCGAACTTTTCGTCAGATTTCAACAAATTTTGCACGTTGGTGTGGTTCAACGTCATTTCTGTCATTTCACTAATCATGTTAAGGATAAACGGTACCATGAGGAAGACGTTTGTGTTTCCCATTTCGAACATGTTCATTTCTTTGCCACGCTCTGTTCAAATATTGTTAATTTCAAAATCAATAAAAAAACACTCACTTACTTTCGTTTTCTTCTCGAAATCCTGTGAGTTCGATTTGCTTGTAAGTACCTTTTTTGGGCAGATTTTTCTCAATGAAAGGTGTGATTATGGTTACGTCGTGCCCATGTTCCGCCAGACCTTTCATCAAAGAACTTCCGAGGATGTAGTGACTGCGGGCCGGCAGCGGAAACACCCCCAAAATTTTGGCACATTTTGAACTGTGGAATACCACGACTAGTGACAAAAGTGCAAAGATCTTCATTTTGTCACTATTGATAAAAAACTAAATCCAGGTAGACGATTCTGAAGTATTTATAAAAAAGTTTTTGTTATCTGTGATAGTGATTTTTGATAAGGAAGGCTTAGTCACAATACTGGTGTTCTACAAGGTAAGATAACAAGCATTACATAACATCGAATTAAATGCTTTGGTTTACTCGTCACAACGCGTACAAACTCTGTCGCACACTATAATTGTGATACTTAAAGTGGAATCTGCGAGGTCACTCACTAAAAATGATTATTCATGCAGCACTATCATCGATATTGTGCATGGTCACTTTTCCGGAAAATTATCGCTATTACACCGGTATTTCTAGCGTTGTCACTCACTTCAAGTGGATCCAGTTGCATCTGCAGCATGTCTTTGCATGAACGATTTGCAATTCGGGTTCTCCCACCAATTGTACCACGAACCATGAGATACGTCACGTTCAGCCAGAGTACACACTAAATAAAACACACCCATTGAATAACACATTTTATTCAAATAAAAATATTTAACAGATCAAGATCGTTTCAACTTCTGAACCTTTGGTTTCGAACATAACGAAAATATTGATTTCGTAATTTTGCAAAATACAAACAAACTAAATACTAGTGTTGCCAAAATGAACAGTCCGACGTCCACCAGCATATATTTGTACCACGGTAGATCCACACCTGCCACTTTTAAATGGGGGGCACCTCCATGACGAATTACGTACTCCACCCAGTAGACCGCGGTTTCCATGGGTCCTACGAGTCGGTCGTGGAAAAGCTTTGACCGTTGTTTAGCGTTGTTGGTGTACCTAGGATTATTTAATAGTTCGTTTATTTTTTGGGTTAGAGCCTTTTCAGAAATTTCTTTGTAGCCTAAAGCGAGACCAAACCCTTCGTTAACAATCCGATGAGAGTTTAATTTCTGGTCAGCCGCTACAGGTATGACCAGAACGGGAACTCCATGGTAAATCGTCTCCGTGGTACTTAGCAGACCACCATGCGTGATAAAAAGTTTGACATTTGGATGGGCTAGAATCTCTTGTTGTGGCAACCACTTCCCCAGTTTCACGTTTTTCGGCTGACCTGGAAGAGCATCCTCTTCCCACTTCCACAGAATCTTCAGCTTCAGTTTCGCAAAAGCGTTCAAAAAAGCGTCACGTTTCTCAGCCGGTAGTTCCGAGCTTCTCAAATTTGAACCCATACTGAAATAAATGACGCCTTCTTTGGACTCATCTAGGAACTTTTGCAAGTCTTGTGGTAGTTTCTTGGTGGTTTGTACGTGAAAACCACCAATGTCGATCATGTTGGGTACGTAGGGTACAGCTTGATTTAGACTGGGATGGGAGTTGAGCAAAACTATAGACGCGTTGTACAGAGTATCATAAAACGGTGGACTATTCGGGAAATAGCGACTATAGAGTTTAGCTTGTCCTGGGAAAGCAAACCAATGGTACAAAACGTGACTGTAAACCTGGAACGCTGTGTTGGTTAACCGTTGCCAGAACGTCATCTGACTGGAATAACTAAGCAAAGCGTCTGGTACGTACGCTGTAGGTGCTGGGTTAGCCACCAACATGTTAACCCAAATGTTAGCCCCAATCGTACTTAGCAGAATCAAAGGGGCATCGAAATGAGTGGCGAACCCTTTGTGCGCTTCATTCATAAACTGTTCCACTATGACAGCGTCAAACTTCTCCCCAGAATTTAGAAGATTTTGGACGTTGGTGTGATTGAGCGCCACTTCCGTCATTTCATGGAGAAGATTGAGGAAAAATGGGAGAAGTAGGAAAATGTTCTGGTCTTCCATTTCAAACATTTTCATTTCCTTGCGACGCACTATCAATTTTTTTAATTAAATAAATAAAATCATTGGAAGGGAAACAATTACCTTCGTGTGCTTCCTCGAATCCTGTTAATGCGATTTGTCGGTAAGAACCCTTTTTGGGGAGATCCTTCTCAATATAGGGTGTGATTATGGTGACATCGTGACCTTGTTCCGCCAGACCTCTCATCAACGAACTTCCTAGGCGGTGGTGACTGCGGGCCGGCATTGAAAACACCCCCAAAATTTTGGCACTGTTTGCATTGTGGAATGTGACGACTAGTGATACCAAGGCCAAAAAGATCTTCATCGTGACTTTATTAATAAAAGAATGCACCGAACCAGACAGTTCTGAACTATTTATATTTTATCGGTAACACCAATTTTTGATAAGGACGGTTTAGTTACAATGATTCACATACTGTGGTGTTAGATAACGCTCATTCAAATAAGATTCGTCAAGAATTGAAGTTAAACTGAATACGGAAGATGATAAAGTGTGACTGACTCGTCACAGTAAGGACGAACTCCAAACAAGTACTTATGTTATTATGTAATATTAGTACCAATATGGGTCAAGAGTAATTCGCAAGGTCATTCTCTGCGACGGTTTCATTCAATGATCTTAACTTTTTGGAATGATTTGACACAAAAATTATCTGAACAAGTAATACATTTATTCGAATTATGATAAGAAAAAAATGTTTGACAGATCACGAGTCTTTCATCTTCTGAACTTTTGATTTCGAACACAACGAAAATATTGTTTTTGTAATTTTATAAAATACATACAAACTAAATATCAGTGTTGTTAAAATAAACACTCCAACGTCTAGCAGCATGTATTTATACCACGGTAAGTCAACCCCGGCTACTTTTAAATGAGGGGCACCTCCGTGACGAATTACGTACTCCACCCAGTAAACCGCGGTTTCCATAGGTCCTACGAGTCGATCGTGGAAAAGTTTTGACCGTTTTTTTGTGTTTCTGGCGTACCTACAAAAAAATACGTACTTTGAAAGCAACCACATTAACATATACGTACCTAGGATTGTTCAAAAGTTCTCGTAACTTCTGTGTTAACGCTTCTTCTGAAATTTCTTTATAGTCGACACAGAGTCCAAAACCGTCGTTAACTATGCGTCGTGCGTTCAATCTCTGGTCGGCTGCTATAGGTACAGCCAGAACTGGTACTCCATGGTAGATGGTTTCCGTGGTACTCAACAAACCACCATGGGTGACGAAAACTTTGACATTTGGGTGTGCTAGAATGTCTTGTTGTGGCAACCACTTCCCCAACTTCACGTTCTTCGGTTGACCAGGAAGAACATCCTCTTCCCACTTCCACAAAATCTTCATCTTCGTTTTGGAAAAAGTGTTCAAAAAGGCTTCAAGTTTTTTGGGTGGTAGTTCCGAGCTTCGAAAATTTGAACCCAAACTGAAATAAATGACGCCTTCTTTGGAACCATCTAGAAACTTTTGCAAGTCTTGTGGTAGTTTCTTGCTTGGTTGTATGTGAAAACCGCCAATGTCGATCATGTTGGGTACATATGGCACAGGGTGACTCGTACTAAAGTGGGAGTTGAGGAAAACTATAGACGCGTTGTACAGAGCACCATAAAAGGGTACACCATTCGGAAAATACCTATCATATATTTTCGCTTGTTTCGGAAAACCGTACAAATGGAATAAAAGGTAGCTGAACACGTTGTAGGCAGTGTTGGTCAATCTTTCACTGAACGTCATCTGGCTAGAGAAACTAAGCAAAGCTTCTGGTACGTAAGAAGTGGGTGCTGGGTTAGCCACTAACATGTTGACCCAAATATTGGCCCCGATGGTACTTAACAGAATCATAGGGGCGTCGAAATGTGTAGCGAAACCTTTATGGGCGTCATTCATAAACTGTTCTATTATTACCACATCGAACTTTTCGCCAGATTTTAGGAACTTTTGGACGGTGGTACATTTGAGTGTATGTTCTGTTATTGCAGTGATCCAATCAAGCACAAAAGTGATGAAGATAATGGGGTTCATATCATCCATGTCAAACATTTTCATTTCGTTGCGGCGCCCTGTTCCAACTTTTGTTAAATTTCAATTCAAACAACAAAGAAATACTTACTTTCATGTTCTTCTGCCACTTCTGTCAGCTCTATTTGTTTGTAGGAACCATTTTTGGGGAGATTTTTCTCCACGAAAGGCGCGATTATTGTTACTTCGTGACCACGTTCCGCCAGGCCTTTCATTAACGAATTGCCTAGGATATAGTGACTGCGAGCCGGCACTGGAAACACCCCCAGAATCTTGGCACATTTAGAATCATGGAATATAATCACCAATAATAAAAATGGAAAAATAGTCTTCATTGTATGTGTTGACTCTCGTTGAAGATTACAGCGACTGTGTGATATTTTTATTTAAACTAACGAGTGGTCAAGGTGACGGATGTTTAGAATCGTAACGCGTTTATTTTTTTAATGGAAAATTATTAATGTTTTTATTACGAGCGTAAGCGAAATGTAGTCGAATCCGTCTGCCGACCCTCTACTTTTACGTTTTCTCGACCTTTCCGTCTGTCTGTCCGTCTGCCGTCCCGCCAATAATGTGATGACGTCACCTCATTGTGTATAGTAAAACGCTTTTAAATTGTATGAAATAACATAGTCGAACACATGTAGTTGAGTTTTTACCTTTGGAAAAAAAATCAAAATTATAAAACTTTTTGCAATTTAATTTTGAGTCTGCCAAACCGAATACTTTGACGTTTTAAAGCTATTGTAAGCATTATCAACATATATTTGCTTATCCCTTTCAAAAAATTGATGACGTTAATCAACATATATTTGCTTATCCCTTTCAAAAAATTGATGACGTCACCTCGAAATTTTGCCGAATAAATTGTACCCAAAAGGTGAAGAGTTTTTACTTGTGATTTATCACCGGATTCATATTTTTTAGATTAGCTTAGACAGGTGGCTCCAACAAATTAATAAATTTTCCCAGAAAATTTTCGAAATCTAGTACTGTTATTTTTTAATTTCCATTTCACACAAATAAAATAGGCCACTGAAATGGAGAACGGAGGTGGTTAGGGTTAAATGTAGCTTTTCTCTAGTTCTATGAGCAAGCGGTAGCCCCGCCCACCCACCCTTGTTTTTCTTATCAGATATATCATTTACCAAAATTAGTCTTATCTTAACAAGAATTAGGCCCACCCACCCGCCCTCTATTTTCTTACAGGGTATGTCGTCTGCAACAGTCAGTCTTATCCGACCAAGTACTAGCCCCACCCACCCACCCTTTGTTTTCTTAGAGGGTATGTCATTTAAAAAAATCAGTCTTATGTTAGCAAGTACTAGTAAGGAACTAATAGAACGTAGGCTATTACAAAAAAGCGTTAATCGTATTTTTTGTTTACTACTTATTTGTTATAACGTTGATTTCTTATTTCTGAAGAACAAAATGAGGGAAAGGGTGGGTGGGCGGGGCCAAGTTTAACTTTTCCATATAGAATCCTTTATAAGCAACCAATAGCCCCACCCACTCACCCCCTCTTCATTCCAGTGATATACTCTTAATATTGTTCAGTCAGTTGTACTATTTATTTGTTATAACATTTATTTCTTATTTCTGAAGAACAAAATGAGAGAACGGGTGGGTGGGCGGGGCTAAGTTTAACTTTTCCACATAGAATCTTTTATAAGCAACCAATAGCCCCACCCACCCACCCCCTCTTCAATCTAGTCATTATTCTTAATATTGTTCAGTCAGTTGTACTATTTATTTGTTATAACATTTATTTCTTATTTCTGAAGAACAAAATAAGAGAACGGGTGGGTGGGCGGGGCTAAGTTTGACTTTGTCCTACAGAATGTTTTATAAGCAAGCAATAGCCCCGTCCACTCACCCCCTCTTCATTCCTGTGATTATTCTTAATATTGTTCAGTCATTTACTAATATTAATCTTGTCTAAACAAACACAAGCTCTCCTCACCCGCTCTGTATTTTCGTGGAGGGTATGTCGTTAGCAAAAATCAATCTTATATTAGCAAGTACTAGCCCCACCCGCCCACCCTTTATTTTCTTGGAGGGTATGTCGTCTGCCAAAATCAATCTTATCTTGGCCAATATTAGCCCCGCCCACACACGCTGTTCTCATTCTAACGATTTTATCTCTCTTCAATAGAGATCGACCTTTTATTCGGACTAGACAAAATGAATCACTAAAATGGAGGCAGGGTGGGTGGGTGGAGTGAATTATATATTCTTTTGTAAAATGAGAATGTTAACTAATAGGACTTAGGCTGTTAAAAAAGCGTTAATTTTTTTGTTGTACTACTTAGTTGCTATAGTATTTATTTCTTATTTCTGAAGAACCAAATGGAGAACGGGTGGGTGGGCGGGGCTAAGTTTAACTTTTCCAAATAGAATCTTTTATAAGCAAGCAATAGCCTCGCCCACCCACCCCTCTCTTCATTTAAGTGTTTACGAGCTAAGTTTAACTTAGTCCTACAGAATGTTTTATAAGCAAGAAAGAGCTCCACCCACCCACCCACTCTTCATTCCAGTGATTAAACTTAATATTGTTCAGTAATTTACCAAAATCAATCATAAATACTAGTTATGCTCACCCAAAATTGTCTAAACTAAAAACTCAACTTGAGCAAGCTCCACGCGAACTATTTTGCGAAAGTTTTGAGAAAAGCGTTACGTTTTGCCACTGGTAGTTCTGCGCGTTTTAGGTTTGAACCCATGCTGAAATAGATTACCCCATTTGTAGCGTTATCTAAGTACTCTTGTAGATCTTGAGGTAGTTGTTTGGGGGGTTTTATGTGAAAGCCACCGATTTCGATCACATTCGGTACGATTGGCACCGGTTGGTTGATACTGGGGTGGGAGTTAAGCAAAACTAGCGATATGTTGCGTATAACTTGATCAAAGTCGTACTCCCCGGGTACATATTTTTTCATTAACTCCTTCTGTTGAGGGTACACGTACCAATTGAAACACACTTGTGTGTAAAGATGCATTAAGCTATTCGTTAATCGTTCCAGGACGTCATTTTGCTACTATAGTCTGAAAATAGATCGACTACATAGGACGGTGGTGCGGGGTTCCCGACTAGAAGGTTCGTAAAAGACGACGCACCAATGGTACTAAAAGAAACTAACGGAGCTTTGAAATACGGCGCCAGGGCTTTGTGTGTGTGCGTCAGCAGTTCGGTTATTATCACCACGTCGAACGTTTCTTTGGAATAGATCAATCTCTGCACGTTTGGATGTTCCAAAGTCATTTCAGACATTGTTTCCAAAAATGTGAACACAGTTTGAAGCTTCTGAAAAATATTGGTATCTGCTAAGTCAAACGTCCTCACGTTTTTCATTCCATCTAAAATTATAGAAGAAAGAATTTGTGGTACCGTGGTACTAGTTACCTGTCATCCATTCGACGAACCCCGTGAGCACTATTGATCTAAGTGAACCATTTCTTGAGTCGGTTGTTTCTTCGTATGGACTGATGACGGTGACGTCGTGTCCTCTTTGTACCAGTTCTTGTACTAGAGGGGTGTACAGGTTCCGGTGACTGTTGATGGGGAGTGGAAAAAGACCGAGGATTTTCGCACCGAGTACCACGTTTAGCGAGAATGCGACTATTGAGATTCCTAAAATAGTTTTTGGCATGGTGTGCGGCGTCTACTAGACTACACTGACAAATTTATCAGTTGCAGCTGCATAAGTACATAGAAACCAAACCTGTTGCGTTAAAAATATCTATATTTGATGCAGGCGCATAAATAAGTCCAAAGTTTAAGTAGTTCGTAATTGAAAAAGATTATGTTATCGTAAATTAAACTATGAAGGTACTTGTGGAGTTTCATTGTGTGTAAAGCTTGTATTTTAATAATTTTATCTAGAAAATTGCGGTTATGGAATAAATAATAAATTTCCTAGGATGTAGTGACCAGGAGCGTTCATCGGAAAGACGCCCAAAATTTTGGCAAACGACGACTAGTAGCAGAAGAGCCAAAAAGGTCTTCTTCTTGATAAGTGTATCATTATTATAAACTCATTTTGCATTAACACCTTTTATTCAAAATATAGTCAAATTACAAAAAATCTTTCAATATCACAAAAAATGGTTCACGAGCGTTTCACCTTCTTCTTTGATTTCGTACACAACGAAAATATTTTTTTGGTAATTTTGCAAAATACGTACGAACTAAATACTAGTACTATCAAGATGAAGGCCCCGACGTCTAGTAGGAAGTATTTGTACCACGGTAAGTCCACTCCGGCTACTTTTAAATGAGGGGCACCTCCGTGACGAATTACGTACTCCACCCAGTAAACGGCGGTTTCCATGGGTCCGACGAGTCGATCATGGAAGAGTTCTGACCGTTTTTTGGCGTTCTGAGTGTACCTTTGAAAAAAATACGTAGGTAATTTAAAAATAGCCACGATTCTAATGTATACTTACTTAGGGTTGTTTAGAAGTTCATCTAACTTCTATGTTAAAGTTTTTTCCGTAATTTCGTTGTATGCTTGGTAGAGACCAAAACCTTCGTTGACTATGCGTTGGGCGTTCAGTTTCTGATCAGCTGCGATGGGTATCGCTAGGACGGGAACGCCATGGTAAATGGTTTCCGTGGTACTTAGCAGACCACCATGGGTGATAAAAAGTTTGACATTAGGATGTGCTAGAATCTCTTGTTGCGGCAACCACTTCCCCAACTTCACATTCTTCGGCTGACCAGGAAGAACATCCTCTTCCCATTTCCACAAAATCTTCATCTTCATCTTCGCAAACGTGCTCAAAAACGCGTCACGTTTTTCTTGGGGTAGTTGCGAGCTTTGCAAATTTGAACCCATACTGAAATAAACGACGCCTTCTTTGGAATCGTCTAGAAACTTTTGCAAATCGTCTGGGAGCTTCTTAGTGGGTTGAACGTGAAACCCGCCAATGTCAATCATGTTGGGTACGTACGGTACGGGTTGATTAATACTCGAATGAGAGTTGAGTAAAACTATAGACGCGTTGTAGAGAGTGTCGTAAAAAGGTGGACTTTTAGGAAAATACTTATTGTAGAATTTGGCCTGAATTGGAAAAGAGCCCAGATGATATACAAGGGTACTAAAAATGTTGAAAGCAGTGTTGGTCAATCTTTCACAGAACGTCATCTGACTAGAATAACTTAGAAAGACATCTGGGATGTAGGACGTCGGTGATGGGTTGGCCACCAACATGTTAACCCAAGTGTTGGCTCCAATCGTACTTAACAGAATCAAAGGAGCGTTGAAATGTGGAGCGAAACCCTTGTGGGCGTCGTTCATAAACTGCTCTACGATCACCACGTCAAACTTTTCGTCCGATTTCAACAAATTTTGCACGTTGGTGTGGTTCAACGTCATTTCTGTCATTTCAGTAATCATGTTAAGGATAAACGGTACCATGAGGAAGACGTTTGTATTTCCCATTTCGAACATGTTCATTTCTTTGCCACGCTCTGTTCAAATCTAGTTAGTTTCAAAATCAATAAAAAAACACTCACTTACTTTCATGTTCTTCTCGAAATCCGGTGAGTTCTATTTGCTTGTAAGTACCTTTTTTGGGCAGATTTTTCTCAATGAAAGGTGTGATTATGGTTACGTCGTGCCCATGTTCCGCCAGACCTTTCATCAAAGAACTACCCAGGATGTAGTGGCTGCGGGCCGTCAACGGAAACACGCCCAAAATTTTGGCACATTTTGAACTCTGGAATACCACGACTAGTGACAAAAGTGCAAAGATCTTCATTTTGTCACTATTAATAAAAAACTAAATCCAGGTAGACGATTCTGAAGTATTTATAAAAAAGTTTTTGTTATCTGTGATAGTGATTTTTGATAAGGAAAGCTTAGTCACAATACTGGTGTTCTACAAGGTAAGATAACAATCATTACATAACATCGAATTAAATGCTTTGGTTTACTCGTCACAGCGCGTACAAACTCTGGCGCACACTATAATTGTGATACTTAAAGTGGAATCTGCGAGGTCACTCACTAAAAATGATTATTCATGCAGCACTGTCATCGATATTGTGCATGGTCACTTTTCCGGAAACTTATCACTATTACACCGGTATTTCTAGCGTTTTCACTCACTTCAAGTGCATCCAGTTGCACCTGTAGCATGTCTGCATGAACCGTTTGCAATTCGGGTTTTCCCACCAATTGTACCACGAACTATGAGATACGTCACGTCCAAGCTTAATCAGAGTACACACTAAATAAAGCACGCCACCATTTCATTGAATAAGAAATTTTATTCAAACAAAAATATTTAACAGATCAAGATCGTTTCAACTTCTGAACCTTTGGTTTCGAACATAACGAAAATATTGATTTCGTAATTTTGCAAAATACAAACAAACTAAATACTAGAGTTGTCAAAATGAACAGTCCGACGTCCACCAGCATGTATTTGTACCACGGTAGATCCACACCTGCCACTTTTAAATGGGGGGCACCTCCATGACGAATTACGTGCTCCACCCAGTAAACCGCGGTTTCCATGGGTCCTACGAGTCGATCGTGGAAAAGCTTTGACCGTTGTTTAGCGTTATTAGTGTACCTAGGATTATTCAATAGTTCATTTATCTTTTGTGTTAAAGCATTTTCAGAAATTTCTTTGTACCCTAAAGCGAGACCAAACCCTTCGTTAACAATCCGATGGGAGTTCAATTTCTGGTCAGCCGCTACGGGTATAACCAGAACGGGAACTCCATGATAAATCGTCTCCGTGGTACTCAGCAGACCACCATGGGTGATAAAAAGTTTGACATTTGGATGCGCTAGAATCTCTTGTTGTGGCAACCACTTCCCCAGTTTCACGTTTTTCGGCTGACCTGGAAGAACATCCTCTTCCCACTTCCACAAAATCTTCAACTTCAGTTTCGCAAAAGCGTTCAAAAAAGCGTCACGTTTCTCAGCCGGTAGTTCCGAGCTTCTCAGATTTGAACCCATACTGAAATAAATGACGCCTTCTTTGGACTCGTCTAGGAACTTTTGCAAGTCGTGTGGTAGCTTTTTTGTGGTTTGTACGTGAAAACCACCAATATCGATCATGTTGGGTACGTAGGGTACAGCTTGACTTAGACTGGGATGGGAGTTGAGCAAAACTATAGACGCGTTGTAGAGAGTATCGTAAAAAGGTGGACTAGTCGGAAAATAGCGACTATAGAGTTTAGCTTGTCCTGGGAAAGCAAACCAATGGTACAAAACGTGACTGTAAACCTGGAACGCTGTGTTGGTTAACCGTTGCCAGAACGTCATCTGACTGGAATAACTAAGCAAAGCGTCTGGTACGTACGCTGTAGGTGCTGGGTTAGCCACCAACATGTTAACCCAAATGTTAGCCCCAATCGTACTTAGCAGAATCAAAGGGGCATCGAAATGAGTGGCGAACCCTTTGTGCGCTTCATTCATAAACTGTTCTACTATGACAGCGTCAAACTTCTCCCCAGAATTTAGAAGATTTTGGACGTTGGTGTGATTGAGCGCCACTTCCGTCATTTCATGGAGAAGATTGAGGAAAAATGGGAGAAGTAGGAAAATGTTCTGGTCTTCCATTTCAAACATTTTCATTTCCTTGCGACGCACTATAAATTTTTTTAATTAAATTAATAAATAAAGTCATTGAAAGGGAAACAATTACCTTCGTGTGCTTCTTCGAATCCTGTTAGTGCGATTTGTCGGTAAGAACCCTTTTTGGGGAGATCCTTCTCAATATAGGGTGTGATTATGGTGACATCGTGACCTTGTTCCGCCAGACCTTTCATCAACGAACTTCCTAGGCGGTGGTGACTGCGGGACGGCATTGAAAACACCCCCAAAATTTTGGCACTGTTTGCATTGTGGAATGTGACGACTAGTGATACCAAGGCCAAAAAGATCTTCATCGTGACTTTACTAATAAAAGAATGAACCGAACCAGACAGTTCTAAACTATTTATATTTTATCGGTAACACCAATTTTTGATAAGGACGGTTTAGTTACAATGATTTACATACTGTGGTGTTAGATAACACTCATTCAAATAAGATTCGTCAAGAATTGAACCTAAACTGAATACGGAAGATGATAAAGTGTGACTGACTCGTCACAGTGCGGACGAACTCCAAACAAGTACTTATGTTATTATGTAATATTAGTACCAATATGGGTCAAGAGGAATTCGCAAGGTCATTCTCTGCGACGGTTTCATTCAATGATCTTAACTTTTTGGAATGATTTGACACAAAAATTATCTGAACAAGTAATACATTTATTCGAATTATGATAACAAAAAAATGTTTGACAGATCACGAGTGTTTCATCTTCTGAACTTTTGATTTCGAACACAACGAAAATATTGTTTTTGTAATTTTATAAAGTACATACAAACTAAATGCCAGTGTTGTTAAAATACACACTCCGACGTCTAGCAGCATGTATTTATACCACGGTAAGTCAACCCCGGCTACTTTTAAATGAGAGGCACCTCCGTGACGAATTACGTACTCCACCCAGTAAACCGCGGTTTCCATAGGTCCTACGAGTCGATCGTGGAAAAGTTTTGACCGTTTTTTGGCGTTTCTGGCGTACCTACAAAAAAATACGTACTTCGAAAGCAACCACATTAACATATACGTACCTAGGATTGTTCAAAAGTTCTCGTAACTTCTGTGTTAACGCTTCTTCGGAAATTTCTTTATAGTCGACACAGAGTCCAAAACCGTCTTTAACTATGCGTCGTGCGTTCAGTCTCTGGTCGGCTGCTATAGGTACAGCCAGAACTGGTACTCCATGGTAGATGGTTTCCGTGGTACTCAACAAACCACCATGGGTGACGAAAACTTTGACATTTGGGTGTGCTAGAATGTCTTGTTGTGGCAACCACTTCCCCAACTTCACGTTCTTCGGTTGACCAGGAAGAACATCCTCTTCCCACTTCCACAAAATCTTCATCTTCGTTTTAGCAAAAGTGTTCAAAAAGGCTTCAAGTTTTTTGGGTGGTAGTTCCGAGCTTCGAAAATTTGAACCCAAACTGAAATAAATGACGCCTTCTTTGGAACCATCTAGAAACTTTTGCAAGTCTTGTGGTAGTTTCTTGCTTGGTTGTATGTGAAAACCGCCAATGTCAATCATGTTGGGTACATATGGTACAGGGTGACTCGTACTAAAGTGGGAGTTGAGCAAAACTATAGACGCGTTGTACAGAGCACCATAAAAGGGTACACCATTCGGAAAATACTGATCATATATTTTTGCTTGTTTCGGAAACCCATACAAATGGAATAAAAGGTAACTGAACACGTTGTAGGCAGTGTTGGTCAATCTTTCACTGAACGTCATCTGGCTAGAGAAACTAAGCAAAGCGTCTGGTACGTAAGAAGTGGGTGCTGGGTTAGCCACTAACATGTTGACCCAAATATTGGCCCCGATGGTACTTAACAGAATCATAGGAGCGTCGAAATGTGTAGCGAAACCTTTATGGGCGTCGTTCATAAACTGTTCTATTATCACTACATCGAACTTTTCGCCAGATTTGAGGAACTTTTGGACTTTGCTACTTTTGAGCGTGTATTCTGTGAATGCAGTGATCCAATCAAGGACAAAAGTGATGAAGACAATGGGGTTCATATCATCCATGTCAAACATTTTCATTTCTTTACGACGCCCTGTATCAACTTTTGTTAAATTTCAATTCAAACACAAAGAAATACTTACTTTCATGTTCTTCTGCTACTTCTGTCAGTTCTATTTGTTTGTAGGAACCGTTTTTGGGGAGATTCTTGTCCACGAAAGGCGCGATTATTGTTACTTCGTGACCACCTTCCGCCAAACCTTTCATTAACGAATTGCCTAAGATGTAGTGACTGCGAGCCGGCACTGGAAACACCCCCAGAATTTTGGCACATTTGGAGTCATGGGATATGATCACCAATAATAAAAATGAAAAAACAGTCTTCATTGTATGTGTTGACTCTCGTTGAAGATTAAAGCGACTGTGTGATATTTTTATTTAAACTAACCAGTGGTCAAGGTGACGGATATTTAGAATCGTAGCGGATATTTACAGCGTTTATTTTTTTAATGGAAAGTTATTAATGTTTTTATTACCAGCGTAAGCCAAATGTAGTCGAGTCCGTCAGCCGACCCTCTACTTTTGCGTTTTCTCGACCTTTCCGTCTGTCTGTCCGTCTGCCGTCCCGCCAATAATGTGATGACACTTCATTCTACATAGTAAATAGGTTTTAAATTTGTTTCATTTGAAACGTCTAGATTTTTTGAAAAAAAAATCAAAATTATAAACAACATTTTGCAATTTAATTTTGAATCTGCAAAACCGCATACATGCTTTGAAATCTTGCAGATGTGTTAAAGGTATGATAAGCATGATAAATGTTTAATCAAAATATATTTGCTCATCGCCCCTAAAATATTGATGACGTCACCTCGAAATTTTGCCAAATAAATTATACTCAAAATGTGAAGAGTTTTTACTTGTGATTTATCACCGGATTCATACTTTTTAGATTTGCTTAAACAGGTGGTTCCAAAAAATTAATAAATTTTCCTAGAAAATTTTCGAAATAAACTTGGTACTCATATTTTTCAATTTCCATTTTAGACAAATAAAATAAGCCACTGAAATGGAGAACGGAGGTGGTCAGGGCTAAATGTAGCTTTTCTCTAGTTTTATGAGCAAGCGGTAGCCCCGCCCACCCATCCTTGTTTTTCGTATAAGATATGTCATTTACCAAAATCAGTCTTATCTTAACAAGTATTAGGCCCACCCACCGGCCCTCTATTTTCTTAGAGGGTATGTCGTCTGCAACACTCAGTCTTATCCGAGCAAGTACTAGCCCCACCCACCCACCCTTTATTTTCTTAGAGGGTATGTCATTTAGAAAAATTAGTCTTATGTTAGCAAGTACTAGTCAGGAACTAATAGAACGTACGCTGTTAAAATAAGCGTTAATCGTAATTTTTTTTTACGACTTAGTTGCTATAACATTTATTTCTTATTTCTGAAGAACTAAATTGGAGAACGGGTGGATGGGCGGGGCTAAGTTTAACTTTTCCAAATAGAATCTTTTATAAGCTAGCAATAGCCCCACCCACCCACCCTCTCTTCATTCCAGTGGTTACTCTTAATATTGTTCAGTCAGTTGTACTATTTATTTGTTATAACATTTATTTCTTATTTCTGAAGAACAAAAGAGAGAACGGGTGGGTGGGCGGGGCTAAGTTTAACTTTTCCATATAGAATCTTTTATAAGCAACCAATAGCCCCACCCACCCACCCCCTCTTCATTCCAGTGATTACTCTTAATATTGTTCAGTCAGTTGTACTATTTATTTGTTACAACATTTATTTCTTATTTCTGAAAAACAAAATTAGAGAACGAGTGGGTGGGCGGGGCTAAGTTTAACTTTTCCATATAGAATCTTTTATAAGCAACCAATAGCCCCACCACCCACCCCCTCTTCATTCCAGTGATTACTCTTAATATTGTTCAGTCAGTTGTACTATTTATTTGTTACAACATTTATTTCTTATTTCTGAAAAACAAAATTAGAGAACGAGTGGGTGGGCGGGGCTAAGTTTAACTTTTCCATATAGAATCTTTTATAAGCAACCAATAGCCCCACCACCCACCCCCTCTTCATTCCAGTGATTACTCTTAATATTGTTCAGTCAGTTGTACTATTTATTTGTTATAACATTTATTTCTTATTTCTGAAGAACAAAATGAGAGAATGGGTGGGTGGGCGGGGCTAAGTTTAACTTTTCCATATAGAATCTTTTATAAGCAACAAATAGCCCCACCCACCCACCCCCTCTTCATTCCAGTGATTACTCTTAATATTGTTCAGTCAGTTGTACTATTTATTTGTTATAATATTTATTTCTTATTTCTGAAGAACAAAATGAGAGAACGGGTGGGTGGGCGGGGCTAAATTTAACTTTTCCATATAGAATCTTTTATAAGCAACAAATAGCCCCACCCACCCATCCCCTCTTCATTCCAGTGATTACTCTTAATATTGTTCAGTCAGTTGTACTATTTATTTGTTATAATATTTATTTCTTATTTCTGAAGAACAAAATGAGAGAACGGGTGGGTGGGCGGGGCTAAGTTTAACTTTTCCAAATAGAATCTTTTGTAAGGAAGCAATAACCCCACCCACCCACCCACCCACTCTTCATTCCAGTGATTAATCTTAACATTGTTCAGTAGTTTACCAAAATCAATCATAAATACTAGCTATGCTCACCCAAAATTGTGTAAACTAAAAACTCAACTTGAACAAGCTCCACGCGGACTTTTTTAAGTGGAGCTTGTTCGCCAAAAGTGCTAAAATTCGTGATGGTAATGCTCGGTTAAAGCAAGCATAACAGCGATACCAATAAAGCAGTGGCTTCTGTAAATTTATGGAAAAATACTAAAAATAAACACTGTTTAGTAGGTGTGTTAATGTATTCATATAAAAATATTTCAACAAAACAAAAAAAATATTTAACACTCTTTAAGATCGTTTGACCTTCTGAACTTTCGATTTCGAACACAATGAAAATATTTTTTTACTAATTTTGCAAAATATATACAAACTAAGAAGTAGTACTACCAAAATGAACACTCCGACGTCTAGTAGCATGTATTTATACCAGGGTAAGTCCACTCCGGCTACTTTTAAATGAGGGGCACCTTTGTGACGAATTACGTACTCCACCCAGTAAACGGCGGTTTCCATTGGTCCCACGAGTCGATCGTGGAAGAGTTCTGACCGTTTTTTGGCGTTTCTGGTATACCTAGAAGAATACATTACTCCAGAACGACCACGATACCAACATATACGTACTTCGGGTTGTTTAAAAGCTCGTCCAACTTCTCCGTTAACGTTTGTTCAGAAATTTCTTTGTACCCTAACGAGAGTCCAAAGCCTTCATTGACAATCCGTTGGGCGTTCAGTTTCTGATCACCTGCGATCGGTATCGCTAGAACGGGAACTCCATGATAAATGGTTTCCGTGGTACTTAGCAGACCACCATGGGTCATAAAAAGTTTGACATTTGGATGTGCTAGAATGTCTTGTTGCGGCAACCACTTCCCCAACTTCACATTCTTCGGCTGACCCGGAAGAACATCCTCCTCCCATTTCCACAAAATCTTCATCTTCATTTTCGAAAACGTGTTCAAAAAAGCATCACGCTTTTCGGGAGGGAACTCAGCGCTTTTTAGATTTGAACCCATACTAAAATAAATCACGCCTTCTTTGGAATCGTCTAGGAATTGTTGCAAATCGTGTGGCAGCTCCTTGGTGGGGTTTATATGAAAACCCCCAATGTCAACCATGTTGGGTACGTAAGGCACGGGTTGGTTTAGACTCGGATGGGAGTTGAGGAAAACTAGAGACACGTTGTAAAGAGCGTCGTAAAAAGGGACACTATTCGGAAAGTACTCATTATAGAGTCGTGCGTGTTTCGGAAAATTGAACAAGTGGTACAAAATATGGGTATAGAAGTGAAAAACGGTGTTGGTCAATCTTTCAGTGAAAGTCATCTGACTCGAATAACTAAGCATAGCGTCTGGAACGTACGACGTCGGCGCTGGGTTAGCTACCAATGTGTTGACCCAAGCACAGGCTCCAATCGGACTCAACAGAATCATAGGGGCGTTAAAATGTGTAGCGAAACCCTTATGAGCCTCATTCATAAACTCTTGAATTATCACGGCATCGAACTTTTCATCAGACCGTAACAACTCTTGTACGTTTGGATGCTTGAGCGTCGCTTCCGTTACGTCACCAATAATGTAGAAGAAAATAGGCAAAACTAGAAAGCTGTTCACATCTTCCATGTCGAACATTGACCTCTGCTTGAGTCGCTCTGTTTCAACTCAAGATAAATTAGAAGTTAGAGTTAGAGACAAAGAAAACGCTTACTCTCGTGTGTCTCCAGGAAGCCTGTGAGCTCGATTTGTCTGTAGGAACCCATTTTGGGGGGGTTCTTCTCAACGAAGGGGGAGATTACGGTTACGTCGTGACCATGTTCCGCCAGACCCTTCATCAAAGCACTTCCTAGGATATAGTGACTGGAGGTCGGCATTGGAAACACCCCCAAAATTTTGGCGCATTTTGAGAGGTGGAAGATGACGAGAAACACAAGTGCAAAAAAAGTTTTCATCTTGAAACGAGTGATAAAGGAATGAATCCAGAGCGATTGTTCGGTATCTTTTTTTATCTAAAATACCCGTTTTGATAAGATGTGTTTCAGGTACTTAAGATATAATTGCATAATACGGTGATCTAAGTTAACGATCATTCAGGGTTACGTCTTTTGTCGGTAATGCAGACACCTATAGTTTATTTTGGAGATCACATTTCAACCAACGTACTTGAAAGTTGTAAATTTATTGATTTTGACTGATTTAATATTCACTGACTGTAATCTGGGTTGTGATTCGATAAGAAAAGATAACAAATTTATTTTGTAAACAACACACTTTATTCGATTGCAGTTAAACAATTCTTAAAAGTAGTTCAACAAAAAAAAACACCTTAAGAGCGTTTGACCTTCTGGACTTTTGGTTTCGAAAACCAGGAACATATTTTTTTTGTAATCTTGTAAAATAGATACGAATTAAACACTAGTGCTATGAAAATGACCCCAACGACGTCCACCAGCATGTATTTATACCACGGTAAGTCTACTCCGGCTACTTTTAAATGAGGGGCACCTCTGTGACGTATTACGTACTCCACCCAGTAAACCGCGGTTTCCATTGGTCCCACGAGACGATCGTGGAAGATTTCTGACCGTTTTTTGGCGTTTTTGGCATACCTAGAAATTAATACGTAATTCCAAACCGTCACACTACTAAAATATACATACTTGGAGTTGTTTAGAAGTTCATCTAACTTCTGCGTTAACGTTTGTTCAGAAATTTCTTTATACCCTAACGATAGTCCAAAACCTTCGTTGACTATACGATGGGCGTTCAGTTTCTGATCACCTGCGATGGGTATCGCCAGGACGGGAACACCATGGAAAATGGTTTCCGTGGTACTTAGCAGACCACCATGGGTGATAAAAAGCTTGACATTTGGATGTGCCAGAATCTCTTGCTGTGGCAACCACTTCCCCAATTTCACATTCTTCGGTTGACCCGGAAGAACATCCTCCTCCCATTTCCACAAAATCTTCATCTTCATCTTCGCAAACGTACTCAAAAAGACATCGCGTTTCTCGGGTGGTAACTCAGCGCTTCTTAAATTTGAACCCATGCTGAAATAAATAACCCCTTCTTTGGAATCGTCGAGAAACTTTTGCAAATCGTCTGGTAGTGTCTTGGCCGGTTTTATATGAAAACCACCAATGTCGATCATGTTGGGTACATAGGGTACAGGCTGGCTTAGACTTGGATGGGAATTGACTAAAACTATCGACGTGTTGTAGAGTACGTCGTAAAAAGGCGGATTGTTCGGAAAATACTGATTGTAGAGTTTTTCTTGTTTTGGGAAAGCAAGCAAATGGTTCAAAAGGTGACTATAAACTTGGAAAATAGTGTTGGTTAAGCGGTCACAGAACGTCATCTGGCTAGATAGACTAAGCAAAGCGTCTGGAACGTAGGACGTAGGTGAGGGGTTAGCCACCAACATGTTAACCCAAGTGTTGGCCCCAAGCGGACTTAACAAAATCAAAGGGGCGTCAAAATGGGCAGCAAAACCCTTGTGGGCATCATTCATAAATTGGGGTAAAATCACAGCGTCGAACTTCTCTCCAGAGTGTAACAAGTTTTGGACGTTGGTATGGTTGAGGGTTAGTTCAGCTCCGGCGGTAGCGATACTGAGGAAAACGGGCAAGGATACAAAGCTGTTCATATCTTCCATATCGAACATCTTCATATTCTTACGGTGCTCTGGTTCAAGTCCCGATTAATACGAATTCAAGAAATAAATTAAACTTACTTTCATGGGCCTCTGCAAACCCTGTGAGTTCTATTTGTCTGTAGGAACCCTTTTTGGGGGGGTTCTTGTCTATGTAGGGTGTGACTATGGTTACATCGTGCCCATGTTCCGCCAAACCTTTCATCAAAGAATTTCCAAGGCTGTAGTGACTACGCACCGGTATTGGAAACACGCCCAAAATTTTGGCACATTTTGAGTTGTGCAATACCACTAGGAACACAAGCGCGAAAAAACTTTTCATGGTGGCACTATTAATATTGGAATGAAACAAACAAATACTGAGGTATTTATAATTTTGGTTGTTATCTGAAGTACCGATGTTTGATAAGTTATAAGTGTTCAAGGAAAATAACAGTCATTCATAGCAACAATCTTTAATCCTGTATTTTTTTTAAAAATATCACTCATTTTGCGAAAACTAATTTTATTCAATTATAGTTAGTTGTTTAACAGATCAAGAGCGTTTCACTTTTTGAACTTTTGATTTCGAACACGAGGAACATATTTTTTTTATAATTTTACAAAATAGATACAAATTAACTATTAGTGTTGTCAAAATGAAGACAACGACGTCCACCAGCATGTATTTATACCAGGGTAGATCTACTCCGGCTACTTTTAAATGCGGGGCACCTCTGTGACGTATTACGTACTCCACCCAGTAAACCGCGGTTTCGATTGGTCCCACGAGTCGATCGTGGAAAATTTCTGACCGTTTTTTGGCGTTTTTGGCATACCTACAATGTAATACGTAATTCCAAATCATCGCAATACCAAAATATACATACTTGGGGTTGTTTAGAAGTTCATCTAACTTCTGCGTTAACGTTTGTTCAGAAATTTCTTTATACCCTAACGATAGTCCAAAACCTTCATTGACTATACTCTCGGCGTTGAGTTTCTGGTCACCCATGATTGGTATCGCTAGAACTGGAACACCATGATAAATAGTTTCCGTGGTACTTAGCAGACCACCATGGGTTATGAAAAGCTTGACATTCGGGTGTGCTAGAATCTCTTGTTGTGGCAACCACTTTCCCGACTTCACGTTCTTCGGCTGACCCGGAAGAACATCTTCCTCCCACTTCCACAAAATCTTCATCTTCATTTTCGCAAACGTGTTCAAAAAAGCGTTCCGTGTTTTGGGCGGTAATTCCGTGCTTTTTAAATTTGAACCCATACTGAAATAGATGACACCTTCTTTGGACTCATCTAGAAACTTTTGTAAATCGTGTGGTAGAGTCTTGGTGGGTTGAACATGAAAGCCACCTATGTCAATCATATTGGGTACATAAGGTACAGGTTGATTTAGACTCGGATGGGAGTTGAGTAAAACTAAAGACACGTTATAGAGAGCATCGTAATAAGGCAGACTATTTGGAAAGTACTCATTATAGAGTCGTGCGTGTTGTGGAAAATTAAACGCGTGAAATAGAATATAGCAGTAAACGTAAAGAGCGGTGTTGGTCAATCTTTCACGGAACGTCATATGACTAGAATAACTAAGGAAAAGATCAGGGACATACGATGTCGGGGCTGGGTTTGCTACCAACATGTTGGTCCAAATATTGGCCCCAATAGTATTTAACAGAATCATAGGAGCGTTAAAATGTGTAGCGAAACCTTTGTGCGCTTCGTTCATAAACTGTTCTATTATCACCACATCGAACTTTTCCCCAGACTTCAACAATTTTTGTACGTTGGTATGGTTAAGCACCTCCTCCGTGATTTCAGTCATCAACTGGAGTACGAAAGGTATGAATAGAAAAGGGGTCGTCTCTTCCATTTCAAAAATATTCATTTTTGTGCGACGCCCTGTTCAAATTTTCTTAAATTGAAATTCAAACAACTTAACGGAAAACTTACTGTCGTGTAGGCCCTCGAATTCTGTCAGTTCTATTTGCTTGTATGAACCCTTTTTAGGTAAGTTCTTCTCGGTATAGGGTGTGATTATTGTTACATCGTGACCACGTTCTGCAAGCCCTTTCATCAAAGAGTTTCCTAGGATGCAATGACTGCGAGCTGGCACTGGAAACACGCCCAAAATTTTGGCACACTTTGAGTTACGAAGTGTAACGACTATTAACAAAAATGAGAAAAATATCTTCATCTTGATGGGATTCATAGAAGAATGAATCGAGATAGACGATTTTGAAGTATTTATAGTAATTATGTCTTATCTGTAACACGAACTTTTAATAACAACGATGCACTCGCAATGTTTACTTACACACACACTAGGACGAAAGATATCAATGTTTGCGTAATGCCTGAACCTAACAAAAAAATCAGTCAAGGTAACTAAATAATACTAAAAATTTAAGTAGAATTATCTTTTATTATTTCTAAAATGTGTTGTCGATTTTACCGTCCTAATTCACTTAACACATTTGTGTGTAAACACTTTCAGACAGAAATCATTGACGTTTCAACTTTTGCTTCTTTTGCCTTGAACAAACACGACACACTTTTTTCGCAATTTTGCAAGTCAGGTATAGAATCACCGCGCCTGCTATTCCTAGCACGGCAATAACATCCAGGAGAAAATATTGGTACCACGGTAGATCCAGCGCCGCCACTCTTAAATGACGAGTACCACCATGCCTTATCACGTACTCGATCCAATACATAGCGGTATCTATGGGACTCATCAATCTGTCATGGAAAATCTGCGACCTCACTTTCGCGTTATCGCGATACCTACAATTTCCAAAAAGTACTTCCTTCCATAATTCAAACTAATTTTTCCTTACGTGGAACTACCTAGCAACTGGTTAATCTTCTCACTCAGAAGCTCTTCATTTAAGTCGTGGAAAGACAACGCTAATCCAAACCCTTGACTTGCAATTTGTTCAGCGTTTAGAGTTTGGTCACCCCCTATAGGTATCGCCAGAACCGGCATCCCATGGTATATAGTTTCAATGGTACTTAACAAACCGGCGTGTGTTATAAATAGTTTCACGTTCGGGTGAGCTACAAAGAAGTGTTATTTCAACCTTAACGGTGTCCAATTTACCTAAAATGTCCTGCTGGGGCAACCATTTTGCAATTCGCACGTTCGTGGGTTTCCCAGGGAGCTCATCTTCTTCCCATTTCCACAAAACGTCCTCTTTTAGTTTCGCGAAAGCGTTAATGATAGCTTGACGTTTCTCCTCTGGCATGAGATAACTCTTCATGTTTGACCCCAAACTAAAATAAATGACCCCGTTTTTGGCGTTATCTAAATACTCTTGCAAGTCTTTTGGTAGTTTTTTCGGGGGTTGGACGTGGTATCCACCGATGTCGACCATTTGGGGTACGTATGGTACCGGGAAGTTGGTGCTTTGGTGCGAGTTCACTAAAACGAGTGATACGTTGTACATTACGTCTTCCACGTTGGGTCCATTGGGGAAGTATTTTTTGATTAGTTGGTCTTGCTTAGGACGAACATACGCATGATCGACTATTTGTTTGACGGTGTAGTGAATAGTGTTGATAACTCTTTCACAAAAAGTCATCAGGTTGAAATAGCCGAGGATGAAGTCAGGCACGTACGCTAGAGGTGTTGGGTTTCCTACTAGATCGTTAACCCAGACGTTAGCACCCATGGTACTAAGCACAATCAAGTGACTTTTGAAATGGGTGGCGAAAGCTTTGTGCGCTTGGTTCATGAACTCTTCCACAATGACGACGTCGAAAGTTTCGTCGGAGTGAATCAATTTTTGGACGTTGGTGTGGTTCAAAGTGTCTTCCGCCATTGCCACCATGAAATGGGACATCAAAGGTACCATGATAGTCGGGTGCATTTTGCGCTTACCGAACATATTCAGTTGTTTGATTTTTTCTAAAATGGATAGGTCGTACTAATTCTGGATCAAATTCAAAACTTACTGTCATGCTCTTCGGCGAATCCTGTTAGAATAATGTCCCGATAGGTTCCATTTTTGGGTGGATGTTTTTCCGAGAAAGGACTGACGACGGTTACGTCGTGACCTCGGTTTGCTAAGGCTTTCATTAAAGAACTACCGAGGATGTAGTGGCTGCGGGCCGACAAGGGAAACACTCCCAAAATTTTGGCACTGTGGCCATAGTTTAGTGTAACTAAAAGACTCAGGAATAAAGGCGCCCACATTTTCACGTACTCATTGCTAAAGTGGCTTAGATTCCACTAAAACAATTCAAGTGTTTGTGTAATTTTATCTTATCACATATCAAGAGCTTTCTATTTCAGTTGATCTAGCTTTTAGTGCCAGCAAATTGTAGTTTTTTATTTTTGTGTTACTAGATTAAATAAACCACGTTGCTTTAGTTAATTTTTATTTTCTCTTTTTTATTTTTACAACTAGACCACAATCTCTTAACTAGTATCAAGGTTATACCAAATACAACCACACTCAGTACTAACACTATCAAAATCACGTCCAACAAGAAGTACTGATACCAGACCAAATCCGTCCCTGCTACCCGTAGATGCGGAGCCCCTCCATGTCGCACCACGTACTCGATCCAATAAATCGCGGTGTCAAGCGGTTTCGTCATTCGATCATGGAAAACTTTCGCCCGTCTTTTGGCATTTTGGGCATACCTTGAAATAAAAGCATGAAAACACGAACACCCACTAAGCAAAAACCTACTTTGGATTGGTCAACAACTCGTTAATCGTTTCAAGTAGAAGCTCCTCCGAAAGATCTGCAAAGTTCAGCTTTACCCCAAAACCTTGGTTTACCACTCGTTGCGCGTTCAGCATTTGGTCGCCCATTATAGGGATTGCCAAAACTGGAACTCCGTGATAGATGGTTTCGATGGTACTTAGTAGACCGCTGTGGGTGATGAAGAGTTTAACGTTCGGGTGAGCTGTAACACTAGTGTGACTATGGGTCGGGTTTGGATGGTAGTTACCTAGAATGCCCTGCTGCGGTAACCATTTCCCCAAACGCACATTTGGTGGTTGACCAGGCAAAACGTCGTCTTCCCATTTCCACAGCACGTTCATTTTTAGCTTAGAAAACGCATTAAGAATAGCTTGTCGTTTTTGCTCCGGTAGGAAAACACTTTTCACGTTTGAACCCAAGCTGAAATAGATGTTTGGAATTGTCTAGGAACTCTTGTAGATCGTCTGGGAGTTTCTTTGGGGGTTTGACGTGATATCCTCCAATATCCACCATATTTGGCACGTAGGGAACAGGTTGGTTGGTGCTTGGGTGCGAATTTAAAAGTACTAGCGAAACGTTGTACATAACATCGGCAAGTTCCAAATCGTTCGAGAAGTAATTTTTCAACAATTTGTCTTGTTGTGGAAAAGTATATAAATGATTTATGACTTGAAAGTAGCTGTATGTGAACGCATTCAAGTACCTTTCGTACAAGGTCATCTTACTAGGAAATCCCCGTATGGGTTCAGAACAGTAAGACACCGGAGTGGGGTTGCCCACCGTTGGGTTAACCCAAGAATTGGCCCCAACACTGTTAAATACCACCAACGAAGCGTTAAAATGTGCAGCAAAGCCTTTAAGTGCCTCGTTCATAAATTGTTCAACTATAACAACGTCGAAGTGTTCGTCGGAGTGAATCAATTTTTGCACATTCGGATGGCTAAGGGTACGTTCGGTTATTTCTATGGTCATTTTTGACATGAATGGTGCCAATAGAAGTACACTCACTTCCCCCATGTCAAACAAGTTCATTTGTTTCATTTGACCTGAAGGTAAATCGTAAAGAGGTTGTAGTAAATTGGAATAAACTTACGTTCGTGGTCTTCTTTGAAGCCTGTAAGAACGATGTCTTTGTAGGTACCGTTTTTGGGCACTTTTTTTTCGACGAAAGGGCTTATCATTGTTACGTCATGGCCTTTTTCTGCGAGTGGTACTACTAGGGAGCTACCGAGGATGTAGCTGCTTGGGGTTGACATTGGAAAAACTGCTAAGATTTTGGCACATTGTACACCTGATATTAGAAGGATTGTGATGGGTAGAGACAACCAGGAACGCATGTTTACTCTGTAACGCGATGACACGTACTGTTGTTTATATACGATTTTTTATCTTGAAAATCGTGTCACGTCATCGTATGGGTTTACAAAATCGCACCTTATTGAATAAACTTAATTTCTTAACAATGAGTTTGCTGTTTAGAAATTTATATATATATATATATATATATATAATTTATATTATTATTAATTGTTATACACTTATAGCTACTAATAAATGGTATTTCCAATATTTTTGCTAACAGAATAAATTAAAATCTATTACGCTGCATTTCTACAACCGTTATACAATATATACAATAAGAATTATAATATTCAGGGAATATTTTGTTCGATTGTGGTTTAATTAATAATTTTAGTCCTGTATTTTGAGAAGACAAACTCATTGGAATTAAAGTAACTTCTACGTGACATTCTTTCGATGTATAAACATAAATAAACACTTGAGCTTCAGATTGTCCAAAAAATGAATTAATAACTCAATTCATTTTATTGATTAAGTCAGGAACGGCTCACTCCATTTTCTCAGAAAATTTTGGAAATAAATGCAGTTATTTTTCAATTTCCATTTTACACAAATAAAATAAGTCAGTGAAATGAAGAAAGGAGGAGGTCAGGACTAAATGTAGCTATTTTCTAGTTTTATGAAAGGGCGGTAGCCCCGCCCACCCACCCCTTCCTCGTTCCAGTGACTACTCTTAATGTTGTTCAGTTCTTGCTTAGCAAGTTTTAGCCCTTCCCACCCACCCTTTTTTTTTTCTTAGAAGACATGCCATTTGCCAAAATCAATCTTATCTTAACAAGTACTAGCCCCACCCACCCGCCCTCTATTTTCTTAGAGGGTATGTCATTTGCCACGATCAGTTTTATCTTGGCAAGTACTAGCCCATCCTATGCACCCTTTATTTTCCTAGAGGGTATGTCGTTTACCAAAATCAATCTAATCTTAGCAGATGGTAGTTCCTGTTCTCATTCTAACGATTTTATCTCTCTTCAACTGAGGTCCACCTTTAATTCGGACTAGACAAAATGAATCACTGAAATGGAGAACGTAGGCTCTTAAAAAAAGCGTTAATCGTAATTCTTTTGTTATACGACTTATTTGCTATAACATTTATTTCTTAGTTCTGAAGAAAAAAATTAGACAACGGGTGGGTGGGCGGGGCTAAGTTTATCTTTTTCTTACTGAATCTTTTGTAAGCAAGCAATAGCCCCGCCCACTCACCCCCTTTTCATTCCGTGATTACTCTAAATATTGTTCAGTTATTTGCCAAAATCAATATTATCTTAACAAGTACTAGCTCCGACCACTCGTGTGCCATTTGCCACAATCAGTCTTATCTTAGCAAGTATTAGCCCCACCCACCCACCCTTTATTTTCTTAGAAGGTATGTCTTTTACCAAAATCAATCTTATCTGAGCAAATACTAGCCCCGCCCAGGTCCCAATTGTCTCTTTTTTAAGAAGATTAAACCTTCTCAGGGCTTCTAATTGTCTTTTATTTTAAGAAGGAAGAAGATGAAACCTTCTCCGGGGTTCCACTTGTCTTTTTTTTTAAGAAGATGAAACCTTCTTGGTAGTCTCAACTGTCTTTTTTTTTAAGAAGATTAAACCTTCTCGGGTGCCTCGACTGTCTTTGTTTTTAACGAAGGATACATCTTCTCGGGGGCTCTATTTGTCTTTTCTTTAAGAAGGAAAAAGTTGAAACCTTCTCGGGGGTTCCAGTTGTCTTTTTTCAACAAAATGAAACCTTCTTGGAGGTCCCAATTGTCTCTTTTTTAAGAATGTGAAACCTTCTCAGGGGTTCCAATTGTCTTTTTTTTAAGAAAATTAAACCTTCTCAGGGGTTCCAATTGTGTTTTTTTTTTAAGAAGATTAAACCTTCTCGAGGCCTCTAATTCTCTTTTTCTTAAGAAGGAAGAAGTTGAAACCTTCTCGAGGCCCCTAATTGTCTTTTTCTTAAGAAGGAAGAAGGTGAAACCTTTTCGGGGGCCCCATTTGTCTTTTTTTTTAAGAAGATTAAACCTTCTCGGGTGCCTCAACTGTCTTCGTTTTTAAAGAAGATTAAATCTTCTCGGGGGCTCTATTTGTCTTTTCTTTAACAAGGAAAAAGTTGAAACCTTTTCGGGGGTTCCAGTTGTCTTTTTTTAACAAGATGAAAACTTCTTGGAGGTCCCAATTGTCTCTTTTTTAAGAATGTGAAACCTTCTCGGGGGTTCCAATTGTCTTTTTTTTTTAAGAAAATTAAACCTTCTCAGGGGTTCCAATTGTGTTTTTTTCAAGAAGATTAAACCTTCTCGAGGCCTCTAATTGTCGTTTTCTTGAGAAGGAAGAAGATGTGAAACCTTCTCAAGGCCCCTAATTGTCTTTTTCTTAAGAAGGAAGAAGGAAGAAGGTGAAATCTTCTCGGGGGCCCCATTTGTCTTTTTTTTAAGAAGATTAAACCTTCTCGGGTGCCTCAACTGTCTTTGTTTTTAAAGAAGGTTGAATCTTCTCGGGGGCTCTATTTGTCTTTTCTTTAAGAAGGAAAAAGTTGAAACCTTTTCGGGGGTTCCAGTTGTCTTTTTTTAACAAGATGAAACCTTCCTGGAGGTCCCAATGGTCTCTTTTTTAAGAATGTGCAACCTTCTCTGGGGCTCCAATTGTCTTTTTTTTAAGAAAATTAAAATTTCTCAAGGGTTCCAATTGTCTTTTTTTTAAGAAAATTAAAATTTCTCAAGGGTTCCAATTGTGTTTTTTTTTAAGAAGGAAACCTTCTAGGGTACCTCAACTGTCTTTGTTTTTAAAGAAGGTTAAATCTTCTCGGGGGCTCTATTTGTCTTTTCTTAAAGAAGGAAAAAGTTGAAACCTTCTCGGGGGTTCCAGTTGTCTTTTTTTAACAAGATGAAACCTTCTTGGAGGTCCCAATTGTCTCTTTTTTAAGAATGTGAAACCTTCTCGGGAGTTCCAATTGTCTTTTTTTAAGAAAATTAAACCTTCTCAGGGGTTCCAATTGTAAGTTTTTTTTAAGAAGATTAAACCTTCTCGAGGCCTCTAATTGTCGTTTTCTTAAGAAGGAAGATGTGAAACCTTCTCGAGGCCCCTAATTGTCTTTTTCTTAAGAAGGAAAAAGGTGAAACCTTCTCGGGGGCCCCATTTGTCTTTTTTTTTAAGAAGATTAAACCTTCTCTGGTACCCCAACTGTTTTTGTTTTTAAAGAAGGTTAAATCTTCTCGGGGGCTCTATTTGTATTTTCTTTAAGAAGGAAAAAGTTGAAACCTTGTCGGGGGTTCCAGTTGTCTTTTTTTAACAATATGAAACCTTCGTGGAGGTCCCAATTGTCTCTTTTTTAAGAATATGAAACCTTCTCGGGGGTTCCAATTGTCTTTTTTTTTAAGAAAATTAAACCGTCTCAGGGGTTCCCATTGTGTGTTTTTTTTTTTTTTTAAGAAGATTAAACCTTCTCGAGGCCCCTAATTGTCTTTTTCTTAAGAAGGAAGAAGGTTAAACCTTCTCGGGGGTCCCATTTGTTTTTTTTTTTAAGAAGATTAAACCTTCTCGGGTGCCTCAACTGTCTTTGTTTTTAAAGAAGGTTAAATCTTCTCGGGGGCTCTATTTGTCTTTTCTTTAAGAAGGAAAAAGTTGAAACCTTCTCGGGGGTTCCAGTTGTCCTTTTTTTAACAAGATGAAACCTTCTTGGAGGTCCCAATTGTCTCTTTTTTAAGAATCTGAAACCTTCTCGGGAGTTCCAATTGTCGTTTTCTTAAGAAGGAAGATGTGAAACCTTCTCGAGGCCCCTAATTGTCTTTTTCTTAAGAAGGAAGAAGGTGAAACCTTCTCGGGGGCCCCATTTGTCTTTTTTTTAAGAAGATTAAACCTTCTCTGGTACCCCAACTGTTTTTGTTTTTAAAGAAGGTTAAATCTTCTCGGGGGCTCTATTTGTATTTTCTTTAAGAAGGAAAAAGTTGAAACCTTGTCGGGGGTTCCAGTTGTCTTTTTTTTAAGAAAATTAAACCTTCTCAGGGGTTCCCAGTGTGTTTTTTTTTTTTTAAGAAGATTAAACCTTCTCGAGGCCCCTAATTGTCTTTTTCTTAAGAAGGAAGAAGGTTAAACCTTCTCGGGGGTCCCATTTGTCTTTTTTTTTTTTAAGAAGATTAAACCTTCTCGGGTGCATCAACTGTCTTTGTTTTTAAAGAAGGTTAAATCTTCTCGGGGGCTCTATTTGTCTTTTCTTTAAAAAGGAAAAAGTTGAAACCTTCTCGGGGGTTCCAGTTGTCTTTTTTTAACAAGATGAAACCTTCTTGGAGGTACCAATTGTCTCTTTTTTAAGAATCTGAAACCTTCTCGGGAGTTCCAATTGTCTTTTTTTTAAGAAAATTAAACCTTCTCAAGGGTTCCGATTGTTTTTTTTTTTTTTAGAAGATTAAACCTTCTCGAGGCCTCTAATTGTCGTTTTCTTAAGAAGGAAGATGTGAAACCTTCTCGAGGCCCCTAATTGTCTTTTTCTTAAGAGGGAAGAAGGTGAAACCTTCTCGGGGGCCCCATTTGTCTTTTTTTTTAGAAGATTAAACCTTCTCTGGTACCCCAACTGTTTTTGTTTTTAAAGAAGGTTAAATCTTCTCGGGGGCTCTATTTGTATTTTCCTTAAGAAGGAAAAAGTTGAAACCTTGTCGGGGGTTCCAGTTGTCTTTTTTTTTTAAGAAAATTAAACCTTCTCAGGGGTTCCCATTGTGTTTTTTTTTTTTAAGAAGATTAAACCTTCTCGAGGCCCCTAATTGTCTTTTTCTTAAGAAGGAAGAAGGTTAAACCTTCTCGGGGGTCCCATTTGTCTTTTTTTTTAAGAAGATTAAACCTTCTCGGGTGCCTCAACTGTCTTTGTTTTTAAAGAAAGTTAAATCTTCTCGGGGGCTCTATTTGTCTTTTCTTTAAGAAGGAAAAAGTTGAAACCTTCTCGGGGGTTCCAGTTGTCTTTTTTTAACAAGATGAAACCTTCTTGGAGGTACCAATTGTCTCTTTTTTAAGAATCTGAAGCCTTCTCGGGAGTTCCAATTGTCTTTTTTTTAAGAAAATTAAACCTTCTCAAGGGTTCCGATTGTGTTTTTTTTGAAGAAGATACAACCTTCTCGGAGGTGTCAAGTGTCCTTTTTTAAGAATATTAAATCGTCTCTTTTTTATTTTAAGAAGATGAAACCTTCAAGAAGATTAAAAATGTTAATTTGGAAAAAAATTTAAAACGAAATGGCGCAAAAGTTATTCTACTCGAAATTTTCACTTTTGTTTATTGTTTACCAACCAAAAAAAACGTAGAATATGAAAATGAATAACATATAATTCCGATAACATTATCGAAAAACATTTTTCTATACTGAACTCGTTTATTACGATACTGTCAAGTTTTTAAATCGCTTATCATCATGATTAGACTATTTCCACAATTCGTGAATCGGCGTTCAAATTTGATAGACAAAAATAAATATTTTGTGCAAAATTGTATGCCTGATTGTATTTTTTGACAGACCACATTTAAAAAATAAATTAAAAAAAATGTCAAACAACCATGATTTTTCACGTTGGCCGTTAATTCAGTTCACTAATCTTTAAAGGTGACGTCAGCAATTTTTAGAAAGAAATAAACAAAACAATCTTCGTATACACTACAATTTATTTAAAAATATACACAAAATATAATCAACTAATTTTTTTTCAATTTTTCTTGATTTACACTTTTACGACATGTCATTTTCACAACCTTGACAAATAAATAACACAGAATTGCGCTAGCCAATATTAGAAAGACGACCACATCTACTAGAAAATACTGATAGAGCGGTAAATCAACAGCCGCTACTTTCAAATGGGGGGCTCCTTTATGTCGTACCACGTAGTCAACCCAGTAGGCGGCTGTGTCCATCGGACTATTGAGACGATCATGAAACAATTTAGACCTGTTTTTGGCATTGTTGCCATATCTGTAACGAAAATCACCTATAAAAAAATCGAAGCTAAAAGTGGTACTTACGTTGGATCAGTCAAAAGTTTGTTCAGTTTTTCGGTTAACCTTTCCTCCGTAAGCTCTCGGTAACTTAGTGATAAACCATACCCATTATTAATAATATTCTGGGCGTTCAACTTCTGGTCCCCGAACACCGGAATCGCCAAAACCGGTACTCCGTGATAAATAGTTTCGGTAGTACTCAAAAGCCCGCCGTGTGTAATAAAAAGCTTCAAATTAGGGTGCGCCAAAATGTCTTGTTGTGGAAACCACTTGGACAATTTAACGTTAGCGGGTTGCCCCGGCAGTACTTCCTCTTCCCACTTCCACAGTACTTTTTGTTTCAATTTGGCAAAAGTTTTCAATAAAGCGGCACGCTTGTCAGGCGGTAAGTGGGAGCTTCTTAGGTTTGAACCCATACTAAAATAAATCACTCCGTCTTTGGCGCTATCGAGGAACTTCTGCAAGTCTTGAGGGAGTTTCTTGGGGGGCGAAACGTGGTACCCGCCGATGTCAATCATATTGGGTACGTAGGGCACTGGTTGATTGGTACTCGGGTGTGAATTTAGCAAAACTATAGACGCTGCGTAGCTGAGGTTAGTACCTTCCGGGAAGTACTTTTCGACGAGTTTAGCGTGTTGCGGGTACACGTAAACACGGTTTAGAATCTCGGTGAAAACGTACATGAGGCTGTTAATTACTCTCTCGTAGAAAGTCATCGGGTTTGACACCGTGAAGAAGAGCGCCGGCACGTAGGAAGGCGGAGCCGGGTTTCCCACTATTAAATTAACCCAAGCGTTGGCCCCGATGGTACTAACAAGAACCAAAGGTGCTTTAAAATGAGACGCGAATGCTTTAAGTGCGTCATTCATAAACTGTTCGACTATAACAACGTCGAACTTTGCTTTGGAATGTATAAGTTTTTGGACGTTGGTGTGGTTGAGGGTTTGTTCCGTCAAGTTCAACAACATTCGGTTCATGAAGGCCATCACTAGGAAACTGTTGGCGTTTTCTTGCTCGAATAAACTCATTTCTTGTCTTCTTTCTAAATCAGAACGATTATTTTGAGTGAAAACTAAATCGTGACTTGTTACTTTCAGCCATTTCCCAAAAACCGGTTAGAAGAACGTCTGTATAAGTTCCATTTTTGGGTGGGTTTTTTTCGGGGAAAGGACTGATGAAAGTGACGTCGTGCCCTTTTTCGGCCAAACCCCGCATTAAAGAACTGCCTAAAATATAGTGACTAGGGGCCGGTACCGGGAAAATCCCCAAAATTTTCGCACCGTCGGTACTTTTCAAAGACAAAATGACTAGAAGTAGCGTAACAATTTCCATTTTTGTTTATTTTGTCGTAAAACAAAGATCCTCAACACCTGCAACGTTCGAATTTGTTTCACATAAATCATTTATGTTGTGCAACTCACCGCAAACTTTTGTTGTTAAACATGTTTCAAACACATCACGCGATCACAATTTTCGCACTGTTATAAATTACGGTGAACTGCTGCAGCGCTAAACGGTCTGTTTGCCTGCAGCAAACTATGTGTTGTGACTATATATAACATCAGTTGGCAACGATTCAATGAAAAGCGGGCAAGAGGAATCCCAGACTCGAGTAGTAGCTTTGACCTTCGCGACTAAGCCAATGAAAAATCCCCGTTGTCAGAGGAAATGATCGTGGTTATTTTATTTGATTAGCAATGCACGTTGCAATAAGTATTTGTAAACTAAGGAAAATTTAGACAGACTATTCTAACTCGTTTTAGTTTTATTACTGTGTGGCGTTTTTCTTATTTTCTTTACAACGAAACTTATAAGAATGTACAACAAATAGATTAGCAGGGAAGTGACTCCGATGACGAAAGCCACCACGTCTAGAGACAAGTATTGGTACCAAGGTAAGTCCAAACCGGCTATTCTCAAATGAGGGGCCCCTTGGTGTCGGATCACGTATTGTATCCAATAGTCAGCTTCGTCTATGGGTGAATATCGTCGATCGCGCATTATTTTTGACCTCCTCTTCATATTGTCCCGATATCTGGAAAAAAATTGGTCTAAAGAGTTTAGACAGTACTTCCCTCGCTGTCGGAAACTTGACGACTGCATGGCTATTGTGTTTTTTTCTCATTACATTTTTGTAGTGAGAATTTAAAAAAAATTGCGATGACGTCAACATTTTTGCAAGGACACGTATATCAGTTGGGATAGATGTAGTGTAATACTAAGAATAAAATTATTGTATTCCCAAATTTTCGGGAAAATGAATTGGGTCGTTTTGAATATTGATTTTTTATAATCAATAAAATAACGAAACAATTTACTCACGTATACGGCAACTGAAAATCGTTTATGTATAAACATTCTTAATTTAAGATGACAAGCGTAACAGCATACGTGAGAGTCAAACAGAGAAACTGTAAACAAAACGACCATCAGTTTTATTGCTTCGACTTCCGCTTATTATATAAAACATTGGGTTTTATTTTAATTCTTGACGGTGAAATTCACAATTGGTTGATTATAAACATGTCTATTTCACATTCGCGGAACCAAGTGATCGCATAAAACAAATGCAGGTCTGTAATGTTAAAGTCGATGTAAATAAGCGTGCTACCCTTATGTTTCAACCGAGTTTTTCCTTTAACAAATTTTGTGTCTACCAAACTGGGTTGGTTGAGGTGTAATACTAATAATAAGTGTTGCCTTTAATTTAATCAATAAAATAAATTGACTTCATTAATTTTTTTGAACCACCTCTTAAGAAAATCTAAAAAATATGAATGGAATGATAAATCACAAGTACAAACTCATCATATTTTTTGCATTTTAGATAGGATTTATTCAGCAAAATTTAAGGGTGACGTCATCAATTTTTTTAGGAGGGATGAACAAATACATTTTGAACAAAAGTTTACCATGCTTATAATAACTTTAAAATATTCCCAAGATTTCAAAGCATTCGGTTTTGTAATTCCTAATTAAATCGATAAAATAAATTCACGCCTTCATTAATTTTTTTGAGTCACCCTGCATATGCAAATCCAAAAATATGAATGGAATGATAAATCACAAGTACAGACTCATCATATTTTGTACATACGATTTATTCGGCAAACTTTTGAGCTGACGTCATCAATTTTTTGTAGAAGATAACCAAATATATTTTGACTAAAAATTTATTATGCTCTTTATAACCTTAAAACATCTGCAGGATTTCAAAGCATTCGGTTTTGTAGTTCCTGATTAAATCAATAAAATAAATTTACGCATTCATTAATTTTTTTGAGTCACCCTGTATATGCAAATCGAAAAAATTTGAATGGAATGATAAATCACAAGAAGAGACTCACCATATTTTGTACATTTTAGATAGGATTTATTCAGCAAAATTTTGTGGTGACGTCATAAATTTTTTAGGGGGGACGACCAAATACATTTTGATCAAAAATTTACTATGCTTATGATAATTTTAAAATATCTTCAAGATTTCGAAGCATTCGGTTTTGTAGTTCCTGAGTAAATCAGTAAAATAAATTTACGCTTTAATTTATTTTCTTGAATCACCCTGTATATGCAAATCCAAAAAATATGAATGGAGTGATAGATCACAAGTACAGACTGATCATATTTTGTACATTTTAGATATGATTTATTCGGCAAATTTATGAGCTGACGTCATCAAGTTTTTGGAGGGGATAAGCAAATATATTTTGACTAAACATTTATTATGCTCTTTATAACCTTAAAACATCTGCAAGATGTCAGACCATTCCGTTTTGTAGTTCCTGATTAAATCAATAAAATATATTTACGCATTCATTAATTTTTTGAGTCACTCTGTATATGCAAACCAAAAAATATGAATGGAGTGATAAATGACAAGTACAGACTCATCATATTTTGTACATTCTAGATATGATTTATTCGGCAAACTTTCGAGCTGACGTCATCAAGTTTTTGGAGGGGATAAGCAAATATATTTTGACTAAACATTTATTATGCTCTTTATGACCTTAAAACATCTGCAAGATTTCAGAGCATTCGGTTTTGTAGTTCCTGATTAAATCAATAAAATATATTTACGCATTCATTAATTTTTTTGAGTCACCCTGTATATGCAAATCCAAAAAATATGAATGGAGTGATAGATCACAAGTACAAACTCATCATATTTTGTACATTTTAGATATGATTTATTCCACAAACTTTTGAGCTGACGTCATCAAGTTTTTTCAAAGCATTCTGGTTAGCAGATTAAAAATAAATTTCAAAATGTTGTTTTATAATTTTGATTTTTTTTCCAAAAATCTGGACGTTTCGGGTGAAAAGTCGATTTAGAGTTGTAAACTATATGTGTAGGACTATGTTATTTTATACAATTGAAAACTCATTTACTATGTACAATTTTGAAGTGACGTCATCGCATTAGTGGTGGGGATGATTAGACAAATTTTGGTTAGCGTTTTACCATCATCATGATATTCTTAATATAAGTACAAAATTTCACAACAATCGGTCGAGTACTTTCGGAGATTATCTGTCTAATAAAAATCCGGGACAACAGACGGACAGACGGACGGACAGACGGACGGACAGACGGACAGACAGACGGAAATGGGAGACCTATTTCTTCGTCTTCTAGGGGTCATGAAAGATCGAGAAAACGTAAAAGTAGAGAGTCGGCCGACGGACTCGATTACAATACTTCCTTTGCTTACGCTCGGGAAGTAAAAATGGTCACCATACACCAACAATGTAATTTTTGGAACTCACTTCGGGTTATTCAAGACATCGTCAAGTGCCTCCTCCAATTCCCCCTCATCTAAATCTTTATATAAAATATAGCGCCCGAAACCATTGGTGGCAGCTTCAGCTGCATTCCAAATTTGGTCCCCGTATACCGGAATGGCCAAAACCGGGACACCATGGTAGACGCTTTCAGTGAAACTCAACAAACCTCCATGGGTGATGAACACCTTAACATTCGGGTGCGCTGCAAAAATCTACAACTTTAGTGCTTCGTCAAGAGTTTCAGCATACCCAAAATATCCTGCTGCGGCAACCATTTCCCGATTTGCACGTTCTTGGGTCGCCCCGGCAAAACCTCATCCTCCCACTTCCACAACACTTTGTGCTTCAGTTTCGCGAAAACCCGAAGCAGTACTTCGCGTTTCTCAGTCGCCAAATTAGAACTCTGCAAAGCCGACCCCATACTAAAATAAACAACACCTTCCGGTGCTTCGTCTAGGAACTTTTGCAAGTTGGGTGGTAACCCCTTGGGTGGTTTTATATGAAAACCGCCAATATCAACCATGTTGGGTACTCTCGGTACTGCCATATTCGTGCTCCAGTGGGAGTTCAGTAAAACTAGAGACACATTGTAATTGAGAACGTCCAAATCAGGTGCTTCCGGGAAGTACTTTTTCATGATTTCGTTCTGCGCCGGAAAAAATAGTAGGTTGCGGTTGAGCAACCCGAAGGTGTAAATGAGGACGTTTTTGACACGGTCGAGGAAATTTCGGGGGTCGAAAATAATATTTTGTTCCGGGATGTATGTAGGCGGGGCGGGGTTTCCGACTAGAGGGTTAATCCACGAGTTGGAGCCGCAAGTCGAAAATAGTACCAAAGGGGCTTGAAAATGGTGCGCTAAGACTTTGAGTCCGTCGTTCACGAATTGTTCGATAATGACAATGTCGAATTTTTCGTCGGAGTAGACGAGGTTTTGCACTTCGTGGTGGCTTAGGGTGGTTTCGGTGATCATTTTTCCCAACGTGTTCATGTAGAGGTTATAGGTGATGAAGCTTAAGCGGTGGATTGGGAATAGATCGCGGCCTAAAACCACCCCTGTTAAAAATGCCCAATCAAATCCAATATAACCCAATCTAAGTTAGATTGGACCAGATTGTGTTTGATTGGGTTAATTGGGATTCAATTTGAACTTATATTGGATTTGATTGGGCAAACACAATTAAGGGCTTTGATTGGATTTGATTGGATTTGATTGTGAAAATTGGAAATAATTGTGTATTACCAATAAAAACATCTAAAAAGCAAAATGTGATGTAATAAATACAATTTAGGTTTGGAGTGTGCTAGAACGTGCAAATGGAACATTTTATTTTATTTTATCACTAACATTGATGTCCCTAATATAAATAATTTTGTTGCTTTCGTTTAGATTCCCAAAATGGCTTTGAGTTATCATTTACAATAAAATGCCGTAAAAGATAATTATTTATTATGGAAATAAAACGCTTATTGAAACGATTATAACGAAAAATACAATTATTTGAAAAAAGCACCCCCTTCACGAATAGAATAAGTTGTTAACATTTTATTACCCGAGAACAAGGCTCGAAAGAATTCTGAATCGATCACAAGAATATACATCTATATGCATATTCAAAAAAATTGCATAAATATGTTCTGCGTATTAGCAACCCCCATAGGGGGGTCGACGGGGAACGTAACCACCCACTTCGATGAGAAGTCGTAAAGAAACACATTACGCAACCATTTTGCATCCTACGGCAACGATACGGACCGTAGGTGCCTCAATTTCACGTTTAAACGACGGTCACAGTGTCGCCCAATCTGGCCCAATCAAATCCAATCCCAAATTGGGGGCGCCCAATCAAACCCAATCTGCGAATAATTCGCACGCCAATCGCACAAAGAAGGTAAAAAATGACCACCACAATGGTCACGTGGTACGCAAGCAAACATATTATCACTATTATAGCGAAAAATAATTTGTTTTTAATAAACAACCCTTTTACGCGGGTTTGAGTGTTAATATTATTCGACAGGAGTATATTTTTGGGAAAAAATTCTGTGTTCGACACGATAGGATTTATGACGATAAGCATACTCAAAAAAAATGCATAAATATTGTCTGCGTATTAGCAACCCCCATAAGGGGGTCGACGGAGAACGTAACCACCCACTTCGATGAGAAGTCGTAAAGAAACACATTACGCAACCATTTTGCATCCTACGGCAACGATACGGACCGTAGGTGCCTCAATTTCACGTTTAAACGACGGTCACAGTGTCGCCCAATCTGGCCCAATCAAATCCAATCCCAAATTGGGGGCGCCCAATCAAATCCAATCTGCGAATAATTCGCACGCCAATCGCACAAAGAAGGTAAAAAATGACCATCACAATGGTCACGTGGTACGCAAGCAAACATATTATCACCATTATAGCGAACAATAAACCTTTTTTAAAAAACAACCCTTTTACGCGGGTTTAAGTGTTAATATTATCCGACCGGAGTACATTTTTGGGCAAAAATTCTGTGTTCGACACGATAACGTTTACATCGATAAGCATACCAAAAAATATGCATAAATATTGTCTGCGTATTAGCAACCCCCATAAGGGTGTCGACGGAGAACGTAACCACCCACTTCGATGAGAAGTCGTAAAGAAACACATTACGCAACCATTTTGCATCCTACGGCAACGATACGGACCGCACGTGCCTCAATATTACGTTTGAACGACGTTCACAGCGTCGCCCAATCTCGCCCAATCTGCGAATAATTCGCTCGCCAATCGCACAAAGCAGGTAAAAAATGACCACCACAATGGTCACGTGGTACGCAAGCAAACATATTATCACTATTATAGCGAAAAATAATTTGTTTTTAATAAACAACCCTTTTACGCGGGTTTAAGTGTTAATATTATCCGACAGGAGTATATTTTTGGGAAAAAATTCTGTGTTCGACACGATAGGATTTATGACGATAACTATACTCAAAAAAATGGCATAAATATTTTCTGCGTATTAGCAACCCTCATAAGGAGGTCGACGGAGAACGTAACCACCCACTTCGATGAGAAGTCGTAAAGAAACACATTACGGAACCATTTTGCATCCTACGGCAACGATACGGACCGTGGGTGCCTCAATATTACGTTTAAACGACGGTCACAGTGTCGCCCAATCTGGCCCAATCAAATCCAATCCCAAATTGGGGGCGCCCAATCAAATCCAATCTGCGAATAATTCGCACGCCAATCGCACAAAGAAGGTAAAAAATGACCACCACAATGGTCACGTGGTGCGCAAGCAAACATATTATCACTATTATAGCGAACAATAAACCTTTTTTAAAAAACAACCCTTTTACGCGGGTTTAAGTGTTAATACTATCCGACCGGAGTACATTTTTGGGCAAAAATTCTGTGTTCGACACGATAACGTTTACATCGATAAGCATACCAAAAAAAAATGCATAAATATTATCTGCGTATTAGCAACCCCCATAAGGGGGTCGACGGAGAACGTCACCACCCACTTCGATGAGAAGTCGTAAAGAAACACATTTCGCAACCATTCTGCATCCTACGGCAACGATACGGACCGTAGGTGCCTCAATATTACGTTTAAACGACGGTCACAGTGTCGCCCAATCTGGCCCAATCAAATCCAATCCCAAATTGGGGGCGCCCAATCAAATCCAATCTGCGAATAATTCGCACGCCAATCGCACAAAGAAGGTAAAAAATGACCACCACAATGGTCACGTGGTACGCAAGCAAACATATTATCACCATTATAGCGAACAATAAAACTTTTTTAAAAAACAACCCTTTTACGCGGGTTTAAGTGTTAATACTGTCCGACCGGAGTATATTTTTGGGAAAAAATTCTGTGTTCGACACGGTAAGATTTATGACGATAAGCATAATCAAAAAAATTGCATAAATATTTTCCTGCGTATTAGCAACACCCATAAGGGAGTCGACGGAGAACGTAACCACCCACTTCGATGAGAAGTCGTAAAGAAACACATTACGCAACCATTTTGCATCGTACGGCAACGATAATGACCGTAGGTGCCTCAATATTACGTTTAAACGACGGTCACAGTGTCGCCCAATCTGGCCCAATCAAATCCAATCCCAAATTGGGGGCGCCCAATCAAATCCAATCTGCGAATAATTCGCACGCCAATCGCACAAAGAAGGTAAAAAATGACCACCACAATGGTCACGTGGTACGCAAGCAAACATATTATCACCATTATAGCGAACAATAAAACTTTTTTAAAAAACAACCCTTTTACGCGGGTTTAAGTGTTAATACTGTCCGACCGGAGTATATTTTTGGGAAAAAATTCTGTGTTCGACACGGTAAGATTTATGACGATAAGCATAATCAAAAAAATGGCATAAATATTTTCCTGCGTATTAGCAACCCCCATAAGGGGGTCGACGGAGAACGTCACCACCCACTTCGATGAGAAGTCGTAAAGAAACACATTTCGCAACCATTTTGCATCCTACGGCAACGATACGGACCGTAGGTGCCTCAATATTACGTTTAAACGACGGTCACAGTGTCGCCCAATCTGGCCCAATCAAATCCAATCCCAAATTGGGGGCGCCCAATCAAATCCAATCTGCGAATAATTCGCACGCCAATCGTACAAAGAAGGTAAAAAATGACCACCACAATGGTCACGTGGTACGCAAGCAAACATATTATCACTATTATAGCGAACAATAAAACTTTTTTAAAAAACAACCCTTTTACGCGGGTTTAAGTGTTAATACTGTCCGACCGGAATATATTTTTGGGAAAAAATTCTGTGTTCGACACGGTAAGATTTATGACGATAAGCATAATCAAAAAAATTGCATAAATATTTTCCTGCGTATTAGCAACCCCCATAAGGGGGTCGACGGAGAACGTCACCACCCACTTCGATGAGAAGTCGTAAAGAAACACATTTCGCAACCATTTTGCATCCTACGGCAACGATACGGACCGTAGGTGCCTCAATATTACGTTTAAACGACGGTCACAGTGTCGCCCAATCTGGCCCAATCAAATCCAATCCCAAATTGGGGGCGCCCAATCAAATCCAATCTGCGAATAATTCGCACGCCAATCGCACAAAGAAGGTAAAAAATGACCACCACAATAGTCACGTGGTACGCAAGCAAACATATTATCACCATTATAGCGAACAATAAAACTTTTTTAAAAAACAACCCTTTTACGCGGGTTTAAGTGTTAATACTGTCCGACCGGAGTATATTTTTGGGAAAAAATTCTGTGTTCGACACGGTAAGATTTATGACGATAAGCATAATCAAAAAAATTGCATAAATATTTTCCTGCGTATTAGCAACCCCCATAAGGGAGTCGACGGAGAACGTAACCACCCACTTCGATGAGAAGTCGTAAAGAAACACATTACGCAACCATTTTGCATCGTACGGCAACGATAATGACCGTAGGTGCCTCAATATTACGTTTAAACGACGGTCACAGTGTCGCCCAATCTGGCCCAATCAAATCCAATCCCAAATTGGGGGCGCCCAATCAAATCCAATCTGCGAATAATTCGCACGCCAATCGCACAAAGAAGGTAAAAAATGACCACCACAATAGTCACGTGGTACGCAAGCAAACATATTATCACCATTATAGCGAACAATAAAACTTTTTTAAAAAACAACCCTTTTACGCGGGTTTAAGTGTTAATACTGTCCGACCAGAGTATATTTTTGGGAAAAAATTCTGTGTACGACACGATAACGTTTACAGCGATAAGCATACCAAAAAAAATGCATAAATATTGTCTGCGTATTAGCAACCCCCATAAGGGGTCGACGGGGAACGTAACCACCCACTTCGATGAGAAGTCGTAAAGAAACACATTACGCAACCATTTTGCATCCTACGGCAACGATACGGACCGTGGGTGCCTCAATATTACGTTTAAACGACGGTCACAGTGTCGCCCAATCTGGCCCAATCAAATCCAATCCCAAATTGGGGGCGCCCAATCAAATCCAATCTGCGA